ATAGACAAATCGTATCATATAATAATAAATAACAAATATTTTCTTTTTGTTGAATAAATTAGAAAAGCAATAGTCAAATAGAGAATTGCATTGTGTTAGGTAATAGTATGTTACCTCCTCTCTCTTGTGTTATTCATGTTATTTTTTCGTTACTATTCGATATATGTAATGGATTTTTCCTTGCATTTTCTTTTTCTTTCCTTGTCTTCATTCTATAGATTATTCTTTTGTCTCTTGATATTTCATAGGTGATTTTCCTTTCTCGTGTATCATCACCTATGGAGTATTCCATTTTATGGACTTTTTCACTTGTTTCTTATATATATAGTAGTTCGTCTGTTGCAATATAAGGAAAAGAAGCAACATACTATTCTAGTCATTATTGTCATCTTACATTGTCATAATGTTTGGTCACGGTTATGCATGCATGGTTACAATCAGATAGAAAAAAATAATAATTTTTCGTATTTACAACCATTAAATAGAAATATTGTTCTTTAATAATTTGTACTATTTATTTCTTAATCGTAACTCTTCTGATATAAATCATCATTAATTAGTCAACCTACATACCTTCTTCTATTTTGATATTGGTAAAAGATATCTGTTATCTTATTTTTATGTCAACAATCAAATTTGAGAGTCCATTTTGTTGAGTTTATTTGAAGTTGTATATATACTATTAGAGTCGAACTGTGTCCGGATCCGAACATTCACCCGGCTCTATACACTATCAAAAATAAGTTATGATGTTCCTTCAAGTCCAAAAAGATTCTACATAAAGTTTTCCTATTAAAAATCCATGTGAGTTTTAGTGACATCTAGTTATAATAAACATGGTTTCGCATGACCGATGTTCAAACATTTTTATTTTGAGACAATTATGATATTTCATCAAATGTTTTAACTTTCGAATTATTGTAACATAGAGATTTTCGAACTCATCTCATGAAACGATGATCGTTAATAATTTATAAATTATCTCCGTTGTTGTTTTTTTTGTTTTTATTTTAGCTTTTACATTCAGTTTTCCATGTAACCAAACAAGTTTACGTCAAGCAACATTAGTATCATGGACGAAAGGTTTTAGTTGTACCGGCGTCGTTGGACATGATGTTGTGCTTTTGTTACAACAGGCAATTGATCGACGAAAGGTAATTGACAAAGAAGTCATTTCATATGATTATATAAGAGAAAGAAATTTTTTAGAGTTTGAAAATTCAAGTTGTGGCTTTAGTTAATGATACAGTAGGTACATTAATGGCATGTAGTTCAATATATCGTGATTGTAAAGTTGGTGTTATTCTCGGCACTGGTAAATAAAAATTATTTATTTTGAAATAATTTTTTCTTAATATAATTTATTTAGGAACAAATGCATGTTATTTTGAACATCTTGATAATGTACCTAAATGGACAGGTGTACGAGATAATACAACAAAACAAGTTATTATCAGTACAGAATGGGGTGCTCTTGGCCAAGTGAGTGTTGAAATTATTATAGTTTATCTTGTCTTTTTCTTTGATTTATTTGCCATTTCAGGCAAAATAATACATACATACCTTTTTCGTTTGACTTTGATTCTTTATCAAGATTATTTTTCTGAATAAGTTATTTTATCATAGACATATTTTAAAATGTTGACTCTTTCAGCTGACTACGAATTAAAAAGTATTAGCGAATATCTGTCTAATCATACGAGAAAAAAAAATTCGAAAACCTTCAGTATAGATTCTACCATATGAATCGCATCTTTAAGGGAATTTTCAGCAAGATCGAACTCTGAAAATAATTTTTCTTAAAAGCAAACTATCTTAAAGAGATTTTGAAGAAGGATTTGTATCGTTTGGAATTGCTTTTGAACTTCGCATTCGGTTATAGAAGCATTTTTTTTTTGTTTCCATTACCATACTTCGTCATGTTGTTAATGTAAATAAATCGAATTTTTAGAAAAAATCTCTGACATACGTGAAAAAAAATTCCAATTGAGAATTTGTAGTCTCAGAAGTTGTCTACAATATGTACTATTTAGTTTTCAACAATGCTACCTCAATTCGGAGTTTTTTTTACTGATAACTCCTCTGAACAAAGGTCTATAATGGTAATTTTTTCAATATGTCCCGACGACCTTAACATACATGTAAAGGTTAAAATTAGCGTTAGGAAAGTTTCTTATTACAAGATACGCGTGTTTTGATTTTACGAAGCCATGCCGCTAATGAATGAGTTTGCCTGTATATAGTAATCGACAAAAGTTAAGTGCAGCAGTATTTTAAAGTTTTTTCCCTTGATAGTTATAGCTAGCAAAAGTTTAAAAAACAACATTTAAATAGTGGAAATGATTTTCTATCAGGCTTGATAGGCCCGAAGACTTCAGCAAAACTGTTTTGATGAGGATCTGCGGAAAGCATAGATTTACAGAATCAGCTTTCTGGCTTCTATTCGATAGAGCAAAATGAGATAGCCTCGATCTTTCGATGGCCATCCTTCATCGAACTGTAGTCGATTTACAAGCGACTCCAAAGCATCAAACATGACGAAAAACATTGAAATTTTCAATAAAAAGAAGAAAAAAAAATGCTGCTTGGACCTTCTGTAAATTGAATATAGTTCGCTGAAGGATGATTGGAGATGTCTCATTTTGCTCTATCGAATAGAAGTCAGAAAGCTGGTTCGGTAGATCTATGCTTTCTACAGATTCTCGTCAAAACAATTTTGCTGAAAACTTCAGACCTTATCGTACTTGATAGAGAGCCCTTTCAGCTACACAGATGTTTTTTTTTTCTAGATTCTTACTATCTCTATTATCACTGAGAAGGACACTTCAAAAATACAGCAGCTCTAAACTTTCGTCCACCACTGTTTTATACATGTATATGTGAGTGTACTTGCACACCATTTTGTGATTTTGGAAAAGAAAAAAAAAAAAACTTAAACTGCCATATGTTGCATATGTATGCAAAAGCATGAGAAGAAAGAGAGATCAATTAAAAACGAAAAGAATATAGAGGATATGTATAGTGAATATGTTTACATGTGACATCGCACTTTATACTATGTAAATTGAAATATTTAATAAAATTTTTTTAGCATGGTTGTCTTGATTTTATTCGAACAAGTATTGATCATGAACTTGATGAATCAAGTTTAACACCTAATCAACAAGTATTTGAAAAAATGATTTCTGGTAAAAAATACTTGAAAAAAATTTTTAATAAAATGAAAATAATTTCTTCTTATTTTGTTTAATAGCTCTTTATCTTGGTGAAATCGTTCGTTTGATTATTGTTGATTTAGTACAACGATCAATTCTTTTACCTGGTCGTATGCAAAAATCACCAAGCCTTGGACGCGATTATAATATTTTTCTTAGTCTACGAGGTAGATCAATACAAAAGAATATATTAATAAATTTTTCTTTATTTATTCCTAGGAAGTTTTTATGCAAAACATGTTGACGATATTGAATGTGATACAAGTAAATAAAAGATAAAAAAGAGCTCATATATTTGTTGATATAAAAAAAAAATCATTCTATTATAGCGGAAGATCTATCTATAACTTCATCAATTCTTACGTCAATTGGTATTCAGGAACCATCATATGATGATTGCTATATTATTCGTGAAGTTTGCAAAACAGTATCACTCCGAGCAGCAAAATTAGCTGCAGCAGGTAAAACAAATAATTATTTATGTTCGATAGTAAAGTATAAAATTTGAACTATATTTACTTCCGATTGAATCTATATTCTCATAATTTTAAGCATTAATTTTTGAAACTAATAATTTTTTATTTTGCTTTTCGTTTGAAAAACAAATTGAACTACTATTATTCATGAAATGTCGAATCATATAAAATATATATATATCATTGAATAAGTCAATAATGCAATTCACGAATATTTTCTTTTCTTATAGCTATTGCTGTTCTTGTTAATCGTGTTAACATGCCTTCGGTAACAGTAGGTGTTGATGGTACACTTTTTCGTCATCATGGAAAATTCAAAAAAAATCTTACACGTACAATGAGTCGACTTGTACCACGAACTGTAAGTTTTTAATTAATCAAATCGATTAAATTTTTTTTATATATTTATTTTCAGCATCGATTGGTTCTTTCTGAAGATGGTTCATCAAAAGGTTCAGCTTTGGTAGCAGCTGTTCATCGACATACGAACGAAACTCTTACATCCTCATAATCCAATCAAAATAATACTCTATCTATGTTCTTTTCTTTTCTCATTCTTGCATGAAATATCGTTAGGTAGATCAACATTTAAGCATTTTTCCTAGTCATTTTATTATGCAAAACAAGTTTTGTCTTGTTATTCAATTTAGCTGATTCCTATGATAGGTCTGTTTTATTCTGCTTCCTAGATTACTGGTAATATCTGTTTCACTATTATTAAAGTTACCACAACAAAAAAAAAGAAAAAAAAAAAAAAAAAAAAAAATTTTCGTCTGTTATTTCTAGATTTATATGTTCGAATGGACGGTCTTTATTTGCCCGATGGGCGTCAACTCGCATTAATTGATCGTGATTGGATTCTTGACGAATTACCACATTTAGGAAATCCCGACGATAATTCCGACGCAAATTATTTACTTGCATCAGCAGCAGCAGCTACTAGTGGTACAGGTGTTGCAACAGGTAGTTCAACAGGTCGCGGTACAACTGGTATTGGAACTGGAGGTAGTTCATCACACGGTGGGCCTAATCATACAAGTGGAGGATCCGTTGGTGCAGATAGTACAGGAGCAAATCATCACGGAACAGGTGCTACTCATAATCATAGTTTATTATATAATCCAGACGAATTTGAAGGTGATTTAACATTACTTTCGGAAATAGTTGACGAAACACAAAATAAGTGGTCGGATTTTGGACTTAATCAATTACTTACACCATACGCACGTTCTATTCGACCTGCGTTTAAATAGATAGAAAAGAAAAAATTAAATTAAATTTTATTGTTTGTTATATAGAATTTTAATTCATGGCTCATATTAATTTTTATTTGCTTCGTATAAGACGATATTGTCTTCGATATAGTCTTTATTGTAGTCGACGACCAAGATTAAATCGTATTATAAAAATTTTGTCTATTATTATTATTGGCTTTCTTTTTATGACTTTGATTAATGGTGTTCTTTTTTCAAGTGTTCTATTTTTGCAAGAAAATAATAATGAACCTGATTATGATCTTGATACACGACCATATTATAAAACAATTGAGATGAAGAAACGTTTCGATGATTCAGGAAATTATTTAATTGTACAAAATTTTGTACAATATCAAACAAATTTAACTAAAAATGCTGATTTAATTGCACTCAATTTACATACTGATATTGAACACCTTCATTTATTATTACAACATGCTAAAGTTTGGGATGGACCAATTTCATTAAGTTTATATGTTAAAGGTGCTCGAGGTAGTGATGATATTGATTATGCATCAATATGGCTCCGATGTAATCGACGATCATTTAAAGTACTCAATATTCATCTTGTTATTTCAGCAAAAGCTTATAAAAGTAAGAATTATTTTCATCTATAAAAGGAAAATATTATAAGAAGTGAATATCTATTAATCAAACTCGACCCAAATTGAACATTGATACATGAATAATGTGTAGTTAGACACTATTGAGTAATCATATTTTCAAAATAAGACATCAATTATTGTGATGAAGAGTGTATGAAAGATAGTGAAAGGAAAAATACTTTTGAATATTGAACTTTATCTCTCGAAATAAGTAAAAACAAATAATTACAACAATATTTTTTCATGATAATAATAGAGAAATGAATTCTATACATATATCAAATTTTTCAGCTTAATGTTCATGTCAGACACTGAAGTAAATTTGATTTGACTTCTATTTAGTTCGACCATTGATGTTGTACATTAAGCAATACTTTTTTTTTTCCAGATAACATTAAGAGCTCTTGCACTTTCTATTGTTATCTTTCTTTTCGAAAAGAAAAGGAGGTTCCGAATAAACCATAGTATTAATAAAAGAAAAAACCTTATTATAAATATTTCCTTTCAGTACACCGAAGAAATATAACATTATTTGCAGTTGAATTGCCAGTTAACGACTTTGAAACTATATATGATTAGGAAGAATCGTACTTAAAATCTCCTCTAGTGAATATATTGTGAGTCAACAGGTTGATTCTTCGTATCTGGACTCGACTAAGCCCGGAACCGATTCAATAGTTTGTACTAAACGATGTCACTATCGATAAGTTACGCTGTATTGCTTTTTTTTTAAATATATCCCAATTTGATTTCGATCATTGACATTTATTTCAAACTTGATCTAGGCTCAATATCAAATCAGCACAATTCTCACAGTGTCAAATATGCTGTCAATTGTCAACATATAACTTATGCTAATCATACTGATGAAACAGATTCTACTCCATATCCATCAAATCTTCTTCGTAATATTGCTCGTATTGGCAATACAGTTCCATCTGTAAAATATATTCTTACACTTGATATTGATGTATTTCCATCAGCTGATCTATTTCATCATCTTGTATCATTTTATACGAAAAAAACAAATATAAATGAAATTTTAAATCGTACATTATATGTTATTCCAGCATTTGAAATTCATACTGATACAATAAAACGTTCTATTGCATTACCACAAAATAAACGTGAATTAATATTATTATGGAATGATGAACAAATTCAACCATTTCAAAAAGATATTTGTTTATCTTGTCAATCTTTAACAAATTATAATGCATGGAAAGAAGAAACAAAAAGTGACGAAATTCTACCAATATTTCGTCCACATTATTCACAACCATGGAAACCTTTTTATATTGGACCTAAAGATGTACCTATGTTTGATTCACGTTTTAAAGCTCATGCACATGCAAGAATAAGTCAAGTATGTAAATAGTTTTTTTTACTCAGATTTTTTTATAAGAAATTCTTTTGTTTTAGTGTTGCGAAAGTTTTATGGCTGGTTATGATTATGCTGTGTTGAATAATGTTTACCTTTATCGATTAGGTTTTATTGATAAATCTCAATTACCAAATACGAAATTAATTGAAGATGATACATCATTATTACTTTTTCAACAATTTCAAGAAGATCTATTAAAACGTTATTCAAACACAACAAGAAAATGTTGATCTTTATCTATATAAATGTTTTCCCTTTTCTTTTTTTGTTTGTTTGCTTGTTTGTTTGTCTGTTGGTTCTTTAGTATATAAATACATCTATGATTACCAGAGACAAAAAAAAATTTTAAATAAAAATATTATCATTTGTAGATATGCAAGGAAGACTAACAGTTTCATCTATAAATACAGATGATGAAAATGATCCTATAATTCTTAAATCACCAGTATCAATAAAAAATCGCCTTCGAAATTTTTTTGGTATACCGAAACCAATAGATAATGAAGATTGTTCTTGGCGTATGTTAATCATATAAAACAAAGTCTTTGCCGTTGCTAGTTTAATTATTTTAGCGACAAATACACTTCTATGTGCAATTGTCTTTCTCGAAGATGCTGTTAACTATCGATCAATAGTACATAAAGTAACAAAAAATTATTTATTAGTTTATCGATGGTTTTCAAGTTCATTAATTCAAAAGTAAAAAAATCTAACTTGAATGATTTCATAGTAATAAATCAATATTAATCACACAGATTGCATCATTTTGCTCTAACAATTAATCTTTGTTTGGCTTTGTTTGAACGACCATCATCCTTTAGTATAACATCAGACGTTAGTAAAAACACTGATCGAATTGTTTTTCCATATTCATTACTAATGATCATTGAGGGTTTAACGCTCATCTGGTTTCTTGCTTATATTTGTACTAAAGTAAGAAATCAAAATTGTTGATTCTGTTTTTTGTTTTCGCTAAAATTTAAGATCAATAGATTGCATGCCTCGGTATAAAACATGCTCGAAAACGTTTTTGGATTATTGCTTTTTTTATTGTAACAATTTATTCTTTATGTGAATGGTTTGTTATGATTGCAGTAATTAGGCATACATACGATGGTGTACGTTAAGGAAGATTTTTAATTGATTTTTGAAAACAAATATAAATATTTAGGTTCGTCTTCGACGTATTTTTCGTCCTTTATTTATGATTGAATCATCTCAATTAATGAAAAAAGCTTTAAAAGCTGTGCAAAAAGATTTATTAACTATTATTGCGTAAGAAAATAACGAAGAAAAAAAAATCATTATGTCTTGTTATTTATAGTTGTGTTTCAATGGCACTCGGTCATATTCTTTTCTTTGCTATTATTGCTATGTTTCTCTTTCCTCGATCAGAGGTATTGGTCATTTTTTGCATAAAGGATCTCGCTGAATTTAATGGCTCATATTGACCTAGGGTACTATATATATGTGATTTTGTTGAGCAATATCCGGTGCATCGAATGATATATTAAAAATCAAGTTTTCCTTAAATTTTGATTTGCTGACGGATAATAAACTGATAATAACCCTTGACGAAAATATATATAAAAGACTTATAGACATTGTGGTCCCTAAGATAAATTTATACACATTTTTTTTGTAAACTCAATTCAATACAGTTGTAGATGCTCTTCTATTTCCTATAAAAAAATGGTCTCTTTTCTTAGATCTAGAATATATCTTGACTATATGATATTTCAATGTGTTGAATTCTACATCACAGAAGGAGTACCAACATAAAGCTTTCTCAAAAATTTCACATTGTCAAATTCCATATGTTTTACAGATAAAATCTTTCGCAACAGCACGAATTTATTATTCCACTTGCAAGATTGTTCTCTAGAATAATCTATTCTTCTTTATGAAGAAGCCAGTATATTGATATCTTTTTTAATAATACTCAACGGTCCTATTAAAAGCTTTTATGTACCAATAATCAGCACAACATTTTTGATGACATGATATGAATAACTCTGTTATAAACGAAAAATAATTTTTGGCGTCTGAATCCCTGAAGGTGGATACGGGAATACTATCGCAGGAAAGAGGTGTGCTGTTTTTAACATTTCCTTTTCAAATTTTTTACGGAGAATCCACATTTAGCTTATGAATGAATCTCTAGAAGAATCTATAAAGATCTCTTGTTTATTACAAAACTAAATTTTTTCATATGCCCGTATCCTCTCTCCAGGGATCTAAAAGCTAAAAACTTTTTTTCTGTTTTTAAAGAAGTCGTTTATATCATTTCGTTAGGAATGTTGCGTTAATTATTGGTACATAAAATGTTTTTAATATGATCATTGAGTATTGTTAAAATATTCCCAATATATATGAACCCCTTCATATCGGAAGCTAGGTTATTGTAGGAAACACTCTCGCAAGTAGACAATGAGTCTTTGCTGTTCAGAAAGATCTTATCTATGAAACATATAGAGCTCAATAGTGTGCGCTTTTTAAGCAAGGTTTACACTGGGTAACGGTTTTAACTATGAAGAAAGCAATGATGAAAGCACCTATACTTGTATCGAATTGAGTTTAAAAATAAAATGTGCATAAATTTATCTTGGGAACTACAATATCTATGAGAACCATATATTTCCTCAAGAATAACGACCAATATATGAACTCTAAGTACGTTCAAATTTTCATAAAACTGATTTCTTATATACCATTTGATGGGACGCAAATATCTCTACATAGAACATATATATGATATCCTATTTCAAGATTGGTCACCAAATCTGACGTTGTTTTTTTTGTTACAAATTCTTTCTTGGTTTTTGTTTAGACTGTAAAGAATAGTCAAGGCAATACTTATTTTTCTAGTTTACATGATTCGGTTTTTCAATTACTTGTACTTTATTCAACAGCTAATAATCCGGATGTAATGATGCCAGGTAATATTGACTTTTATATAAAATTATATATAATTATTTTCAATTTATGTTAATAGCTTATTCAGATAATCGATTCAATGTTTTATTCTTTCTCGTCTTTGTTATTATTGGTAACATGTATGACAATTGATAATAAACATTGGAATTTTGTTTTATTTGTTTATATAATTTAGGCATTTATTGGATACAAAATATAATAACTGCTGTAGTCTATCGAGCTTTTCGAGGATATTTTTTAAATTCTATTATTAATTCACAATTACGACGCCGTTTAGCTATAAGAGCTTCATTTGAAGTTTTACAAAAACAAATATTAAATGGAGTATCAAATGAAAATACGTAAGTAGTAACTTTTATAAAAATAGTTTTATGGATGGGCAAAAAAAGACTTTCTTCATATTGTGTTTTTTTGTTTTTCAAAATAATAGTAAAGAATCTAATAAAACATATTTGGAATTTTTTTCTTTCAATTACAGAAAGCCGGTACCGATATCTGTTGTTCAAATAATCGTCAATTCAGCATCAATGAGTAAATGGCATTCAGATCGAATCAATCAAGTTAGAAATAAAAAGAAAACAGCGTCATTGAATACAATATAATCATTTTTCTATTTTACTTTTCAGAGATTATTTGAATTAAATTGCGAAACAGATATAATCGATCTTGAACAATATTCCAAAATAATGGAATTATTAGATGTAAATCCTAAATTAATAACTGTAAGATAAAAATTATAAAAAAAAACAAAATGAAAGAAAAAAATCAATTTATTTCAGGAAATTGAATTTAAAACATTAAGTGAAAGTTTAATCGATCGATTTAAAGGTGTTGGTCGTTCGAAAATTTTCGATAGTATTGGTACTCTATTTGCTCTATTAAGTGTTTTACTTGTTACAGTTTGTATTCAATATTTTTTTAAAATTATACTTTGATTCGATTTATTTTATTTGTTCACTAGATTGAAATTAGTAATCGTCATTTAAATTCCGATTACAAAGAATTAGTTGCTCATAGTTTACTCATATCATTTGTTAATTTCAGTCTTATGATTTATTTTGCTTTTGAAATAATTATGAAAGCATGGTCATTTGGTCCAGATAAATTTTTTCGTTCATCATCAGCAAATATATTAGAAGCAGCTGTAGCTTTTACATGTCTTGTAAAATAAAAAGAACAAGAAAGAAAATTTTCTTATTTAAAATATTATTTTTATTATTAATAGATTTTACAAATAATACATATGGCAATTCATGGATCACCTGTTATTTCTGAAAAGTAAAAACGACTATTTTTGTTTTATTTTTCATTGTAACATAATTTGATTTAGTGATCTGAATATGACAGAAAAACAGATACCATTTTTAACACTATGGGAAGCAATAAAAATATGCAATATGTTATTTATTTATCGATTAGTTCGATTTTTACCAGCATCAAAAAATATACAAATTGTCGTTGGTACTGTTATTGATGAAATTCGAAATGGTGGTGCTTTTTTTGGAGTTTTATTTGTAAGTTTAATTATTAAATAAATTAAATATATAGATTCTTGTTTTTCTATAGAGTTTTTATTATGCATATTCAATTCTTGGCATGGAATTATTCCGAGGTACTATTGATAATCTTTATATACGTCATAGTCAGAGAAATAAATCGTGAGTATATAATTAATTTGTATTCTATTGAAAAAGGAATTTTTTTTCAGAGATTGTGGTACTTATGAACAACTTGAATATTGGCCAAATAATTTTAATGATTTTTTTGTAAGTTAAATTAAGAAATATGATTTATCGGGTTACGATTAATTATGACAAAAATAATATTAGATTAGTTTCATCTTTTGAAGAAACACAATAAACTAATAACTGTTTATGTTTAGCATTAGAAAATTGAACTACAGTTTCTGGGACTCATTTTTTTTTCAGATTTTACTATAAATTAATTGTATCATCAAATGAAAGTAATAAGAGCGATGATTAGCTCGTGTTCAAATTCAGTCCTATTTGAGTTCGAACTTGCTCATTCAATAGAATCTGTCGAACGTAAGATCTAAATGAATATATTTCAAGTTTTGAGCTAGACATGAATGAGACAAGTCTGTTTTGCTCTCGGTCCTTGTCACAGTTATGCCGAAACGAAATATTTTGCTCATATCTACTCTTGACAGCAGTCTCTCAGAAAATTGTAGTGAACACTATAAAAAGTTAAAGCATCTATTATTCACGCATTATGAATAAAATATTTATACAATAAAAGATATTATTAAAATACTTTCATTAAAAATTCTTTTTTTAGTCATCAATTGTTACACTTTATAATATAATGATTGTAAATCAATGGTTTGTTTTTGTCAATGGTTTTCGAAGTGCAACAAATTCCAGGTAAATTTTTATTTCTTGTGTTTCATTTTTCATACGTATTTTTATTGAATACAGATGGAGTGAATTATATTTTATTTTTTGGTATTTATTTGTAACAACACTTGGATTAAATATATGTCTTGCATTGAGTGGTGATGTAAATATTTATTCTTTTTTATTTTTTAATTATTATTAAGTGAATTTAGATTCATGATGCTAAAAAGAAACGAGCTAATGAACATGAAGAATTAATTGTATCAAATATGTTTGATATTTATCGGTATGTACTAAACTAGCAGAAAAAAAAACAGTTGATTAGAACATAGTAAGCGGAGTTATGCGGCTTGAATAGACTGAAGCCTATCATAAATTCGGGTTACATGAATTTCGGTCCAGGGAATTTTCGGCACGGTCCGAATTTCCGGTGATTTTTCGGCCCGGGCCTAAATTCATCTCATCAATCCCTCAAAAAGGATGCCATTTTTCTATAACTAGTGGATACACTCCGTAGTGCTGAGCAGTACGGCGTAGTGCTGAGCAAGACGACGTAGTGCTGAGCAAGACGACGTAATGCTCAGCACTACGTCGTCCTGCTCAGCAGTCTCATATAAACTGTATTAGAAGTGTTGTAGCCTCGAGAAATAACTATTAATTCATGACAACAACTGTCAAAATAAAACTACAGTTCTCAATAAGACCGCTAAGTAACGCTTTCCTAATCTACTTTCAATTAATTAATATTCCGATACAAATGTTGATAGCTTTTTGAACTCTTCGACATGTCTGTTAACGTGAATTTACTTGTTTATTACGATGTTCTTTTTTTCATAGATTAAAATACAAAAAAAACCTAAAGATGACTTATACGTTTAATAAATAAGTAGTGTTAGATCAAATTTGTAATACATTAAAAAACTTTTATAGCTTTTTATCTTGAAATCTCACGAGAAAAATTTGATAGAAGTCCATTAAACGCTCTATCGACCATGCGCACATATTCTTGTTTGTCTATCCCTGGTGTTGTCAGTTATCGAGTCATTTGTTCATTAGTCTAACCACTACTTTTATAATCTATAGCTCGAATTAAATCTCAACTCTATAATGTATACGCTACTTTTTGTCTACTAACACACTGGGCTGTCTTTCGAAATGCAGTAGGCTTGATAGAATGCTATAACTGTAAAGAGATGTAAAATCACCCTGCACAGCACTATGGAAATGTGCTAACTATTCATTGAAGCTAGACTATTTTTTATAAACAGCAGTGAGATGAATTTCGTCCCGGGCCGGATTTCGGGTGATATTTCGGCCTGGGCCGAAACGCCGCCGGCATTTAGGACCGGGCCGAAGTTCCAGGCCGAAATTCTGGCCTCCCATAAATTCAAGTATCATAGATCCAAACATGTGTTTCTCGTTTGTATTAAATTGATAGTACATTGGAATTCTTATACAAACGTCGAAATTTTCTACCACCTCCGGAGATAAATAGTAATATTTTCGTAGTAAAACAGGCTTCAATAACATTCTTGAGAAAACATAGGACTAAATATTACCGAAAACTCAAGTTAGATAAACTAATAACTGCTGAAAGTTCTTACATAGATTATTGAGTCTACGCTAGATTCAAAACGTTCTGTCACCAAAAAAACTAAAATAAAATCATTTTTATTTTTAGGTCTCAATTAAATGAGCCACCACCTGAAGTGATAACACAACAATTAAATGCACATCCTTATATTAATTTTCGTGAAAATTTATGTGAAAGAATCAATATTGAGTGAAAAAAAAAACATTTTCTTGTTTTCTTATTTTTGTAATTAATTTTGTCTATAATTTTTTTTGATAAATTTCTATAATAATATATATATAATCAATTTTCCAAGATTAATGTGATAACTGTTTATTTTATTTCGATTAAATACAAATATATTTAAATAAACTATCACAACCATGTATTTGAATTGTAAATTGTTTGTAAAATCCATTCTGAATAATAAGAAATTTTTGTATAAACACCAAGGCCAGCACAACTAAAACCCCATGAAATTAAACCTACTAAATGCCATCGACCATTACGTAATAGAATCATAGGACCACCTGAATCACCCTATAGACGAGACGAAATTTTTTTTTTTATCATGTTATATTAAATTTCTGAAATTTACTTGACAAGCATCACATGTTGAATTTTCACATAAACCCGCACAAAGACTTGTTTCCCATCGAAGTGATTTTAATCCACATTGATCATTTGATTGAATAAGTACTTCAACTTCCCGTAAATATCGAAAACTTCCCGTACCTTATCATGAATCTATAAATTGTTAAATTTTATTTAAAAAAAGCCTAAAACTTTACCTTGAGTTGAACCCCAACCAGTAACAAATGTTCGTTGACCATGTTTAACAGTATCATTCGCAGATGGTAAACAAATTGATCGAATAAATGAATTAAATACAATTGGCTCAGATAGTTGAAGTAGAGCAATATCATGCATCCATCTAGATGATTTTCCACTATATGAAGGATACTATTCAGAAACAAAAACAAAATGAAACAGTTCAACGTAATTCTAGATTTAACAAGTTATTTCAAAAATCTTCCTAGTGATCATTAGTAAAAATCATGACAGTCATAATTCATTTTTGAGAACATTGAAATAACCTATGGCGCGAAAGTCTTGGCACAGTTCTCTCTAAATATGTGTTCTGAATTTTTTTATGAAAATGTAAATATATTAAGTTAATTTGCACTTACACATGAATGAGAAACTTTATTCATGCAAAGTTAGAAGTCGAAAGTTTTTTCGAATGTCTTTTAGCGTTTGAAAAATGAGTAAATATTTTGCGTCAAGATTTTCATGTCATAAGTTCTTTTGATTCACTATGCAATTATATTTTCTCGATCTATATAGTAAAATTCAAATACATACAACTACAATTTGTTTGATAGTTCTAGCAATTCGTGAAGATTCCATTCGATATCGATCATGTACACCAAATTCTGCTAATAAATTTTTTGGATGTGTTCTATATTTAAATAAAATGGAAAGTCAAATATATTTTGATTCTATTCAATATAATTATGTATATGTATACCCATTGACACAATGTGCAGCAGTTATTAACCATCTCGTATTAAGAACACTTGCTAAGATGTTCAAGAAAAAAATATTTGTCAAAGAAAGGAAAAAAAGAACAAGAGAATAATAATCTGACCTCCACAAAATTGACTACGATTATTAAGAAGAACTTGCCATGGATGACTATGTGCTAAAGCTTGTCGACCACCAACAATACGACTAGATATTTCATTATAATATCGATTTCTATTGGTCCATGTCAAACCACATTCTGAAAATAATGAATTTCGATTATGTACATGTTTTTCTAATGATAAAGTTGTCGATGATAATAGAGTCGGAAGTGTACTCGATATTTCTGAAACAAAAAAAAAATGTATTTCAAATGAATATTAAAAAAAAAAAAGAAAATAACAACGTACGTGGAATCTGAATCACATAATATTTCATAAGAAAATATACATCAAGTTTCGGATCAATAATACGAAGTTCAATCATTAACATTTGTCCAATACCACCAATACGTACATGATGACGATCACCACAGATTTCAATTTTTTCATGTTTTAAACCTATTGTCCACAAATTAATAGATCCACGATGACAACCTCTATGTAAATATTCTTTAATCGATATTGGAATAAATATATAATCAAATTCGATAACAATTTTCTACATAATCACGAAAAATTTTATCTTAAAAATGTTGACAAATAAAAATTTATAACCTCATCAAGAGAACTTGCAATCAACCATTGACAATGAACAGGTAATCCAGTATACATTATAACAGTTTTATTGACAATAAGAATACCACTCTTATCGGTAAAACTATGTAATAAAGGGCAATTAGATAAAATAACATTCTGAATGAAATTGATTATTATGATCATTATTAACACTAAGCCTTTGCCTATATATATTCAATCAAATAAGACTTTTAAAATTGATAATCTTACCACCGGGCATTAAAAAAGTCATCTTGTTGATGATCGAAATTTATTCGAAGTACGTTCAGTCTTAGGATCATTTTTGTAGGTTTTTCTTTCTTCTTTTTTTTTTTGTTGAGGGGGCTTCAAACAACAATGAATAATTATTCTTTTTCCTCAATGATAAAAAGTATTTTTTGTTTGACCTTCAAATAAAAGACGAAAGAACAAACATGATCGATGTACAAGTGAAAAAATTCCCTTGTATGTTCCTTGAAGTATTATTAAAATTTGGTATGCATCTTATTTTTTTTTTTCAACGCTTTTAATAATAGAAAATATTATAAGACGATTGTAATGAATTCCTTTCATGTAACCTCAATTGTACAGATGATTTTGTTTGACTTCTTCTCTTCATCCGATTGAGTATACAATAGAAGTATTTATGCAAATGATCACATCTCGACAAATAAGTCTGTCTTCTTCTTAAAATTATATACGTTTTATCGTCTCAATTAGTTTATTACATTGAAACATACATGTCTATTCATACAGAATGGAATTGAAGGTTCTTTCCTTTTTTTTTTTTCTAGGTTGTCATCATCATCAAATGTCATATTATGATAAGCAACGAATAGCAATTCGCTTTTATGAAGGATTGATGAAGTAATAATAATAATGTTTGAAACATCGAATACTTCAATACATCATCAATATGATAGTGCCGAACACGAGTGTACAATTTAAATATATATGTAACTTTTTTCTTTTGCAACCACACTGCTTTCTATTCTGTCTCACACTCTTTTGTTCTGAATATATATTATGATTGCAAGTTTGTGCGCCTACAAACTTAAGTAGTCAGTTGGTTTGTATGTGCTCAATTTGTTGCTTATAGGTTGTCTCTTATTCTCTCTCTCTTTTTTCGTCAATTGTAAGCAAAGAATGTATATAAGACGTTTGCCTAGCACCAATAGCCGGCCATTGACTCACACCAACATCGTCTTTCTTCTTCTCTGTCTCTGTCTCTGTCTCTCTCTTTCTTTACTATCGATGATAAAAGGGTTAATCTATATGTGTGCTGTTACAACCTTTTTACCTCTTGCGTAGTAGTAATAGTTGGTATACAAGAGAAAAAGAGAAAAAAACGAACGGAAGGACGACGACGACCAAAAACAACCGATAGCAATATGCACACAAAGAGTCAGTTGCTTGCCTGCCCCCTCCATTTGTCGACCTAACAATGATTATAATTTGATCGTTCGGGTTCAATTTTTCTTCTCTTCTTTCGCTGAGACAGCGGTGTTAGTAATGATGATGATGATTATTATTCCAAAGTAAATATACACTTTGACTCTTTCTCTTTTCGTTGCCTTTCTCTTATGTTTAGATGGACAATGTATATTTGTAAAGAATTGAGCAAATTGTTCGTAAGCTTATTAAGTTTTTATAGATTGTAATTCTTCTACTCTTCATATTTGTCGTTATGCAACAGATTTTAGTCGAAATTTTTCTAAGAGAAACAAAAAAATAATAAAATTTCAAATCTATCTATCTTTTTATGTAGTTCAAAACAAAATGACTTCTATTAACATATAAAGATTGGTATGTATGTGACAAAAATTACCTATACTATATCTTAGTTTTTGTTTTTTTTTATTTAATAAAAACTATTTATATAAAAATATTTATTCTCTAATATAAATAAACGATCAAGTATGTATTACTACTTCGTTAGAATCGTTTTGTCATTTAAAACAAAGAACTTTGTGTTTTTTTTTATTATGCTTAACATGTTCATCAAAAATTGAAAACAGACATAAAACATATATATTTTTTAAAGTGTTGATTAAAATTTGTATCTGAATAGTAGAAATATGTTTGTAGAATAGCAACTTTGAGATAAATTTTTCTGTTCAATTATAGATTATTTGATTAGTTTGCATGGTACCAAATACATATGTTATATTAAATTAGTTAAAACTTTTAAGTTTATACAATTTTGAAAAGCTAACACAGCATGAAATAAGTATCAAAATATTTCCTTTATTATTGTTAAGAAATTTATTAGTTAGAAGTTAAAATTTTAATATACTTTTTTCGAGCTTTGAGAAAAACCTCTAAATATAACATAGAAAAAATTACCGATCTTTTGGAAGCCTTCTAACATATCACAAGCATCTGTAGACTCTTTGTTTTTTAGTTTTTAGTAATATTTTCGTAGAGAACCAAACTAATGACAAGTTAGAATTTTGAATTCTTCTACAGTTCAACAACACTGCTGCACCTACACTCTTTGATATGTTCTGTCAAGTAGACCAATTAGTGTATATTATGTCATCGATCTGAAGAATAACTGCGTTTTGTGTTGTTTGCCATTTCCTGAATGAAAATCAAACACAGCCTGCAACTGTATAGATTGAATTTCTGTTTTCGATCTCAGCCCGGAGGTCTAATCTCATTACATTTTCTTTTTTTTTTTTTTCTAAAGTACTTTTATCATAAGATGAATAAAGTGACACTTGTGCATTTTACTATTCCCCGTTATATTAAACTTTTGTGTGCTGTTCACAATCACATATGCACTCCAGTGAGGTCGCCACAGTTCATAAGGACCATTGGTTAAAAGATAGTACTTGTTTATTTATTTCGTGCCAATAAATCATTTCTCTAGTTTATTTCAGATGCATTATTATTATAAAATTTAATAATCAAAAGATTTATTGATAAAATATGTCAAGTCTACTTCCATCATCATCATCTCAAATGAATGCAAATATTAATTCTGGTACTGGTACATTACAACGTTCATCAGTAAATAATGCAGCCGCAGATGCATTACGAAAAAAAATGCAACAATTACGAGATGAACTTGAATTAGTTAAAGATGATTTAGAACGTTCACGTAAAGATTTTGAAAAAGAACGACATGCTCGTGAATTAGTATGTTTAATTTGTTTGTTTTTTTTTTGTATTTGAATTTTTTTCATAAAAATTTAGGCTGAAGCTGAAGTTAGTCAATTAACACGTAAACTTCATTCATTTGAAGAACAACTTGAACGTACAGAGGAACGATTAATACAAACAACAAATAAACTCGAGGAAGCATCGCATACAGCTGATGAACGAGAACGGTTAATTTAATATATTTTTTTTGTTATATGAAAATATTGTTAATCTATTCTAGAACAAGAAAAATGTTAGAAAATCAATTAAATCTTGGAAGTGATCGTACAGAAATGCTTGAAATACAATTAAAAGAAGCTCGTGCACTTGCTACAGAATCTGATAAAAAATATGATGAAGTTGCACGAAAACTTATAATACAAAATACTGAACTTGAAAAAGCTGAAGATCGAGCTAAACGATCAGAAATGTAATCTTTTCAATATTTTATTATTAACACAAAAAAAAAATTAAACTTTTGATTTCTTTTAGGAAATGTGTTGATTTAGAACATGAAGTCAAAAATCTTCATCATCAATTAAAATCATTTTTGGCTCGTCTTGATGATGTATGCTATTTAAAAATTGAGATTATTTCATTTTATATTATTTTATTAATTTAGGCTCAAAATAAAGAACAATCTTATGATGATCAAATTCATCGTCTTTCTCAACATTTAAAAGATGTAAGTATATTCGTCTGTTTTTGTTGAAAGACTTTTGTGTTTGTTTATCGTGAGTATAAATTTTAAAAAAATTAAAAATTAGGCTGAACGACGATCAGATCTTGTATTTGATGAACGATATAATCTACAGATATCTGTAGAATTTCTTGCAGGTATTCAATTAGAAAAAAAACAAGAGAATGAAATATGATTATTTTTTGTTTTTTTTTTTGCTGTGTATTTTATTCGCATGATTTTTATTGCTGTGTTGCATGTATATAGGCTGAAACTCGCGCTGAATATTCTACTAAACAAGTACAACGACTACAGCGTGAAGTGGATTTACTTGAAGGTTTGCTTTTGGTTTTATTTCATTTTTCTTTTTTCGAATGTAGATTTTTGTTTCCATAATTGTACAATTTTGCTTGGGCAACTTATGGGATATGATAGTTGAAGTGAAAGTTTTGTTGTGTATAAAATTTAATAGAATGGTTTGCTTTAGAAATAGATGAAATTGATTGAGTATAGTATATATGAAAGAAATACTGAAAAAAAAAGGAAATCTGATAGTTAATTAAGATTATAGAATAGAAATGATTAGAGAATTATCATCATTCTTGAAATCGAAATAAGGAAGAATATACCTATTTAGCGACAGATTCAATTACCTGATATCTTCCATATCACTAATACTAACTATAGCTGTTAACAACATAGTCAGCATGCTGTTGGAAGAGTGATCCGAGGCAAATAGCCGTTAGTAACTTGTTCAAGATTATTTCATATTAGGTGCTACCAAGATTTGAGTACAGTACCTTGTGGATCAACGTAGTCACTCAGTCATGACTACTTTAGAAATATGAAGTATCGATTAAATTCGACTGACGATGGAACTACCAAAACTATAATCCACTGTTTAAGTTCATATTAATCACACCAGAAAGTTTTGTTAAGACTACGAAAAAGGTTCGCTCTCATATGTCTTTAGAACCAAATTATGACCATTTAGCTGATTTTTCTATCCATTTTTATGTATTTACTGAAAAATTAAGTCACGAAATTTCGCCCACAAATAGATCTGATAATCTGTAAAATCTTCTGAAATTTTCAGACGAAAAGAATTGCGATTTTGTCGAGATATTGAATTTTTAAGCGAACTCAATTTTTTAGTAACATGTCTGTAGCAAATGACTATTTTTTTCGAAATTCAATATCTCGACAAAAGGACATTTTTTTTAGTTGAAATTTTCAACATATTCTAAAGAGCAAACCAATCATGATAATACCTCGCATTTGAAACAGAATTCCAGTCACTACGTAAGACCTGTTGAGACTAGAGAGATTCTGTCTCATGCGCTTTTCATTTGGAATTATGACTGTTACAGTAAATCTTTTACCTTAGGCATAGGGCTTAAAAAAACGGACAAACAAATTTCAGCTAAAAAGAGTGATCTGAAATGCACAAAATTCGTTTGTCTGTTTTTTTTCTATATGTACCATCCCAACGGTTAATAATTCAATGGGACGGTCATAACTGCAAAAGACTCGTGCATAGGATGAAGAATTCTTCTAGTCTCAACAGACTCTACATAATGACTGGAGTCTCATTTCAAACACGATGCATTACTTCGATTGGTTCTCTCATAAGGTTCATTAGGCCTATCTATCTACGGGCGAAATTCTATAATTTGATTTTCTAGTTAATACGTTTTATGAACAAAAATAATATATATATTTATTTGATTATTTTAGAAGAATTACAAACTGAACGTGATCGTTGTAAAACTCTCCAAAATGAAATGGAACGTTGTTTTTCTGATTTACAATTACTTTAAGAAAATTCAACGTTTTGTTTCACACATCTCTTGGTCAAACATTCATCGTTTTTCTTTTCTTACATTACTATTAGCGTACAATATCAGTTCGCCAATTGTCAATATATACTTTTGTGTGTGCGTGTGTCATTTCGCTTTTTTTGTTCTTAATAAAGTAATCACGTTATTATCTTGTACTTCAGATATTCTTTTTTCTCAATTTTCTTCTGTAGTTATTATCTTTTAAAGAAAACAAACAAAAAAAACATTTATTCGTTTTATTTGTGTGTATAGTTAACAGTATATCTAAATCATGTGTATATTATATATCTTCAGATGTTTATACAATCATGGGAAGAATTTGCTAAACAAGCTGAACGATTATATCTTAATAATCCAATGGCTTGTCGATTTTGTTTAAAATATCGAAATGAAAAACTAATACTTCGTTTAACTGACAATCGAACATGTCTTCAATATAAAACCAAATATGCACAAGATTTAAAAAAAGCTGAAAAATTAATGTCAAGCCTTTTACGACATATGGCATCAAAAGAATCATAAACATCAAAAACAAAAATCAGAAAGATTTTTATCGTTCGTCTTATTATATTTTTTTTTTATTATTATTATTCCAAATAAAAAAAAATAAATCAAGACAAAATGACACAATAATTTAAAAATTTTTTCAAAAGAACAAAACACATCATAAAATTCCACTTGTCGTTTCTCTCTTTTTTTTTTTTTTGAAGTTATACATCAAAGACAAACTTTTTCTTGTTGTTTTTTTTACGACCTATGCTGTTATCGATTCACACCTTTATTTTGTGTCTCGCACTCTTCATATAATGAAATGATTTAGCCAAGATGATTGAGACGAGAGATTGATAAGAAGATGAACATGAATATTCGATTTTTTCTTTCATCCTTTTTGAATGATTGATCAATGAAGAAAAGAAAAATAAAAAGTTTATTGATTATTACATGAGAAGAGTATGAGCATGGTTATTAACAAGCAATCGATTAATGATGCATAGAAAAAGAATGATGAATTTTATATTAGAAAGATAAATGACACGATGATGCGATCAACGAAAGCCGACACTTTTCAATCGTTGTATATCATTGATAATGATACTAGAATAAAAATTAGTGTTCAAAAAAGAAATTATACTTAATATATGATTTAAAATCAAATTTTATTATATCTCGATAAGTGAATCGAGTGGATTCTTGACTTCAAGAAAAACATCATAGAAACAACTGATATGAGTAATAACGAAGTGTGAATGAATTTCAGATCGTTGAAGAAAATAATCTTCCTTCCTTATATTTTTCATTTATACTAGATTGAAATTTTTGAATATGCGATCATATGATTATGTAATCCTTTTATTGTCAGATATTTTTTTGTTTGACATTTATTTTTTAAAATTATTCAGATTAGGAATAAGTTGGAACTCTAAATTCATCTGTTTAAACATGATATCGAAAGTATCATTGACAAGTGTAAACCTTTCTCGTCTAGTAGGCAAAACAGTGATTTAACTGCTATCTCTGAAAAACTCTATGAATTCGAGATTGCACTGAAAAAAAAAATGATGCGAAACAGAACTTTAGTAAGATTTCGAATCTGTTTTCGATTATTGAAATCTTTTTTTTGTTCACTGTAGAACACAACTATTTTGCAGATTCTTACACTTAATAGTTTACATACTAGAACCTGCCGAGTCCGAAATTTTCATAGCCGGACCTGCTCGCATCGTACTTTGATACTCTTTATGAAACTTTCTAACTGAAATCAGATAGTTGCCCCAAAGATATAAGATACTTTGTCTCCAGGTTCTTTTTTTATTCGATGACTAGTGTACTCTACATATTTCTTAGACGAGTATAGTCCATGCGGTACGAAATTTTCGAATCCAAGCTCGATGAAGTCCGAAATCCATTCGACGAGCTCTGTTATGTACTGAAATGTCTCTTTTAACTTTCTGTTTTGTTGATACTCGACTCTACTGTGGATTTGATACCTTGTTTTTGTAACAATCAGCTATATATAAATCTCGATTCGTTTATAATAAAAGACAACGACATAATTTTATTTGTAATGATTTAAAGAAAAAACACAAGACAAAGAAAATCATTATTTTGTACAAAGTTCATCGAATTAAGCAGCAGAAGAATCATCGTTCGACTAGAATGTGCGATAAGAATTCGAATAAGACAGTTTAACTTTTTAGTTTATTTTTTGCGTTTTTTCTTTTCATGTGCTTGTTGTTGTTGATTCACTCACTGAATTCGATCTAAACGATGCTAAACCCATAGCTGGTAAAGCAAAATTAATTGAAGGTTTTGAAGGTGAATATTGTTGATGATTTTGTTTTGGTGATGAACTAGATGATGTTGGTGATGAAGCTGATGAACATGAAGTTGCTGTATCTGTTGAACCATTCAATATTTGAGATGGAGGAGTTGATCGAACTCTAGCTGCAGCTAATCTTACAGCAGCAGCAGCTAATGGATTAATCGGAGGTATTAGTGGATTGCTAGTCGGTTGTGTTGGAGAAGGTGGAACATAACCTGAGGCAGCTGCTGCATACATATAAGAAAAGTATGAAAATGGATCACCAGGATAACCTGGCCAAGCAAATGCTAATTTTTGTCGTTTATCTTTCATTCGTCGATTTTGAAACCAAACCTAATAAAAAACAAAAAAAAGAAACAAATTCAAGAATTTTAGTTTTTCTTTTCTACACGATGAGAATATAAATTTCTTACTTTAATTGTTGATTCTGGTAATTGTAATTCAGCTGCTAATTCACAACGTCTTGGTCGACTAACATAGTTTTCTCTAAGAAATTCTTTTTCAAGTCTTGCTAATTGTTCACGTGAAAATGCTGTTCGATATCGACGAATATTATCGTCATTAAGATTTGTATTATTAATATTATTATTATTGTTATTATTAATAGAATTATTAATTGAACTACTATTCAAATTGTTTGAGTCATCTTTATAAAAAAAAAAAACAAAGTTATTTATTTTTGTTTGGAATTTTACTTCTTACCATTATCATCAGAAAATATTTCATCATGAAACATTCTCGAACTACTTGCTAATAAATATGTCGACGGATTACTACTACCTAACATTATCAAATGAAATATTCGATTATCTCAATAGCAGACAAATCTCTTTTTCTCTTTCTCGCCGTTTTTTCTTCTTCTTCTTCTTCTTCTTCTCTTGACGATTATTCGTTCTATCAATGATTGTAAGAGAGCAAAAGAAATTCTATTGGTTAATATTTAAAAAAAATATATATAAACAATGACTGGTCAACATTTCTATTATAAATGATCAAGTTGATGAGACAAAGAAAGCAAATAATTGCTAATATCATTAAATATAGAATGAACGTGAGGTGTGAACAATGAAAAGCATAATTAACAGTTTACTTCTTCCCGTAAAAATCGGACGAAAGTAAACAGATAAGACTTTGCATGAACAATTCAGATGAGACAATTTATAAATAAAAAACAAAATACTAAGTCGCTAACATAAATGTCGTTGATTATTTTCGTCTTCTTAAATGAAAACATTCGATCGGATGCGACTAATTGGCTCAACACAAAAAATAACTACTCCGCCCTATTGACAAATGTTTGTGTCTCTTTCTATACAATATATACGCGTGTAGATATATATATATATTGAACACACGCGATGGTTATATATATATATAGCTATTTTACATTTTCAAGGGTCAATAAACATACACATTAAAATGACCATCATCCCATGGCCGCCAGTCACAAAAATAGTATGTCGTTAATCAATGATAGATAATCACACGTTTTCATATGACCCATACTAAACAAATCGCTTTTTTCTCTTTTACTTTTCTATTAAATTGAATTCAAAATGCTTATTATTGAAGGTGTTTATATGTATCGAAATCAATTAAATAAATCAGAGCAAACAAGATGTTTGCTATTTAGTACATGTACAAATGCTTACTCGTCTTTCTATTTGGATTAATTTCATATGCCATTTATTATTAGACTGGTGTTATCAAAAGATCAAAGCAGATAATAGTAAATAATTTTTTTATTCATTCACCTATATTCCTTCTGCTGATAGAGAAATTTTAGGGATCGTTTTTATTCTCATTTACTTTGCGCGTGATTATCATTCTGCGTGACAGAATAATACAGGTCGAGTGTCTTCATTTTCTCGACATTCTACTAACATGCAAGAAAACCATTCGCACATCAGTACGATAGCATTTATAATTGATCAATAAAGTATAATTTTTTCTGTTCATACCTCGACATGGAACAAGATTCGATTTTCTTATATTACAAGTTTTAAGATTAATTTGAGCAAAAAAAGTGACTTCAATTATTCTTTGTCACATATGTGTAAAAATTATGAAAAATAAACACAGCAGTAGCATCAATTCACTTTCACATGTCAATGTTTTCTTATTCACATCTTCTACTATACCGCTAACGATCCAATCGATTATTGCAATCGAATAAAGATAAACAGAAACAAAAAAAGAAAAGAAAAGAAAAGAAAAAGCGTGAAACATACTGATCAATAGATAAAAAAATTTCTTCAACAGAAGAAAAAGAACATCTCTTTTACTGTAAATTGATCATTATAGAAAAAATAAAAATACATAAATATTGTCTTTCTACTAGTTCTTATTTTATATGATATACATATTGCGCGATATGATAACAGAGTTTGAAGTTTCTCGATTAGTGTCTATTATTAGAGAACATGTTATGGTCGTTTATACTGCCGACTAAGTCTCATCTAATATATTAACATCTGTTTGAGACTCCCCATAATAGTACCTTTTTGTTTTCTTTTTCTATTTTTAGTTGTATATTGATATGTACTATTTTTAAGACACAACTATGAAAAAAGGTCAAATAACAAACTTACTATCGACGATGATGCCATTGTCAGTTGAGAAAGAAAAATCATTACTATTTTGACGTTTTCGCTTGTAAATACCCATTATGCTTATAGCCTGAAGTAAGATGATGATTTTTATGATTTGAATTGTATGTCTAGAATGTTTTTTATAATGAAATAAATAATGATGATCGTATTAAATTGAGCTACATCTTTTTCTTTTGCACTTCTCTCTCTTTCTCTCTCTTCCTTTCTTTTTTTCTGATTCGTTCTTATTTTCAAACGATTCTCAACACCAATCACACTCATTAGGTGCGACTAGTCTATATATCGATAGCAATAACCATTTTTCGCACGGTTAGATATACATATTATTTATAATAAAAAGGAAATGATCTCTCTCGCTCTCTTTTCCTTTGCCGCATCAAATATATGTATATAAATCATAAAACTGTTGTTATAAGTCAGCGTGTTTAATTACCGTAGCCTATTTCAAAAAGAACTTTTGATCAAGTGAAGAGTTTTATTCATTTTTCACATAATATTGACAAACAAATAAATAAATAAAATTCGAAAAAGTCTGCTTGGTAGAAGAATTTGAAATTTTAACAAAAAATTGAAGAGATAAAAACATTCTCTTTTGATTGAAATTCAAAAATCTAAAATTTTTGAAGGCTTTTATACAAATATTTATATTCTACTTTATTTGTATAAGATTATTTCAATGTCAGATAGCTAAGCTGTTATTAGTATTCATAAAATTAAATTTTCGACTACGAAAATATAGATAAGTTTAGTCAATATACTTTTTGATAGTAGTATAACCAGGGGATCGGTAACTCCGATTGCAAGTTACAAACAGGGATGATCTCGGAATAGTTCTGATTACAAAATATTGGAATCGAAAGCATTTTCAAGAAAGACGATACAATTTTTCTTTACCTTCTTACAACAATCAAGAAGGGTACATTTGTAGTAATGTACGATTGCTTTTCGTAGTCACATTTGCAAAATTTTAAAAAGTAGTCTTTCTGTTCTTTCATAATTTATTACTGCATGCCAATGCTGTTGTAGTTGTTTCGGGTGGTGTTGTATTCGTAAGATGGGACGGACGATTCCGATATGATTCCAATTCTGAAAAATATTGATTCTGTTAGTGCTTTATCTAGATTTTCTCTTCCGAACGGGCGTCATCCCCTTGGTCTCCATACTGGAATTTGCTCATGCCTAAGGATAGTTCTGTACAATGTTGGAAATAATCTGTGCATTATAGTGTCAATGATGGTTATTATTATATTTTTCTTTTCTTCTTGTGGTAAGACGGCGCCCAATTTAGCTCACCCTCTTGGTTACGCCGCAACATTTTGACTTATAGTAGAAATAACGCTTTATAATCAAGATGATCTAATTGAATTAGACAAGAGTTTTGTCTGTGTTTCTTTCTTGTATTGTGTTATCAACACAATATCTGATCCAAAGTTCATTAAAAATGGTTATGCGTCATAATACCATCATTTATAGTATTCAGACAATAAATTTAACTTTCAGTTTCATTATAGTCTAATGTCATAATTATAATAAACACATGTAGTACAATGTACTCTTGTGTTGAAAAACTACTCATATCAATCTCGTGCTTCTGTGAATAAATAGTTTACAAAAAACAACATCTTTTCAAAAGCTTTCACTAATCATTCAATATCCCAGAAATAAAATTCTAGACGTAGAAGAAAATAAAAATACTCAACTTGTATATATAATGGATTAATAATCTAAATACATCTCGATTATGAAGTAAACTTCAAAATATAATTAAATCACCGAACTATCTATCTTTTTGAATTCAAATTATGATTAAAATGTTTCCGTACATCTCTTTAATTGTAAAACATATTGAATTTTTTTTATTAAATGATCTTATGATGTTTTTTTTTTGTGCAAATTGATCTAAATTATCGTGCTACATTTCATGTTCTTTCTGCATCATTTAATAACCGTTTGAAATGGAAATTTTTTTTGTGTCCGTTTCTTTTACAACTTTCTTTTTTTTCTAATATACGCATCAAACTCTCAAGAGTCATCATACAAATGAAAACAATAACAACACATGACAACAATAATAACAGGTCAAAAAAGAGAGTTTTGTCGACGATTAACACGTTTAGTCAAGAGTCGTTACACATTTCAATCAAAGCATTTGTCCGAGATGCAAATGACATGTGTTATGTTGTTATTGCTTGATTGCATCGCACGAAAACGAGATCAAAAAGGGACAATTGGTGACAGTCCTTGAGAGAGAGAGAGAGAGAGCGAAAAAAAAGAAAAAGAAAAGTATAATCATTTTTATGAGTTGACTTACGTCAAGAAATGTACTTGTTCAGTGACATCCGTTAGATAAAAAAAAAAAAATGTTGACAATATATTTGTTTTCAAAATTTTGTCTTTGATCGAATGTAGATATCTATGATAGAGATCAAAACATCAACATGTCGTGAATATTCTTCGTGTTTTCTAGCTAACTTTTTTTGATCAAACGAAGACACAGATCATAAATCACGCTGCTCATCTTCATTAGCTACACGAAATGAAATTAATTTTTGTTTTCTGTTTCACATTTGTTCTATCTTTAGTTCTTTTGAATATAATGCCGCTCACGATTGTTCGAAAATAAGATACAAGATAAGGGAGGAGAAGCCGCCAACATTGATTCGCTTACCTGCAAATTGACAAAATGAAGTTTTTTTTTTTACATGAAGAATGATGCGTTACCGTTTCACTTGTATGAATAGATAAAAAATGGTTCATATGTGTGTTTCGTCTCTGCTTAAATTATTTAATTTATGAAATCAGTACTTTTAAAGTTCAAGTTTGTTTTTATGTTGTCAGACGATACCCTTTGTATTTGATGAAAATTGAATCTTTGACATTCAGTATATCATTATCAATTTAAATAACATCTCAATGATAAGATATTTGAAGAAATGATGAGATTCAATCTGATAGAGAAGTTTCAATAAACTTTTTTCTCAAAAGATGGTATTGACTGTTATTGTAGTTTCACACACATTTCTAAGATTAATTGATCTGATTAACTTGTCATTTAAAACTGTATAAACCTAAAGTGTAATGAAAATAAAGAAGCTTGGTAAATTCTATCCTTTTATTTTACTATAGTGTTTTGTACACTTTACGACTTTTCGGTATGAGATCCGGACCGGAGTTAATCGACATCCGACAAATATTTTCACATTCATAGTACAGTTTTTCAAACTTTTATTTTATATGAAATAATGACGCTGGAATGAAACACAGTGCTGGTGCCAAGCATTATAACTGTGGATACATGTTCACATTTTTGTGATAATTCATTTCCCTCTTCATGTGTTCAGTTACTGTGTTATATGATTCATCATCATATGTAGATGAATTTTCATTAAAAACGAATTCTTTTAGTACAACCATATCACTTTCCATTTTTGTGACCTATTCTCCAGTACAATAAATTACTCAGGTTATCACTCCTATGCATTTATTATTATTCTAGTACTACTGTTCTTCATCTATTTTGTTCGTGTTAGAAAAATGCATTAAAACTGAAAATGTGCATACAAGCGTCAAAAGGATAAATTTCACATAGAAAATAAATATTAATAATTTTCTTCTCAAGAAAGTAATATAAATCTCAATTTAATAATCAAGTACGTACGACAAAACATTGAAATTAATTTCGTTAGTGTTTTACATAGACATCATCATCAACGGTAATATAACTTTTCAGTATTCTATGTCAGAGAATAATGTATTTTGAACTTGTGAAATCAACAAGAATACAATTTTGTCTAAAATATATTTCGGAGTATATACGAAAATATATCGATGGAGAACTAGATTTCTTTCTTTTGAGAAGGTTGCTGAATGAATGAACAATAAAGAATCTATGACTGTGAAGTAGACCTTCTGAAGTGAATGGCTTAGAAAGTATTCTAACCCCTGATAAATTGAAATAGAACACGTTTTAAATAGATAAATAATGGCTTTGAATTGAGAAGAATACAGCATTCTACATTCTACAGTATATTGGCAGGTTAACAAAAGATTTGCACTAGTTGAAGAATGCATTCTTAACACTGTAACACAGATTTATCAACAAAGCCAAGGATCTGTTCTCAATTAATAAGATTTCAATTTAGTTGTTGATAACCACTTTGTATTCCCAATTACTTTCGGAAGCATTTTTCATTTGAGTTTATGTGAATGTATTAGTGATGATGATATTGTAGAATTTCTATCATAACAGTTTGGTGTTATAACGTCTTTTTTTTTATATGAAATGAAACCATCAAGATTAAAAAATTCTTTTTATTTTATTAGTAATTTCTTTGGTCATTTTGATTCAAAGTGCAGCTTTTACTAATAAGTTTAATCTATTATTTATCATGTAATTACATCCATCATTTTTTAAATCGGCTATATGAACAATCGAAAATATAATCATTTCATTTATGAATTTAACTAAAGATCTGTGTTATTTCCTTGATTTAATGCACAAGTTGAAATCGAAACCTTATTGAAATAACATATTATTACGATAGGTTCTTTTTAATACTTTGTACACAAAATTCGTTTTTACAGTGATTTTATCTTATATATTCTTGTATCAGAAGATGTTCTAATCACCATCTGCTAATGTTCTCAACATATTCGTCTTACACATACACACACACACACTGTTCTTCAAGTCTGATTTCGATAATAGATATGCGATAAATAGCTCAAGGTCAACAGCTGGTAAGATCTACATTGAAGACTTCTGGTAAACAGCTTTTGTTGAATTGTATAATCGGAAGTAGTACCTTACTAATGAATACACATTGGAATTCAAAAATTATCTTTCAACATTACACAGAAAAAAGCTCTATTAAAGAAAAATGTGGTTTTTTAGGGTATACTGGATACTTTAGCTTTTTTTATTCGAAGGGCAAATAATAGAAAGAAGCCGACTCCAGTAGTGTCTAGTGCCTGAAATACATACTGAAACGTCCTTGTCAAAATGTTCCTGATTTTTTACCCTTGAGAAAATGTCCTTAATCCTCAATTACTGTTTTTTAAATATAATGTTACTGGAACGTAGATGACGCTGTAATCCAAACATATCTCGCTAGATATCTAAGCTGTTTAAATCGAGAATTCATTTATATACAGAATGAATTGAGTAAGAACGAAAAAAGAGTGTAAGTGTAGATTCTGGATGTCGGTGTGGATGCGGATGAAGAGTCTACACACATCCATATCCATCATCAAAGAGGATTATTCATGTTTTACTTGAAGGACATGCTTTCGGAGGATCATACCGCTACAAATAATTTCTCAGAGACATTTTCATGAAGAGCATTGTAGTACCTGTAAAAAAATTCTCAGTTCAGTCGAACATAGGCATCTCAACGAAACTTGGAGCACCATTTTTTGTCATTGTAATCTCAGTATCTCATAGAAGACAGTATCCGAGAACTTTGAATATATGATAACTTTCTCTCTACCTATCAAGATCTACTTGAGCTCAAAGTTTTAAATTGTTTTGAGGAGTACGTCATAGTAGCAGTTTGATTTAATATGTGATTGATGTTTTTAATTCTTATTGAGGAGAAACAGTACTTCTTCTATGCTCTTTAATATGCTCAAGCAATTAGACTAATTGTAGTATATATTCTGTCGTCAATCTGGAGAAAAATCGAAGAAACACAACATATGAACATTTATTTCATAGTTCATCATATGAAAAATGAGTATTTCATAATGTTGAAATCAAGTCTGGAGCATGGATATTCTTTTATAAAAATTTAATTTAAAAAGTTTCAACAATAAAATAAATTCGATTATGAAATGAATAAGCTGATGCCCTCTATTGGATGCATAACTAAATAAAAAGGAGGATAAAATAAAAATGACTATCATTGGTTGTTTCCTCTTCTCTTATGGTAAGATGTCATAAATTAATTAATCAATCATTTCATTTGTGCTTTCAATAGTAGATTGGGTATAGATATATCCTATTGAAAATCAGTACCAAAAGAGAAAAAAAAACATCAACGGATCAGTATATAAGTAAACTCAATGTTTCGTCGTGGTACAAAACGACCACGTTTTAGTCTTGGTGGTCATGCTATTTTCGAACATGACGATTCATCAAATCATTCTGGTCTTGGCATGGCGGATTATGAAGAAGATTCTTCATCTCAACAGCAAGCAACAACAGTAAATAATTCCGATCCAAATTTTCTTTTCAATCAAGTTACAACCGATCGACCACGACGTATTCAAAAATCCATAACTAAATCCCATAATGATGATAATACAAATTTAATTGCATGTCTCAATCATCTTTTACGAATACTTTCACGTAAAGATAAAGAAGGTTTTTTTCAATATCCTGTTACTGATCAGGTAACTATCCAAATCTTTGTTTTTTTTTACCAAAATATAAAATTCTATTTAGTTTGCACCAGGTTATTCACAAATAATTACAAGACCAATGGATTGTTCAACAATGAAAAAAAAAGTTAATCAAGATGATTATTCAAATATACTTGAATTTCGTTCTGATTTTGAACTTATGTGTGATAATGCTATGAAATATAATCGTCCAGATACAATTTATTGGCAAGCTGCAAAAAAACTTCTAGCTACAGGAACAAAATTAATGAATAAAGATAAATTATTAAGTTTTCGTCGTAGTCTTGAATGTTTTGCTCGTCTTTCTGAACGTGAATTAGGTTTTCGTATTGATTCATTAAATAATAATATTGATGAACAACAAACAACATCAAATGAACAATATGAATCATCAATAAATGAACATGAAAATTTTTCAACAATAAATTTAAATCAAACATGTTCACAACGTAAACCAAAATTAATATTAAAATTACCAAAATATTATGAAAAAGTTTCAACATCATTAGTACCTGATGAAGAAGATGATGAAGAATTATCACCTGAAGAAATTCTTTCACAAGCACAACAATCTGCACAAACTGCACATGATAAACTTTGTTTACATCATTCATTAAATACTTATACACTTGCATATCAACGTACAAATACTATAACATCATTACGTTTTATAAATCAAGATGATTTTAGTCAACAAACAGTGACAATTACACAATTAAATGAAGATAATTTATCTTCAACATTACCTATTGTTAATGGTAATGAAAAACGTCATCAGTTATTATCACGAGATTTTCTTGAAAATGGTCCATTTTCATCGAATACATCACAATCTGATTCAACATTTTCTTCTATATCAAAAGAAGAAGTTGATTTATTAATACATACATATGGAAGTGAATTTTCAGCACAATATGCTGTTTCATTAATGGATTATGTTAAAGATGCTGGAGATTTAGCATTAGCTTATGTTGATAGATTTTTATCAGTATTAACAAATGGTGAACATGATAATTTTATTATGAAAACACGTGAAAAACAACATCAAACTGAAGAAGATCAAAACAAAATTGCTGAAACAAGTTCAACTAACAATGGTAAGATGGAGGAAGAAATCTTTTCTACTTATTTTTAAAATAACGAAAGAATGTTTTTAAGTGTTAAATCGATTTTCTGTCGAGAGTGTGTACATCATATAAATTCTAAACCTGCGTCAGAGTTCGAGCTAATTACGATTGAGATACTGTATTTTTAGCTGAGTATCATGGTCTCCTTCAGGAAAACTGAGTTTTGAATTTATTTATATAGAGACACGCCTATAGTAAAGCATACTTTTCCATGTCGCTCACATACAGCGACAAATTCTGATGTTCTTTTGCGAAACACGATCTGAAAAGAGTATCAAAGTTTATAGGGTTAAAATTCGGACTCCTACAGACCGTGAAAGACATTTCGATATGCTCTTATCAAGGGTTTATTATTTAAAAAACTAATTAACATCTAGTTATTAACGCATTAGTAACTCATTAATAAGTAATTAATGAAAGGAATGTTGAAGGATATCGCGAGACAAATGAACGTGCCCCACATATGATGACCGACAAAAGCAATGATGAACATGACTTCCCATAGTATCATACAGCTTGGCAGGTATTGCGATAGTTCAGTCTCTATTACATATGCGATGTGCTTCTTAATAAGTGGAACAGGTCAAACATGTTTTACACATTAATTTTGCAAAGATTAAGCAGTAAGATTTTTAAGATTATTCACAGTCAAAAACCTCGAATCTTTCACAATCAGCTATTAGTCTGAACTCTTTTCAAGACTCATTGGAACCTATATGACACACATAGTCCTGACTAAAAAGTGATTTGACACTTGGAAATGTTCACGTGTAAGAGAAATTTATTTTTGAATATAGTTGAAGTGCTTTTGTATTCATTCTTAATAAGTTTTAAATCTTACAAAAATATTGCTCTGAATGAAATCTTCAGTCAATAATTATAGTACAGGATGGTCTGAAGAACAAAACTTGTCTTTTCTTTGCAATATTATTTCTGTTCCTCTAGAATTTAATTTTGTCGAATTAGTTTTGTAATAGATAATGTTTAGGAAAATCTAGTAGATAGAGTACAGATATTTCTATTTTGACAAATATTTCATCGTCACTAGTGATAGTCAATAAACCGGTTAAATATGGAATTAATTCTAGATCAGTTTACTCTCATCGGAAAACAAGAAGAATTCTGATTAACAGTTTTGAGTTGAAATTTGATGTAATCATAGAACTAGCGATGTATTCGCTATGAAAAAAGCTGCTTTTTTTTAGCCTTCGTTCTTTAGATATCGAAATTTCACCGGGTTTTTCAACAATAAGCTTTCGTCTCCTTCAGGTCACCTGAAAAATGGACTTTCGACTGCAAATCTTATGCAAACAAAGCTATTAATAAGATTAGTTGATTGTACAAATTGTAGCTTTTCTGATTGCGCCTCTCTTGAAATATCATTATATATATTCGAAATTCTCTTATGTATGAAAGAAATTTTTACGCATATACATCTCTAGAAAGAAAATGTTAGAGAAATTACAACTTGCTCAATGATCAAATCACATCGACAAGTTTGTTCATGTGAAGTTTGAAGTCAAAATCGAAAGGCGATTTTCCACGTCACCATAGCTTTTTATTGAGCAATCATCTAGTAAAATTTTACTATGTCAAGAACAGAAGCCTGCACAATGAAACCATTCCAGATTTTTTTTTAGTGCTTATTGGCACTCATCAAATGAACATCGTCTCGATCGGAAAAGAGATTTGACATTCGGAGAGATAAAACTGTTTCGTGATTGAATTTTTTACAAAAAATTGAAATCTAGAAAATAAAATTTTATATCAGAATGAATTTCATAAAATAAAAATGCTGTTATTTAGTAATGTTCCGTCTAGCTCCATCTATTGCAAAATAAATTGATTCAAAAAGTAAATCTTTTAATTGTAGAAATTACATTCCATGCAAAGTTAAGTTTTTTGCTATCCTATATTTTCATACATAACTGAACAATTGAAGACAACAAGTTTCTTTTTTCTTTTTCAATCTATTAATTCTATGAGAATTTGAATTACAATCTAAAATTATATATTTAGTAGTTTCATCGATTGATTCAATTTCATCTTCGGATCAAATTAAATTAGAACCACAAATACATAGTAGTAATACTTTGCAGCATCCACAATCAGATACAAAATTGAATGAAAATTCTAAATTATTTACACAGTTACGTCATTCACAATATAATCGTTTATCTCAATCATCAAATGAACTTCATCAAGGAATCCCTCCAAAACAAACAAATGATTCAACTAATGAATATGATTTAGCTGAAAAAGTTCTTTTTAATTTTAATGATATAACGTCATTGTCAAATGGACCTGAGAAATTAATCTCGTCTGAAAGTATGCATCATAACTTTGATATTATTAATAATAATGAACCATCGTTATCAACATTTGACACATTGTAAAAATTTTATTTATTTTGTACAAACGGATTATTTTTGTTTTTCTTTTTTCTTTTTTTTTGTTATTATTGTACAAAGAAATCAACAAAAGCAAAGTTAGGGACAGTGTTTGATTCCTCAATGTATATATTTCTATTTTTCAGATTATAATACTTGAAATACAATAATAATACGTTTAGATTCATTAAATATTTTTATACATTGTGCAGGTATTATTCTTCGATATCGACATTTTTCTAAACGATCTTTGCTAGCGAAAAACTATTTACGACTAAAAAGTGATTTGGAATATTAAGAATTGAAGTTAGTAAAATGCCATATTTTATGTCCAATCAGAATTTAGTAAGTTCTCTACAAAATCACATTCTATAAAACAGTACAAATAAACATTATGAGAAGAACTTGGTTGCACTTTTCTCATCATTCATTTTGTGTGAAGTCTCAAAGGACTTTTCCAACCAAATATGTTTGTAAAATTTTTCAACCTTTGGCAAATCAGATACTAACAATAGATGTATTCCTTGGTTGCATTCGATTTATTACAATAATACATCATTGTTTGATAGGGTTTGTTTTTATCCTTAGATCTATTTTCAAATATATTTATTATTATTAAAAAATCGATATGTCGAATGCTGATCATACATTTCAAGTACCACCGGTATTTAAAATGAATTTCGCTTGATTTTTTTTTGTTTCTCAAAACATGTTTTGATTTTGAATAGACTCGTTCATTACGAGAATTTATTGAAGGTAATGAATGGAGTAAACCAAATTTAAATCCAAAGGAATTCGATGAAGTTCAAAAACAAGTTATTTCAAATATAATCTATTTTCAATCAAATTATGGTGTTATTTTCATACCTTTTCTTCTACTTGCCGGGTAAATTTCTTTTTGTTGAATTATATATATTTAGTATTATTATTTTCATATTTAGTTATTTTAGTCCAGCAGGAATCCTTTTGGATCTTCTTGTTATTGCTATTCTCTTGGTTGTTCATTTCTATTTAACACGTGAAAAAACAATAGTAACAGTTCATTTTCGTAATCGTCCGATTCTTATACTTATACTTCTTCTTGTTGCTGCTTTTATGATAATCAGAATGTTTAGTTCTGTTTGGATATATTTAATCGGTATTGTTTTACCAATAGCATGTAAGTCATAATAAATAATATTGTGTTTTATTTCACTATTTTATCATGAAATTTAGTAATTGTTGTACATGCAACAGTTCGCAAACCATCAATTCAAAATAAAGCAACAAATGCAGTTGAAAGTCTTTCATTACAAGCTTCTCCAATGGGTCTTGTACTTGGTTGGTTAGGTTTAAAATCAATTGATGATCAATCAAAATCATCAACCCAAAGCAAATAAATATTTTCACTTATTTTTTCTTTATGTTTTTGTTTATTTTGAAATCATACAACGAAACATTAAGAAATAGTTTGTCATTTTCTTTTGATAGTAGTTTTCTTGTTCTTCTTTAGTTTTTTTTTCTCTATATGGTGATCTGTCTTTTGTGCTAATTTATAGTTCTGGATAGATGGTGTAGGTGTGTGATATTTTTTTCTCCTTGTCAAGCTTTATCTCTATATTTTATTTAAGCCAATTTTTGTTATTAGAGGATTTTTTCCTAGTAGAAGTGTATTTTTTTTTTGGTATAATAAAACATAAGTGAATTAGAGTCAGTAAAATGATCATTTACATGAAAGAGAAAAGTTTCGTAAAAAGCAAATACATTGAAAGCGAAAAAAGATAGGTTTTCAAATGTTGAACTTTTATTCAAAATATAGTTGAATTGTGGCGACGTGTTTTGGCTGATATACAAGTAATTTGATTGAAAATCAAAAAATGGCTTCTCTGTAGGAAATCGGAACAAGACGATTTTAGTGGTTTCTGCAAAATAGCTGTATCTCACAAAGGGAGCCACCTGAAGTGAATAATCGATTTTAAACTGATATTTTGCTCATAAGTAGGTCCCGATGAGACCCGAAAAAACCTTTAAAGATAAGGGTCCGTAAGTCTTTCTTCTCAAGTTACAGCTATTTACTGGGTTTACCACCTATGACAAGGAATTTACTGAAAAAAATCAAATTACAGAATCTCAATTTGAAATTTTGTCCAAATGCCAATCTTTCGACTTTTTTAACATGTAGCGTGGGAGAATTTTCTTGAACACTCAGTATGTCGAGAAAGAAGCTTCATGTCCTGTGAGACTTTTAGATTACTATAAGAGCCATAAGATCTACATGTGGACAAAATTTCAGATCGAGATTCTCTAATTTTATTTTTTGTGTTGAATCCTTTGCCATAAGTGGTAAATCCAGCAAAGTAGCCGTAACTGGAGAAGAAAGACCTATGGATCTTTATCCTTCTAGACTTCTCCAGTCTCATCGGACCCTATCTGTGGGCAAAATATCACCTCAACAGCTCTGAAAGACTTCAGACGTTTTCTTCGACAGCTAAAAAACGGCACGGAGAACTCGTAAACATCTAGCTTGGTAGAGAAATATTTTCTCTATCATTCTATGAAGTCTATAGATTATACTTAAGCGTTCTAAGTACTGGAAAACTAGGACTTTGGTTTTTCTGCAGTTCATATCTTTAGGAATCTGATAATAGTTTTTATTGCTTTATATTCCTGTTATTGGAAACAATTTCCTCTATTCGAATCACTATTTGTATTCTTCCGAGCGCTTATGGAAGCGACAAAAAAATTAAAAATAAACCTTGCTCAATAATTTTGGCGCTCACTGTATATCTATAGAATCTTTCACTTGAAATATAATTGGCCAAATGAAGTTCGAGATGTTGAAGTAATAAATTCAATAATATTTGAAATTGAGCAAATAAGTCAGATTATTATAAATATAACGGAGAAATTGTTTTATGCATTTTTATTTAGAAAAAGAGCAAGAGACTATCGTTTATTTGCATTTATTCAAGATAAATCAAAACTCGGCGACTACTGATTTGCAAGTTAGAACCATAATTCTATTGTGTTAATAGTTTTGTTTGTGATTGTCAATTTAATTTGTGACTAAGATGTTTGGATTAAATTTTAAAAAGCTTGATATATGATAGTGCATTTCTAGAATTTGAAAGACTATTGTCCTACGTTGTTCTTTTAAAGCAACTTCATCTTCATCATCCATGTTAGATAAAGCTATCGATATCTCAAATTTGAAAAAAAAAGAAAGCAATGTTCGTTGCATTATTTCGCCTTCCACAAAGATTTAAGGCGATCTGTATCAACCAATATATTGTAATAATCCATCAGGTTAATAAATCAGATATACGATCGTATAAAGGTTTGTAAAATCTTAGCACAAGATCAATAAAAATGTTACTACTTCACTTATTGTAAGATTTTAAATGGCTATTGAAATAAAACTCAAGCAAAAAAAGTACAAGAATCATCAAATGCGAGCATATCTGCCCAGGTAAAAATCAAACAAAATCATATGAAAAACGTATTAGATATTGTGGCCTCTGTAGGGTGTGAATGTGACTGTGGATGTAATAACAAGACCCACACCCAAACGAAACATTGCCCTTGAAAATTGTTTGTTTGAGGAGATCTTGTAACTTCTTGAATCGTTCTTGGCAAATAATGAATTCTTCTTTCTAAGTGTTGTTCATTCTCTTCAATTTAATTTGAGAAGGAGAAAGAAGGATAAGGATGTCCATGCCGATTGTGAGAGTGTGTATATCTTTATTAGTAAAAGGTAACATAAAAATGCTTGATTACAAAAATAAAATTTTTGTTCATGAGGTTCGACAACTCAGCATTTGAAGTCGTCGATGTTGATAGCACCAGCTTGTGATGCCTTCGTGATCCAATCGTTGACGGCCCCTCTCATGGCCCCATCTCGGCTCAGTGCGGTGGACTGTCCTACGATTCCTTGTCCTTTCGTTGAACACTGGAACTTAGCATCCCACTTCCATTGCCAACTTGAGAAACGACCTTTCAGATTGCCTGTACATTGATTGCCGCACACATTGATTGATGTGTCTTCGCCCCACTTATGAATCTTCCAAATGGAATTAGCTAGCGCAGTTGCACAGCCTACATAATTACCAGTAACGAGGCCGCCGACACAGGCTTCTGTGGGAAACTCGAATTTAGTTTCTCTCATAGCAAGGCCGATGAGAAGACAAATCAAGAGAAAGACTTGCTTGTCCATTTCTGGTAAAGAATCTAAAAAGGTCGAGCACAAAACTTATGATGTACAGCACTTTTTGTTATTCAGTACAGGGAATTGAGAGTTTTTGAATTCGGTATGAAAATTTTATGAATCATTGGTCAAATCTTTTAGTGCAGTAACTAACTTAAATCAGAATAAATGTAACTATAAAAGACTTTGAATTTGCTGTTACAACGTAAGTCGATCTATACAGATTGTATTAGTCACGAAAAGAGAACGCAATTGTAATTACCTACACAAGATTTTCTATGTAGCCCGTGAGATAACATGAGCTGCACTGGTTACGTTTCATTTATACCCTGATATGATCGACTAGAATGTTTTTTGTGTATTTTTCATGTGAAACTCGAAAACTATTTCCTTCCAACATGATGTCATTAATTGAATAGAATATGAGTAATGAATAATTGGATTCAAGTTGGAAATAGTAACGACTAGTGATTCAATCAAAACTGTGTTGTTGTTATTGACACTAATTGAAATATCAAGTATATGCTTTTGGTGCGAATCGTGGTGCGCACTCATCTACTAATACACTGGCTGACCCGAATAATATATTACCAACGGAATATGAGCGGTTTTTGATTAGAAATTTCACGTGAAATAATTCATGAAAAGTTATAGTTTCGCTCGACTGTACTAGAAGCATTAGTGTTCAAAATACGAGATAGGGGGTATGAGTGGATGTGAGGAGTGTGGATTAAGGTGTAGGCGCGGATGTGAGTGATTAGAATATACCCATTCACACTCTATACGCACGTAACCTATATGCAAATACTTCAGAAAGAAAAAATGAAAGTAGCGATTAGATCACGCTATGAAAGGGATATATATACAGAAACGCAAGTGAGACTCAGTTACCTCACGCTAAAACACCTGGAGGGAAATTCTAACATAAACCATCGCGATACTTTGATTTTTTTCTTATTTTTATCCTGTAAACTAATCCTGCACCAAAAATTTCCGAAACTTTTTTAGTTGAATTGAATTGAGTTGCCTTGCTCCGGTATGAGGGTATGAATGTCGTTGTGGATGGGTTACCAGCACATCCAGATTCACAGCCTACACGCGCCCCCATCCTCCATCGCTTTTCAATCCTGAAGTCAAACATCTATTTTTCTCTCGCATGATGCCGTATTTTAACCCTGATTATAGACGCTCATAGACGCTTCGAGGTATTGCTTCCTGAACCTTCTAGTGGATTGTGAAGAAAATAACAAGCATCTTCATGCCCATGTGAAAGCGCTCCATCGTGTTTCATAGTTTAATCTCCTGTGGATTGCGCTGAAAGCTTTTTCTATCACAGAGATTCGATCGAGTTTATAAAAGACAGGCAGCGGGATGCGAGTAGGTAGGAGCATATGGGAGATTTTGACTCCCACGTTCGATTTTAGTCTTGTTGTATATTAAACTTAAAGGGATTATGTCGTCCATCGAATGCGCAGAATCTGTACTATAGGTGATAAGTTAGTTAGAATTATTTATTCAAAAATTTGCACATTTTCATCTTCAGACATGTAATTCAGTCACCCCAACCATATTGTAAAAGGATAAGATGGCGTGTTTGCGCGAAAGAATGGATCATAGTTTTATTATATCAGCTTTTGAAATTAGTCTAATAATATTTTTCTGACGATATAGAAGAAAAAAACTCTTGTATGCATAAATGTAGTCCTGCTATAATAGCGAACTTCAGCCGATAAGATGCAGTCCACCATCAATAGGTAATGCGACGCCGGTGATGAATTCGGCACGTGAAGAACATAAAAAGGCCACTACTTCACCGATTTCCGATGGGTTAGCCCAACGCCCAGCAGGCGAACTCTTCACCCTCTCTTCGATGGCATCAGGCGAGACTTTATTTTTTTCGAACAAATTATCCCACGCTTCTGTCTTGACAAAACCTGGAATAACACAGTTGACGTTAATTCCCTTGTTAGCTAATATGCGGGCGTGCAGCCTCACTAGAAATTCCATACTGGCTTTTGCTTGACCTGGATTTTCGTAGGATATGCGTGGCGATTGATTACAATTGCAACCTGGACTCGAAACCGCAATCACATGACGCAGACCTGTACATGTTAATGCTAGTTGCAAGCCTCGTTTGAAAGCACGTGGATAGACTTTTTGATAGTAGTCGAAGTATGCTTCGAAGTCGTTGTCGTCTTTTGGCTGAACATCCGTTAACTCGGTTGTAACGCCAACATGAAGTCCAGCATTGTGTACAAGTGCTGTAAGTTCATTGTTAAAATGGGTACGTACGGTGGTGAAGAGATGTTCCATCGTATCGGGAAGAGCAATGTCTCCACCGCAGCATACCACTTTGACACTAAATTCATTCTCGATTGCTGTCTGAGCACTCTTCGCTGCTTCATGATTTTTGTGATAACCTAACACCAGATTGTATCCATCCCGAGCCATGCATTTTGCAATTCCAAGCCCAATTCCACGCGTTCCACCAGTCACTATTGCCGTCTTCATTCTTAACTGTAGCACAAAAAATACGTTAAACTAGAATATTCTTTTTTCCTCCTGCTTATATAGATAAAAATCCACATATGTCCCAAGCAAACAACAATAAAAATGATGTCATCAAAAGCTACTACTTTGAAAACGAATAGTATCTATTTAAAATTGTTTCATTTACTATGTAATGCAACACTCGTTGGATAAGAATGAAGATCAAATAGTTCGCTTTCTTAGTTCTCATTCAAACGATCAATGACAGAGAGAACTGTATGAAATATTTTGAAATGAAATTATCGAAGATGATATAGTGATTGACTTCAAATCATGAAATTTATTGGAGGTTTTTCGACTTTCATGTACTTTTAGAATCGAAATTCATCAATATGCAGCAATAGACACGGACGTAACTCACTACTCAAGGTAGGGTGGGCACAGAGGAGTGTAGCATAGGCAAGTATCAAAAGTAGAAGCATGCGACCTCCTACGTGCTCCCTGCTCCATAATTATGCCTGTAATAATAGATTCCAAACATACCTGATTATGAATGTTTAAACAAGATTCGAAATGATCAGAGTAGACAATTGAAATGTCTAGTATATTCTGTGTTGATGAACTACCAAACATAAAGACATATTCATTGTGAAATGAGCTGAATGCAATGAGCTATTGTTTTGCTGTTCGTTCCTAGGACACATAAAGAAACGGAAATCACATGATATTTAACAGAATCCAGTTTTATCTCAACTCTTGTCTCGGTCTAGAACACCAGTTCATAGAAGTTTCATGTTTCAATGATAAAATCAAAAGAAGAGAATCAGGATTAGGAAAGAAGTTCAATTGATCGTTGATCACGATACAGATGCATTGATCATGAACATTAATATTTGACTAGTTGTTCCTCTTTGTCCCGACTAAAGAAACAATGTAAGAAAAGAACTTTGATATTTTGAACACGAAGAGCTTTGTTTAAGAATCGAAACACAAATAATTGTCGAGGAAACCATCTTAACTTTTTGGCACTTGTATATTTTTTGTTGAAACTCAGGAACAACAGACAATTCTGATCGATTTTCTTTTGTATTGCTCTACATAAAAATGAACGAGTTCATTAAGATCGATTGAATCTCTTTGATTCAAAAGAGACAATCGATCAATAATTGACAACGAACCAATTGATCATTCAGTTTCAATCCAACACTCAACAAAAGAGGTTCATAAGCTTTGGTCCGATTTCGTCTTACTTTTTTCAGACATACATCGTTTTACACATGCTTATGCTAATAAATTCTAACGCTAAAACATAGATGCGCAAATACCGATACAAGTTGTATCGGCTGCTTCCTACAATCTCTGATATGTTCCTGCTGATCAGTATCTATCGGCATGTATCGGCATGTAACGGCATGTAACACCATGTAACGACATGTATCGGCCTTATTTATCGCTGTAACAACCTATATACCCCTGAAAAACCTAGAATTCAAGAATTCATGTAACGCTATGTAACGGCATGCAACGTTATGTAACGACATAGGTTGTTACAGCGATACATAAGGCCGATACATGTTGTTACATGTTGTTACATGGCGTTACATGGCGTTACATGGCGTTACATGAATTCTTGAATTCTAGGTTTTTCAGGGGTATGTGGGTTGTTACAGCGATACATAAGGCCGATACATGTCGTTACATGCTGTTACATGCCGATAGATACTGATCAGCAGGAACATGTCAGAGATTACTGGAAGTAGCCGATACAACTTGTATCTGTATTTGCGCAGCCCTCCGCTAAAAATAAAGTATTTTACATCAATGGACAGAAAATTTTGTGCTCTATACTTTTATGATTTTTCTGAATGTTCTTATTCGTATTGGTCATGAGAAATAGGTTTAGAGTCAACTCGTGTTAGTCTTTTATAATACATGATGAAAACTCACGTTTTCCAGATCCACATCTGTATGTGTGACGTTTGTTCTCATGTCATCGAATGTAGAATTAAATTCTAAACAAACTAGTGTAACTTTAAGTTTTGAACAGTGAAAGCTATTATGGTTATTTATATCAATAAAGGTATAATGGCAAAAGTTGGACAGCAAATAAACTTTTCCATATTGTTAGATTCATCTTTTTCTTTTGTTGTCTCACAAGTATCTATTCTAAAGTTTTGAAATATATATCAGAAGATGTGAAATTTTATTCGGACTCTTATGCCATAGTTGAGATTCTCACAAGACTAGGAGTGGGTGTGGGCTTCCGTGTGTGGATGAAGATATTGGTTACGGGAAGATCTACAGCTGTATCCAAATCTACATCGACACCCGCACTTACACCTACAACCTTCTTTGATCTTTCCTCTCGGGATTCTAGAAGATCCTAATCTTCTAGCATATTGCCGAAATTTAATCAAGGCCCACTAAATTTCTTGCAACGTCCTATTGTCAAGAAACCTATCAGAAATAAGTCAGATTCAGCCAAGATCCTAATCATCTTTTCAAATCCCATGACATCAAGAATTAATCAAGAGACACTCAAACATCCTAAATAAGATCCTGTAAAGTTTTGACACACACCGCTATTCGTACGAAGTTTCGTGCAATGTCTTACACGATCCTGTTAAGATGATATGATGTAGGATCTTATTCAGTTATAAGACGGAGTGCGGATGTTGGTGAGTGTGTGGGTGAGAATGTGGATCTTGTTGTTACATCCACAGTCGCACCCACACCCACAACTTCACCCTCCTAACAATGACTAGTTCATTACGAAGCTCTAATAATAACTAATTCCAGCATATAGACAGCTGCCGAAATCCATGTCTCGTGAAAAACGCTAATATACAGTCTATTGAATTTACTTTACGTGGTAAAACGATATCATACATTATGAAATCAACAGCCGTCAATAGAGAGGACGTGAGTGTAGATGTGCTGAAGAAAGGAATCCACATATCCACCTCATATCCTCATCCCACGCACCCACATCCCACACTTACACCCACACTCACACCCACGCCCGTACTCTTCTATTGCAAAAAATGATCAGTTTAGTAAGATCGACTAACTCTGACGTTTTGATCCTGTTTGCAGTTACTTTTGTTTTTTTCTGGTACCTTTCCCATAGAAATACTCCATTTTATGAATTTATTATGAGTCGAAAAAGCAAGAACAAAATTGCTGCTTATCGTGAACTCGATTTTGGCAAAATTTAAAGTGTGGAGTCAACACACAGATATGAAAGAGTCATTTATCAGCGCACATTTTTCTCACTTTAAATATCATTATCTCTGAGTGCACACATTCTCATAAACAAACGTTAAAAACATGAATGTGAAGGTGAGTTGCTGTCTCTCATTTTAATTGTAATGTGAGTGTCGTTTTTGTGTTTTTGTACAAGTTCATTGTTCTACTTGTTCTTGCTGCTGTGGTTACCGGTGATTTTTCATTTGAATGGAATAAATTCAAGCGTGACTACGACAAGCACTATTCATCAGCTAATGAAGAAGCCGAACGCAGGCAAATCTTTATTGAAAATATCAATCGAATGTATTCTTACCAGCGAACTCATCCTGAGGCATCATTCACGATGGCAATCAATAGTTTGGCAGATCGGCGCATTCAGGTACTTCTCAGATTCGAATATCATTGATAAGAGACTAGAATAAATTACAGGAACTCGTACGTAAACCGAAAACTCATTTTGAACCTCGTCAAGCATCAATTGAAAGTTTCATTCAAGCTAACAACTTCCCCGACGCGCTTGATTGGCGCATGAAAAATGTAATCTCACCTGTCCATGATCAAGGTCTCTCAACAGATGTTGTCGCTATTGTGAGCACAGGTAAGCATTTGTGCAACGGTAACTAATTAACTGTAGTGTTTTTCAATGGTCCAACAGAAACTATAGAGACCTTTGCTGCCATTCGCACCAAACAGTTCGTAGAAGGCAGCGTTGCACGAGTAGACGACTGTTGTCCACAACCACTTGATCCTTTTGACTGTATACAGAATCTGAGTGGTATTTGTCGTAAAACTGACTATCCAGCAACTCTTGGGGCATGCGAACCAAACCAATGTGAACCGTTTGCTACTGTATGTATATGACACTGTAACGCTTGTATTTTTTAGACTCAGAAAGATTCAATCTTGAGATTTAGCTAAAATTGAAGCGAAACGATCTTTAGGTATATTTTTTTCAAAGTGTACCCATGGTATGCGTTTTGATGCAGGAATAAAGGCATTTTTTTAATTTCATGAAGCCGAAAATAACTGGAACGAAGTTCCCCAGAAAATCAAGCTGATTTTTGTAACTTTGCAAATTTTTGCCATTTTCAGATCCAGAAGTGTTCTCAAGGTATAAATGAAAATGCGTCGTAAACTACGTTAGAGTTGAAAATTTCTCGAGAACTCGTTTTTAATCGAAAATAGTCCAACTATTTTCAAGTTAGAAGTAACAGCCGGAGCTTTTTCGAAGCTTTTGCGCATACATTTCGAGATCTTGCAAAGTTGAACATTGTGCCTTCCATTCCATCAGATCATAGATCACCAGTTGATTGGTATGAGAAAAGTTTTACTTATGCCATTCATAGTTTGACATAATCAACAGACTAAATGATAGAGATGAAAATACAATGTTGGCATGGATTCAAAACTCTACTCTTTATGCCGAAGTAGATGCCAGTGAAATCGCAACGTACGAGGCAGGTGTGTCAAAGTATATTGCACCTTTCTTGATACTTATCCTTTTCTTTGCAGGGGTGTATGATAGTCCCACATGCTCGCAAACGGAACTCGATCATGTGGTAAATAGTAATGTGTATTGTCGTTCTCAATGTTTAGCCTAGCTGCTTCCGTTTAGATGCAGATTATTGGCTACGGTACAGAAGATAGTAAGCCGTTCTGGCTGTGTAAAAATAGCTGGGGTGAGTACTGATTCGCGATAAATTTATCTGAACTATTCTTCCGCACTGTAGGTGTGAATTGGGGCGAACAAGGCTACATTCGTATTGCGCGCAACAAGAACATGTGTGGCATTGCCAATGTAGTCATACAAGTAGCAGATACAATAACCACACAGATGCCGACATCCAGCACCACACAGATGTCCACATCTAGCACCACAGACCATTCATCCCCGCCTGTATCAACTCCAAGCAGTGCTGGACGAAAATATACCACTTGTCAAGTTCTTTTTATGTTCTTCTTCGTTTTTCTTCTTTTCTAATTCAACAAGATAGATTACTAGTTGAAACGGTGAGCTAGAGAAATAAAAGTATGTTCTACTTGACACAATTCCTGTCAACTGATTTTTATTCAATCGCCGGTAATAGTGAGTGATTGAGGAGGTGAGGTTGAAGAGAACACCATACCTCTTAGCTAGGGATGTGACGTTGGTTTGAGTGTGAGACCGTTGGGTGTAGTGTGAATGTGAGCCTTCTATCCATCTAGACACAAACCCACACCCTTGGCCAAATGATTCGCCTAGCATTGCGACATAAATGTTGAATTAGTTTTCTAATTCAACTTCTGAATGAACTTGTTATAACGCCTAGTTAAAAACTAAACTGGAACAAATGCAATCATCTGTGAATCAAAGTATGAAAAACACGATGCTAATGATACTCATGGCCGAGCATTCTGATAACACAATGATCAATCAATTTTTTGTCTCTGCGTGCAATAATTGATCGGAAAAAGCAATCGGTAAAGTAAAGCATTTGGGAGATTAAAACAAGAGATAAGACAGGTTCTGAAACCCGTCTCATTCCACTGAAAACTATGAAACAAAACCTAAATAAGCACGGCAAAGACTTAGAACATATTCTCTCAATCCATGATCATACTAAGCTACTAAAAATTAAGAAAACCTTGACGGATGACGTGAATGAGATTGCTAAACAAATTGGGCAACTTAATCCGGCTATCAAAAGTCAATATCACATCACAGGATCAGCTCAGTTAAAACAAAATGTTACACTAGTTTTCGATCAGTAGCGTGTTGCCCAAGCACACGAAGATAGTATTGTTTTCATTGATTATGCATTCATAGAATAGAAACTTCCCATTTTTCCAGTGGTCGAAATATGCATAACAGATTTAATGCAGCACCTCACAAGTTCTATTTAAAATGCTAAATTTTCATATAAAAGTTTTTAGAAATATTCATAGATATTTGTTTTAATGAGCTTCTGAACAGGCAAAATAGAAATCTGCCCACGAAAACGGTATTTAAGGACCAACGAAACAATATACTAGAAATTAGAATCGGCCGGATAATTGTTGAAAGAGAAAGTCAGCCAGAGGCTCGGAAGTTCAGAAACCTCATGGAGATCCCTCAAAATAATGATTTCGGTATCTATATATATATATCTTCATCACACAGTTGTTTGGAATGTTGAAAATCACGCATGAATAGCTTTTTCTACTATCGAGATATTCAAAACAAAATCCCAGCGCACTATTTTAGCGACGAGTTGGACGTATTAAGCACAATTCAAATTAAAGCAGCGCTCAAATCTAGCCTAAGGATGTCTAGGAAATGATAAGTGATTAATTAGTAATGTCTGGACCATTATGCATGACGAAATTTTTTTCATGTTGTTCAAGTTATATTTGTGTAGCTAGAAGATTTTTCTATCAGAATTCATAGAGTCGAAGACTTCAATGATACTGTTTGGATGCATGTCTGTAGAAAACCAAGATCCATAAAACTAGCTTTCGGACTTGTTCACGACCTTCGTGGATCGAGCTGTATTCAATTTATTGAAAGTCCAAGTAACATTTTCTCTTCTTTTTTTCGAAAATTTCGATATTTTTGCCACGATTGACGTTTTGATGCTCTCTGTAAATTAAATGTAGTTCAATGAAGAAAGGTTCTAGAAAGGTCAGAGATATTTCATTCTACTCTATCAAATAAAATCTTTTTCCAAAAAGCTTTGAATGAAAGCTAAAAAGCTAGCTTTAGGGATCTTAGTTTTCCGCGAATCCTCATCTAAGCAATTTCGCTGAAGTCTTCGTACCTATAAATCATGATAAAGACCTTTTCAGCTCGGCAAATGTTTCTTAGATTCTTGCTAGTTATTACCATGGAGAAGAAAATCTAAGAATACAGTGCTGAACATATATTGAAGAAAATAGAGTTTTACGAAATTCTACAGTTCAAACCACGTATAAAACATATTGTACTAAGTCGAAATGACATTGTGTTTGATTTCTCTTTTTTCAAATTGATTAGCAAAATGTCTTTCGAAAATTTATTTCTTAATTTGAATTAAAATAATATCACAGAAGCAAAAAAAAGAAGAGATACACATAAAGTTTATTATTCAAAGCCACCATTCAATAATATCCTCTAAGTCATTACTCAATGGTCTAATCATATCATGAGATGGTGGATAATAAATAGTCGGTCTTATTGGATATTCTCTCCCATGTTCTCGAAAGGCGACACGAATTTTATCTCGACTTGTTATTGGTTCTGTCCAATTTGTTTCCGGTGTATCATCAGGTAAATTATGTCGAAGAAATGATAGTTCGGGTTGAAAAAGAATATGACAATAATTTTTTGAACCATGAGCATAACGTGGATGTGTTTCAGGATAATGCGGTGTAAATGTTGTTATAAAAAACGTCACACGATCAAATTCAAATACCCAACCAGTTTGACCAATACGTGATGGTGAGACATTCATGCAATGGCGTTTAGCTGGATCATGATCAGAAAGAAAACGAAGAATCTGTTTGAATACTTGACCGAAATCCTTTTCGAATTAAAACAATAAAAAACAAATTAAAAAAAAACAAGTTTTTTTCTTTACTTCAAGAGTTGCTGTTAAATGATTATGAGAGATTTCAATCAAGTAACCATCAAGAGATATGTCTTTCACAAAAGCACAAAAGAGAATAAAACTTGGCAACAGTCTGTTTGATGAGAAAAAATAAAACAATTGATTCAAATAGCTTATAACGCGAAAGTCTTAGCATAAAATATTCATTCTTGAGTCAAAATCAGAATTTTTGCTTTTCAAATTTTTCTTCTCATATAAAAATTGAACACCTATCAATGAAAACTCAACATTGTTGCAGAGCAGTGAACACTAAAGAGCTGATTTCTATGAAAATCAGCATTAGTGAAAAAATTGTTGTTGCAAACATTGTTTTTTAAAATATATACGTTTTGAAATCTATCAGAAAAGTAAATAGCATTCTCTGTAGAGCAAAACTAAGTCATTAAAAAGCATTCAATCACTACTTTGAACCTTTTGAAATAATTTTATAATAGTTGTTCAATCTTAAATCAGAAGGAGCAAATTCTAGCTCTAACTAATTGTTTTTATGGACTCCCTCAAAAATCTAGCTTTGACAGAATACATAAGTTATTAATGAAAGTTTGCATAGATGTTTGACTCATGAAAAAAAACATGTCATGCCTCCATATCTTACCGTCCACGAGGTTTCCAGATATCGAGCTGCAAAGTTCAGGATTCTTTCATCTTAAAGATAATTTGTTATCTCTTGGGATGATGGAAAGAGTTCTTTTTTAATTACTACTCTATTTTCTTTTTCGGGTTATCGAAACTTTAAAAATCAAGATATCCTAGCTCATTTCTTTTCTCTGTCTCATCTCATTACTCCGCTGGGTGTGAGGATGGAGCAGTAACGGAGTTACGAAGGAGTTAAAGCAATATGAACAATGCGCTTGAAATATCTTTGTGGTGACCAACGGCGGTTCCGCCGCGAGCTACGGCAACGTATGATTTTTTGACGCAAATTGAATTTTCTGAGAGAGGCGCGCCCTTAACTAGCTGAAAAATAAATGAATATTCTATGCCGAGACTTCGCGTCATAGATTGTAAAATTTAAAAAAAAAATATTTTTTGTATTACCGTTCACAATTATCTTCAATGGATACATCATTAAGCCAATGGGGTGCATTCCAAAATCTTGCTCGTTTTGCAAATATACAGTTGGATTTGTTTTGTATGTGGTGAAACTCATGTAACTTTGATGATTCACTTGCATTCAAATAATGTTGATATAAAACTTGTTTTGCATGACTAATATATACAAAAAAATCATGAAAAACAATAGACAAATATTCAATACATCATTTTTCCTCTTTCGTTATAGTCGCGCACACACGCATTTATTTACACATATACATATTACATACATACAGTTATCTTTGGTCTTTCTTTGGTATATCACGAATTCTAAACGTGATTATCATTGGTGGATCAATGAAATAAAAATGTTACCGGACCAACAGAATTATTGTAATAAATGTTCGGTAGAACGTAATGACTCATCGCCATTGTTGGTAAACAACCATAATGAAAATTGGTCTGAAACAGCTAAGCTGGTCAGTAACTCTTTGAACTTAGTAAACAATGATCAGCTGGAACTAGATAACCAATTGTACAATGATTCAAATGTTAAAATTCCACATGAACATCCGAACCATTTAATTCAATCCACTGATCAACATTTAAATTCGCCTGCTAGATCAATAAGACGTATGCATTCGGATGATCATAATAATATGGATGATGATTTTATTCCGGTGTCTTATAAAAAGAAAAGAAACAACAAAAACCACGAGCAAGATCGTATTCATCTTCAGCACGAGCTGTACCACGTACACAAAAACGACAATAGTTCTTCACCAAATCGTACCTTTAACGATCGTATAATAACAAATTCGAACTTACATCATATGCAACAACACTGTGAACCCAGTGATCCTAATCAACAACTACTTAAACAACATCATCAGCTTCAGCAACTACAACATTTAAATGTTACTGCTGCCGCTACACGTTATGCACAAACAAGATTACCATTTCCTCCATATATTATTCGTTTTAAATCTGGATATGTCAAAGAAAAACAAGCTGCTGAAGAAATAGTAACTCACTTTAAAAGCAATTTCCAGTTAGATATACTATTCATGAATTATCGTATATCAACAACGAAATGTACTGCCGGTGAATACAATATATTATTATTTGCCAAAAATATGGATTCGTTTACCAGTCTATTGGATCAAAATAGATGGCCATCCAAAATCGGTAATACTAGTTACTCATTTCCATCATCATTACCTTCTATACCACCGCAACTATCCTTAATCATCAAAAATGTGGATTTACGTACAAGTTTGAAGGAATTTACTGATGATATCAAAGAGCTGTATCCGGATATTAGAAACATTATTAGATTAAAAAATAAATTTCAACAAGATATTAGAATGGTCAAAGTTGAACTAGGTTCAATCCAAACAAGAAATAATATTTTAAAAGGCGGGAAAATTTGTATTAATTACAGAACTTATGATGTTGATGAATATATAGGCACTGCTAGTGTTCTCATTTGCAGCAAATGCTGTGGCATTGGTCACTTTAAAAGCCGATGTTCGCAATCTAATGAAACATGTAGGAATTGTGGCAATTCATATCCAGATTTAAAACTACACAAATGTACAAATGAACCATGTTGCATTCATTGCAATGGTAAACATGCTTCAAATAACAACAGCTGTCCGGTGATCAAACAATTCCGGTCAGACCTCACGAAGAAACTTCTGACCACGAACCATGGTACATTAACATCATCAACATCGGTTAACAAACCGTCCAATTGTGATCTGGTGAATTTTCCTCAATTAAATCCAGCTCTTAACTCGTCTATCCCTGGATCCAACAGTAATTTGAACACAAAATTAGATCAACTTATTCTTAATATGGCTCAATTAAATGAAAATATGATTAAAATTACAGAATGGAACAGTAAATTCGAAAAATTTATGAATGATAAAACTATTGGGGATCAAATAGTACAACAAGATATTAATCGTATAATGAACAACACCAAAAACATGGAAACGAATTTAGTGCAACACGATCTGAAACTGAAACGACACGAAAATATATTCGTCAAATTGCTTATTCCGTTTCTACAGGATATATCACAATTTATCATTTCATTAAACAAGGATCGACAAGGTCGAATATTAGATCCTGATCTTAAACTTAAATTCGAAATACATTATGCACAATTAAAAAAAACGGTAATAGATAATAACTAACTATGTCCTTATCTCCATTTGCATGTTCTTTTTTTTTCATGTGTCTCTAAATATAAACTATATGAGAGAGAAATTTTCTTACGGCATGCTAGGTCATCGTTATCTGAGATTGATTTCTCTCTTCTTTTAAACATTGTACAGGAATGGGAGAGCAGTCCAACATTAGATGAGTGTTTTTCTAAGTGGAAAAGTATTTCACCAAAGATTTCTTACAATGAAAATTCTCTTCAAATACTATCCTTTAATGTCAGGGGGTTTGATGTACGAGTATATGAAGTAATCCTTCTTACTAACTCCTTTAAATTTGATATATTGATTATGCTCGAAACAGGACACATTGATATTATGTTCTGTAAACAAGCTTTTTCAAATTACACAATCTACTATCAGAAAGGAGAAAACAGTTTTGGTGGTGTAGTGATTATGGTTCGCAATAGTCTGCGTACAGAAAGAATTACTTGCATGGTGCCTAATGTTTGTGTAGTAGATGTTCACGCAGAGGACGAAAAAATAAGAATCATAGGGACCTATGCTGCGGAGAGCAGAAGCTGGGGGTGGGAAGATATTTCTCAATTTATTACTTTAAAATGTGCAATTTATGGGGACTTCAATGTAGATCTCGAAAAAGATGGTGCTAAAGCCGAAGCATTACTAGCGTGGGCCGATACATATTTCTTAGCACCGTTCTGCCCTAGCACCCTTACTTCTAGGAGATCTGACCGTACGATAGACTATGCTTTCAGCATTGGATTCTCTATTGACCTACAAACATACGAAGGTAACACCACCAGTGACCATAAACCCATTATTTCAAGTATTCCCGTAAAACATAGAGAAAACGCCTTTGGGCGGAATATCCATTGGAAAGTTTTCAAGCTGTTTTCAGAGTTCGCTTATAATTTTTGGGAAGTTAGATGGGATCTTAATCAACTGAACATAGTCTATAATGACTATATTGCCTTTCTTTCGCTTCTCATAGCCAGATGTACGATAATCTTCCCACTAAACAAATATAGATCAGCTCTTCCTAAAGAGTTAAGATCTTTCTTATCATATGTTCGTGCTCTGTCATTTAGACAAAAGAGAACACACGATGTGGAGTTTAAACAGTCAGTGCGTCAACTGAGAAAAATTGGAAAGAACGCCATAAAGGATTTTTTCTCATCTCAAATCATGATTTTCCTGGAGGAACGTCATAAGCCCTCAAAGCTTTCAGTAGGCGTTTGGTCCAAGATTAAACGTTTTTTTAAGCCTACGGCATCATCTTTCTACGGTTTTATTGATACGGATGGTAAAATAACTAAGGAACCTGAGATTATGGCTGAGACTGCAGCTAATTATTATGAAGAGTTTTTCAAAGAAACGAAGAATATCATCCGTCCGCACCCATATACGGATGCCCCTTGGCCAAGGTGGGATAACTATAATGATGAAATCCCACAGGCGCATCTGGAAGAAGTCATAGAAATAGTAAATAGTAGAAAACTCAAGAAATCATGCGATGCACATGGACGTTGTACAGCTATGTTTAGTTCTCTGCCGGTTCAATATTGGAACCTTTTATTACAAATTTTCAATTGGTCTTTCTCAACATCTATCATGCCTACGGCATGGAAAGATGTACGTATGTTACTATTAGCAAAAAAAGATCAGATCTGCCTTCCATCTGCTACTAGACCAATTTCACTCTTAGATATTTTCTTGAAAATTAACGAAAAATTATTTTTGACGAGGTTTCGAGATATCATTAGGAAAAGGGGAATCTTACCAGATACCCAATCAGGGTTTCGGGAAGGCTTCCGGCTTCAAACCAGAGTTTTACTATTTCTAGAGGAGGTCTTATCCTTAAAGTCCAACAGCTCTCCGGTCGTAACTCTTTATGTTGATTTCAAGTCAGCCTTCGATCAACTCTGGTTTGAAGGCTGTATAGGGAAGTTAAGACAACTAGGTATACCAAAGTCCTCGCTCAAGTGGATCGAATCGTGGTTACTCAATAGGAGGGCCTTTGTTGAAGTCAAAGGCTCACCATCAAGGTGGTTTAAAATAGAGAGAGGGGGGCCACAAGGCTCAATATTTACTCCCACGTTATTTATAACGTATCACTCCGATATGTCGAATTTCCTAAATGTCTGTACAAGTTTTATGTTTGCAGACGACTTAGCTGCAGTAATCGCTGGAGGTATGGGAGCAAAATATAGCAAGCAATGTCTGGACCTTGAGCGAAGATTGAAATCATTTCTAGACAAGCTAGAGTTCTATTCAATACTAACATCACAACCTATAAATCTGGACAAAACAGAAGCTATGTGGACAGCGAATGCTATAGGAAATCCAAGATTTGACATTTTTCTTATGAATAAAAATATAAAATGGACTAAGGAGTACAAATATTTGGGCTATTGGATTTCCACCAAGATTGGATGGAATAATATGATCAGAAAATCGATGACTCAAATTAGGCAGAGAGTCTCAAGAATAAAGTCCTTTAGAATGTCTGGTGGTACATGTTTAAAACTGAGAAAGATGCTATTTTTAACATATGTGCTCCCAGTATTCACCTGGATTTTCATTTTATATCCGTTTTTTACTCAAAAGCAACAGGCTGACCTGTCGCATTTTTATTATACATCGCTCAAACGCGTGATGCATGCACTGCAATGGTCTGACCACCTCTTCGCTTTTATAAGCGATGAAAAGTTGTTAGAGGACCGGTGTTCATTGTACTGGAATAGATATCTTTCCTTTCTTTCGCAATCTATTGATGGCGAGTTGTTGATGGAGCAGGCAAACCTCAATGAAATTCGTAGAATGTGGAATCAGGGTGAATGGCCGATTAAGGGTATCCATAGATCCAAACGTTATAAAGAACATAAATCAGCATTGGAAATAGGTGTACAATGGTGCGCAGAAAACGGTCCCTCCTGCTCAATAATAAACTACGAGATGTCTGATATTGAGCTTTTAGCTAGCCACCCAGATACTTTTTAACATGACCTAGTATGCCGATAGATATATAGCAATTCTTTTAGTCTATCTCCTTGTTTTTCTCTCTTTTGATTGTGTCTGTTTGTTTTCTATTTTCTTTCTTAACTTTCTTTTTTCTTATTCTCCTTGTTCTTTTGGTCTCTTCTTGGCTTCTCGGTTTCTCGGTTTCTTATTTTATTTTCTACCCTTTCATTGATTTGAACTGTTAGGGCTACAAAGCCGCAGTGATTGCAAAATAAAAAAAAAAAAAAAAAAAAAAAAAAAAAATATTCAATACATACTTAATTGTTGCCTCCGATAAATCACGATCATTAGTAGAAAAGTTTATTTTATCTTTCGATTGTGATGTACCACGTTTTTTAAGAAGATAATGTGTACCTATAAGAAATATATTATTTAGTTTCACTTAATTCATATTTGATTTTGTTTTTATTTTAAATGACACATCTACATTCTAATTCGTAAGACAAATATGTTCTATTCTTTTTTTTTTCTATTTTTTGCTTTTTTTTGTTTTTGTTGTTATTTCTACTGTCTTCTTTGTAGTAGTTGTTGTTACAGATGGTGCTTTTTGACCAATAGGTATATCATATCGTACATTTCCATGAAGTTTTAATTCTTGTCGACATTGTTCAACAATATCATCTGATAAATATTCACAGACAAGATCAAAAGCATGTTCTTCATCTTCAACATGTTTTTTAAGTCGATCAATTCGATCACGAAGCCATACGATTAATTTTTCTTCATTTAATTTGATTAAATTTCTTTCATTATCAGTATCGCAAATTGAACAGAGTTTTTCAATAATGAAGTCATCATCCAATTCGAATTGTTTAAATGAATCATTTATAATTTTTGTTAATGGAACGAAATTTGTTCGTGCTTGAGACCAAAGTGTTGGTAAAAGTAGAAAAATTAAATTAATTGGAGTAATTATATACAATGATCCATCTGGTAGTACATGTTGATCATTAACAAACCAACTCGAATGTGGACGAGTACATTGAATAAGTTCAAAGATTGTTTTAGACTGATGATCAATAGTATAGGATTGTTCTTGTTTTGTACGAGGATGAGAAAATTGAATGAAATGAAATTGTTCAAAATCAACTGGTATAAGACGTTTATCCACAATTAAAACACGATTAGGTATTAAAGTAGATGAAGACATCTGAAAATGAGTAGATCATTTCAATTAGACTTACCAAGAAGAAGAATAGCAGCGAGTATTGATTTAATATTTATATGAATAGTGAAAAGAAGAAACAAGGCAAGTGATGATATTCGTAATCCTGAAACCACATTATCTGGTAGAATTAGTTGATGCATATCTGAAATAGATATCTGTAGTCTTTATCTCAATTGTCTGTCAATCGATTCATATTGCCAAAGACTAATCAAATGATAAAAATATAATCTTTAAAAAAAGAAAATATATATCTGTGTTTTTGCAGTCTTTATTGAATATTTCAGTCTAATTTAGAATAATCGATTGAAATAATAGAGTCAGTACAAAAAGAAAAGAAGTTAAATAGACTGCATCGTTCATCTGCACAACGTCGACAACTGAATCATGGCAATGAAGTTAAACCAATCGAAAAATACTTGTATTGAAGTTAGTATGAGTCATTGCATGTCTTCAAATCCGAGCTACGACCATAAAATACCAAATTAGATCCATAAACAACACTGAAAAATTATTTGACTGTCAATGTTAAAAATAAATTTAAATAGAAAATTAAAATACATTTTTTACTAGCGATGGGACAGTATATTGTTTGAGGAACCATAATCAACACCTTTAATCTTAGAAAAATATCCAATATATTGTAGTAGCTTTCATTCCATAAGATTTCTTTTAAGATTTTAATGTTGTTTTTTCATCAATTCTTTTGGTCTTTCAATATTGTATTTACTTCAAGAAGAAAAAATTGATCAAACACTGTTTGTAAAAGGATGTTCTGATTCTGATAGATCGTATATTTTTTTCATGAATTCCAAAATATGCTGATTTAAGATGAAACGAGTATTTATGCATATTGAACAGTCAAAACCTGCAAGAATCAAGCATAGAACTATTTTTTCATCCTCTTCAGTTTGCTAAAGGTTTTGATTGACTTTCTTGTTGTATATATATTCAACATATTAATCATCTCATTATTAAAATCAAATGTTTTATTATCAACAAATAAATCAGTTTTGATTGCTCTAATCAATCGATAGGTCATTTTCTTAATATTGTGGATTGTAAAAGCTTTATTTTACAAATAGAGTAAAAAACAAAACCGAAATGCTAAATTATTTTTTCGTTTAAAATCAAATTTATTTATCATATCAGCTACAAGTGCATTAATTCAGCAGAAATTCATCATCACATATTTAAGCAGTCGAAAACATAGAGTAACATGTTTCTTAAAATGCTAGAGATATCATTTAGTCTCGTGATGTTTATCTTTCGATATTGTCAAAAATATCAAATAGCAATTGCTTTGATTGCTTATTTGAGTATTCATAGTAAACACATAACGCAATGAGTCTTGATTTCTTTTAGTTTAGACGAATAGTCTTTTCTTTTTCTTTTTACTTTCGGTACTTTTTTGAAAGAGCATAAACAATCTAAAAAATCAGAATCATTTGACAACGACTAGAACGAACGAGAATGACTTCGAAAAAAATTAGCACAACTGCTAAGAGAATATAGACTCATACGAAATTGATAAAGCGAAAAGTCATGCAATGATTCATTTTGTTCACAGATGAAGCCATTTTTCATACGGTTGTTTTTCTGTCGAATAAGTTTCTTCCAAGTAATGTTAACAGTTGAAATAGATAAACATTTTCTTGTGTACTTCAAAAAACAATAATCTATAAACTAAATCAAAAGCTAATGTTTTTATAATTTAAATCATTTTACATAGGAATATTGCTTTTAACGTGATTACTCTAATAAGAAAAACATGTTTTAATTCGTTGGGTCTTGTATGTACGTACTCCCAACTATCAACTTTTCGCTATATGAGATTGATATCTGCAAATAATTAGCTATTTAATTTACAATAGTTCATCTAACTTATAAATATAGGGTGTCCAGTAAGTAACTCCACAAAGAAAAAGTTGAATATCTTCATTACAACTCGACCAAACGGGCTCATTTTTTTACCAAGGATAGAGGCATGTTCACATTTCAAATCCATACGGACAAGGTTAGTGGGAACCTTTGCAAAGTATCACTATTGACCTCAACAAGAANAGGGGGGTCTTATAATTGTGAGACACAGTGATTCAAATTTTTTAGAATTTATTCACCAATGGTAACCGACTAAATTGAAACCAATATGGTATATGATAGAGTACTACTAGATGTCTATAGGTGTGACATAAGATTAGAAATGAAACTTTCTTTAGTTGAATTAATCTTTACTTTTATGGAAATTTAGTGGGGGGGTCTTATAATTATGAGACACCCTGTATATTATCAATATGTGTCAAAATCTGTGGAAGAGGGAACGAATTCAAATTCTCATTCCTATACTTCAACACTCGTTTTAAATCATATTTTACAAAAAGTAAAGAGCATTCTCAAGAAACACCTATCAAAGACCATTTCAATTAAAATTATTATAGTATCTTAATAGGAAATTTTTGAATTAAGAATATAATCTATGATTGTTTTAAATATTTGATTCTGTGAAGAATTATTTTCTTTCTTTGATAACATTCCCAGAAACACGAATAAATCTATTGACTTTAACTAGTATGAATCAAAACGATTATTTAGACTTCATTTGATAGACAGAAAAAACCTCTCATCTCGTTTTTTTTTTTGTATAGGTCGTTAATATGGGTCAATCTCTATCAGCATCATTTCGTTTACGTGTTCAACAAAAAACTCAAGAAAAAATTGAACAAAAAGAACGTCGTCGACAAGATCGAGAAAATCGTTCTCGTCAACAAGAAATAAATATTAATAGTGATAATCCATATGATAATGATATTCCTATATCATCAACATCAACAAGTCGATATTCATCTCAACCTGATCTAACAACAATTAATAATGATGTACCACCAACACCACGACGACAAATTGATCCAAATATAAATGCAATTTTACCTAATTTTCCATCACAACATCGTTTTCGTGTTTCAAAAAATTTGTATGTAATCAAATTTTGTTTTTTTGTTTTTTAAATAGAATCATTATATTTATTTTAGTATGGCTCGTTCACAAACATTTAATAATCGACGTGATATACCAGCAAATGAACAACATTTAGCATTTAATCGTCCATTATCGGAAGATCGTATTGTAGATCAAATAAGAAATCCAGATCATGTCTATCGAGAAGCAATGGAATCAATATCAAATGATGATTGGGAACAGAAATGTTCTGGTCTTCATTTACTTCAAGCTCTTATTGCACAATATCCTGATACAATAACACAAAATTTACATCAAGTTGTTTTAATTCTTATACAAGAAGTCAGTTTATTTCTTTTCATTTAATTCATATTTCATTAAAACAAAAAAATGACAAAATAAAATAAAATTTTATTTTAAAGGTTAAAAATCTTCGATCACAAGTTGCTCGTTTTGCTTTATCAACATTTTGTGATATGTTTAAATATTTAAAACGTAATATGGACATTGAACTTGATATCACTGTTAAAGCTATCATACAAAAAAGTGCAGAAAGTAATGAATTTTTCAGATCTGATGCTGAAAAATGTCTTCAAATGATGGTGGATAATGTTACACTTCAAAAAGCATTACAAGCATTAATAGCTGGAGGAGCAAGGTAAATTTAAATATTTATCATTAATATTCACACTAGATAGAACCGTAGTTAAATTGTTAGATAACGAATTTTTGAACTACTGCTATATGATTGAGGTCTTTACACTGGTAGAAGACAAGATCAATGTGCCACAGAAAGGTCGAAAATAGGAATATCTCATGTCAATGATTCCGGCACGCTCCTGCCGGAAACAAAATGTTTCCGACCGGAAAAAAAGTAGGAATTTGAAAGCAGGCATCCGATGAGTGGATTTTTCTAGTTTCAGTCGTAATTTGATAGAGTCAGCTATTGGATTTTTACTTTGAATTTTGTATCATTTTTACTGACCTATATTTCTCGACCTGGGATCGGAAATTTCAACTACTAAGACATTCTTTGTTTTTGGCGTAATATTATCATTGTAACATAGATCATACACAACTCAAAAGATAAAAAAAAAAGCAAGAAATAATAATATCATTTTTTCCGTTTAGTAACTATAAGTGACAAAACATCTAAATATTCCACCAAATTTATAAGACCATAATAATCTCATTCATCCAACTTACAAATATGACATTGAATAGAAATTGTTTTGGCTTGGGATTGCGGGTTTAAATGAAGAGACCAAACTTCGAGTTTCATTATTTTTTTTAATCTTTTGACTTTTCTACGGTCAACTAGGAGGCTTGCGTCCAAAACTACCAATTAGTAATCATTATTGTTGTATTTTCGATAGAATACCAAAATTTTTCAAAATTCCATTGCAATTTTAATATTGCAGGTCACTGCACACTTTTCTACAGGGCCTCCGAGAGATCATCTATGAAAAAAAAGACATTATTCAAATGAATTAATTTTATTTTTTTGATCATAGAAGAAGTTTCAAGGTTTTATTCATAGATCAACAATTTATTGACACGTTTGAAATCTAATATGGTAGTCAATCATAAAAAAACTATGACAATTCATTTTGTAAGGTATTTTTTGCTAATCATTTTTTCGTAAAAATAGTAATTTGATACTAGCATCGTTATTTACTTATCAAAATAGAAATATTCTTTTTTTTTTTTTACAAAAATGATCAGCACAAAAAGTCTTATTCGATGAGATATGTCAACGAGTTTTTAAATACTTCTTTTTTGTTTTTTATAATTGAGTACTCATAGAAGTACTCTATCAAAAGTTAACTGTAGTTGCCCGATGTTTTGAGCGAAGTTCTTTTGTAAAAATATCAAAAAAGATCTTGTGAAGCATCAGACAAGTTGGATAAGCTAGGTGAAAACTCAACTACTGCACATAAATTATTTAACAACATGAAAAATTCGAATCATATTATAGAAAGCAAAAATCCATCGTTTATTTTCAGTAGACATTGTCAATTTTTTTTCTTTTAATTAGAGAGTAAAAGTTTGAAGCGATTTTATTAAAATTTTTAGTTTATTAATAAAACTTCAAGCTCTCCTTTCTTATCAAGAAAAAATATTAGCTCATTCGTTCACAATACATTTGAGAAAACATCTCTCTTCTTCGTGTTACAGATCCAGGCAGACGTTATTGATAGTTAAGTGCAAAGATGCTGAAGAAAAGTGTCCCAGAATAGACAGAATGCAACAATGTACGTGTGATCAGCAACAATAATTAGATTATGTTTTACGTTTTAATTCCTCGATGATTGCGCTAACAGTTTGTTTTTCTTTATTCTGATAATGTTGTCATTCCTAATTATTAATAAGAAAGATTATACAATGAAAATTATTCATATAAAAATAATCTCAAATGATTTGAATGAAATTTTTGCATAAATGCTTCGATAAAGATATTAGTTCTACATTGCTACACCTACAGCTTTGATGATAATCGTCTTCGTTTTAATGCGAATTACAATAAATCGAATATTTATCTTTAAATTAAAAAAATTAAATATATAATTTTAATTTTTAGTCATCGTAATCCAGCTGCAAGAAAAACATCGGCGAAATGCATTTTTCTTGTTTGTGAAAAATTAGGTCCAACAAAAATTTTAAGTGGTACTCGAGATATAACTGAACGTGTATTACAAGTTGCTGCTACATTTGCATCTGATGGACCACCAGAAATTAGGTATGTTAATATTCAATGAGAAAAAAAACAAAAAGAAAGAATTTTATTTTAGATGGTATGGTAAAAAAATCTATCATATGTTAATGCCATATGATGAACTTGATTCAATGATGAAACATTATCTTAATCCAACTGTTTATACAAATATGTGTGAAATTCTTGATAATATTCGAGCTAAAGTAAATTATTTTTCTTCTTGTATAGAAAAAAAAAGATTTTGCTTAATTTTGATTGAATAGGGTGGTGTTGGTGAAACTCCAAGTGAATCAGCAAGAAATAATGGTCGACGAGCTTTATCAAATGATAAATTAACTTCAAATGGGTAATAAAAAACAAAAATTCTCTATCTTTTTTGAGACAAAAAGAAAAGATTATTTTAGAAATTTAACAAATCAATTTTCCTCAACACGTAAAATAAATACAGTTGATCAAGCTGAACAAGTTCGAGAATTAACAAAACAAATGCGTAGTTCAGATTTTCGTGAACGTTTAAATGGTATTGAAGAATTTCAAAAGCTATGTGAACTTGAAACTGATACAGCTATACAATCACTTGTACAAATATTTGATGGTTTTAATGATTGTTTAGCTGATATGAATTCTAAAGTTGTACTTAAAGCATTAAATACAATGCATCAAGTTATACCTATATTACGTGATGCTTTATCAAGTGTTATTAATTCAGCATTACCTCTTGTTGCACAAAATATTGCATCAAAAAATCGAGAAATATCACAACTTGCATCGGATATTATTGATACAGCTATTGACTATATTGGTAAAAAAAAGAATGTTTGAAGGAAATTAAAATTTTTATTTTATTTCATTTGTTTTCTTATAGATTGTGGTGTATTAATACAACCATTGTGTACACTTAGTCAAAATAGCAATCTTCGTATTCGACCTGAGATCGTTCTCAAATTAGCTAGTAAGATTATTTTTGATAGCTACAAGGAATTAAATGGTAGTCGCTTCCTCTTCTTTTTGACCATGTTTGATTCTAGAAGATGGAACAATCGATTAGACTACGATTTGTCGTTGGTAGATAGGTTTATCATATATCTATCCTCTTCATCGTTAGTCTATACGTACAAGCTTAGATCAGTGGACAGCTTACATATGATCGATGATGAACTGATGTCGTCAGAGCTAGGATTGATACTTGTATAGTACTTGATGTACATTCTCAATAACATCTTTACGTCTTGTTTGAGATACAAATCCAATAAGATCATTTTGTTTGCGATCTTTCATTGTACAAATGATATTTTTTAGTCCTTGAGAAGATGAATAAAATGAGTCTATAACATATGAACTTATTTCAAATGGCATAGAAGTTATAATAGAAATACTTGAATTTTATCAAAAATACTCGTTCTAACTATAACCGTCATCGGTGAATCATTTCATTTATAAATGTAATAACAAGCTTGAAACATTTAGTTTTGATTTTTAACAGAAAAAATAAAAATTGAAAATTTATTTTAATCTCTTAGATGTTGTACCTCGAGTATGTCAACGTAAACCAAAACAAGTCGAAATTCATCTATTACCAACTTACTGGAAATTATTATCTTTATTACGTGGTCAAAATTCCACTGCTATAGCATCATCAGCTAGTGGTTCTAATAGTTTAAATTCCTCAATACATGTATTAACAACGGCACTTTATATAGAACTTGGTTCTTTATTAATTGAAAAGGCAAGTTCTAGCTCACTAGTAACACCACAAAATCTACAATTACTTCGTGAACTTTGCACAAATATAAATACTGAATGATTTTTCTTAATAGTTTATTTTCATTTACGATTTAAATATATTCCTAGTTTCTTTATTTCTGATTTGTGTTCGTTTATTTATATAGACGTAGCTCAAGCAATCAGTTTTTTTTTCTTGTTATTAAAAAGAAAAAACAGTGACACACATGTTTTCTCATTAAGAAACAAATAAAAGATCTTCATTTATTAATAAACGCTTCTTTTTCTCTGTGATGATGATTGTTAATAGTTCTTTTTCTTTTGTTTGTTTTTTTCTCTTTCGTGCACCTTCTTCTCATGCTATGTTTTGTAAAAAAAAAAACAAAAAAAAAGAAAGAAAGACAGCAAGAGAAATGATAGTTTTCTGTATGTGATTTTATTTGATCAAGGGATGAATTCAATGAAAAAATATAATAGTTTATGTTTTAATACAAATACAATTAAAGGATGAAAGAATTTGATCATTATGAAGAATTTTTATTGTTGATAGATCATTAATTTGAACAAAGAAAAGTATACGAAATGTTGTTTTACTATTTTCATATATTTCTGGAACTAATTCAGTGTGTGGATCAAATGGAATAAGATTCAGAAGAGAATCAAATGATTGTTTCATAAGAGTATTATTAATAATATGATTGTATAGATCTTTATGAATTTCTAAACAATGTTCTTTAAGTCTATCCAACATTGAAGATATGAGATTAATTTTTTCAATATGACCAAAATTAAATATACAAAAATTTCCTTGAATAATTGAGAATTTTAAAGCAGTAAGAAGATTTGTACTAGATGGATCGAATAATTCAACGAATGGACCACTATTTGAATAACGAAATAAAGCTGTTGCATTACCTTGTTCAGATAAAATTAATGGACATTTTTTATTATCAAATGGAAGTTTTGAAAGAATGATTTTCGGTTGAATTTCTTGTAATTCAACTTCTTCCATTGAACTATCGTTAGATATTCTTAAATTAATAGAATGAGATTTTTATAAGACTTGACTAGCAACTTCAGTAAATGTGTATGCATATATATAGTGCAAATGATCGTATGCGTAAGTTTTTGTTGAGTATATTATTACACATGCAACTGATTAATTGTTGCCATTGGCAGAGAAAGAAAAACAATAGAGCGCAAAATTTTATAATTTGGCATGTATGAAAAGAAAGCGATTGTCGAAGGTGACTCTCAATTCTTTTTCTTTTCGAGCCATTGTTTTACTGCTTGCTCATATTTTAACAAAGTTTATTAACAGTTGATAAAGAGAACGAAACAAAGATGTACAAAGAAAAAGCAAATGGCCTTTCAACCTCGAGAAAGATAATAGAGTATTTAATTTCATCTGAAAATGAATCTTTTCATTTTTAATCGATATCTATCAACTATTTTTGAGCATGTCATCAATATTCTTAATGTAAAAGAAGTTGTTATTGAATTACTTATGAATAATGTTCTTCATGAATAGTGAGAGATACAACTAAAGCATTTGAATAAATATTATAAGACTGAAATAGAAATTCGTTTTGATTCTTTTATCAATCGAGAAAAATAAATTGAAACATCCCTGGAAAACGAAATTAATTTATTGAATAAGACAACAAGCACAACTATGCTTCGGAGGATTTGAATGCAAAATTTATTTTAGCTAACTAACGTGAGAAATTCTCCAACTGATAAATCGAGTTTCCGTGGAGACTATGTGCATTATGTAGACCGAAATGAACTTTTGAATATTCTGCAACAAGTTCGTTATTTTCGAATTTCGACTTGAAACTTTGGATAGAGGCTGCCTTTAATCAGAATAGTTTTATTTTGTGAAAATTTCAAGTCTTTTGACTTGTTTATATCTGGAAACAAGAACATCAGATATGTCGGTTTATATGTGCGATTTAAAAAACACTATTACCATAGTTGTATCTCAAGACAGGAAGAATGGCATGATCTGAAACATTCACAACAAACTACTCTCGCTAAGACCTGTCCTCTATGCAAAATCTCAAGTCAAAATACGAAAATCAATTTTTCTGGTATCCTTGAGGGCGACTATAGCCTTCATTTTAAAAATACTCTAAAAGTGCAGTATCTTCACAACAATAAGCTACGAGCACGAACGCTATTCAGGATATTCATAGCTCATTTGGGTCGTCATAATGTATATACCTTCGACTGAAAATCGATTTGTCAATTGAAGAACTTCCTTCGTAAGATTTTTTTTTTCTATTAGCAATAAATTATACGTGTCGTCTGGATTATGGATAATTTTCCTCAATTGAAGGAAGAAAATATCTGCCGAATAGAAACAAGAGGTGAACTAGAAAAATGAGTACATTATGGACACAACTGAAAATAGATATAGTAAGATGATCAGAGTAGGTAGCTTGATTTAAGTGTCAATATCATAGCTTTCGAGTTAGTCTAATGTCTAATACCAAGTGTTGTCCAGACAATTTTTTTCAGCATGCATTGTAAACGAAAGTATTTTTAAATAAATAAGATGAAGTGACAAAGTAAAATAAACATGTCGAACATGGACTATGATCATTTTTCTACAATTACCACATAATCTGATAATGATAGAATAATTGTCAAAAATTTTTATTTTCAGCTGACACGAAAAAGTAAGAATACGACTGAACTCGAACAACTGGCGGAGATGACCTTGATTGTGAAACTAAAAAGAATTAGATATTCAATTATGTCTCATTAATAATTTTCTTCTGAATTTGTTTTTTAACACAATGAATCGTATCTTGGTTGTCATTTTTGTCTCGTTCACAGCAGTTTTTATTTGCGGACGTGTCTTCTTCATTGGGTAATCAACAGAGTCCACAATCAGAATATAGTCAAATTTTCTTGTGGGTCGAACACAAATGCTAGTTGAAAGTTCTGCTACTAACAAGATGAGATACTCTCCGATTCAGTTATGATTAATCATACCATATTTCGGTCTTTTCTTCTAGATCAGTCTGCCATAAATTATTTCCTTTTCCTCGTATTTTCAAGACTTTGATTGTAAACTTACTTAATATCACATATTTCAATCACTGTTACATCAATTTTCTGAATCGAAAATTCTTCGACACCTCAAAGTTTTCAACGTATTATGAATTTCTCGCATGTATGTACATATCTATGGCAGAGATTTCATATTCTCATAAAAAATTAACTAAAATATTATTTCAGCATTTCATTTAAGTTTATGTTTTCATTTATGTTATTTGTACAACATATATTTCATGACGATAAATGCTCATCATGTGGACATGTACTGGTTACCTTATCGGTGAGCATGGCTTCATTGTATTTTCAGTAAAATAATTACTCTATACTCGCGTGTACGTATCTCCTCAAATAAAAATACCAGTAAAATACTCTTTTGTCTTCATTACAATTATTTGTTCGAACAAAAAAAATCCATTACATTCTCTTTTTCACATATTCGAGGTGCTTTCGAAAGGTTATAAGATTAGAATGACTTGAAGAAAGAGATTTTTGGCAAATTTATAGTGCTTTTTGATAAGATGAAAGTACATTCGAATAGTCATCCACGCTGCAATACACCGAAGCAATATTGTTGTAAGAAGAAGTAAAATTTGTATTCGTGGGTGAAAGAATCTTCCGTTAGATTTCAATTCATTGTTTATAATAGACAATGGCATCTGTATATTCACTCTGATCCTCCTTCACTCCTCCGCAATGGTGACAAATGAATGCTTTTTTTCAGATCAGTCATTGTTTGGTCAAACAAGATATCATATAGTTCTTGGGCTTTGTTGAAATATCCAAGTTGAATTATTAACATACCTAAACTATCTCATTCTTTCTTTTCAGGATAGATCTCTTTGCACGTTTGTTCAGTAAGTGCGCGAAGATCATGATCGTTACGATTGGTCAGTGTTAAGTCGACTTGCCAAAGACGATTATTTCCATCGATTTGTTGCATTTATCCAATCCGAAAAATAGAGTTCATTCAGAAGAGAATTTCTTCTTCCCTTTTGGAACAAACTGACTTCGCAAACGTTAGCAAATAGTGTAGAGCAGATGAGCCGATCAATTTTCATCACGAATGAAATACCAACAAAGTCTAACGATTTCATACGTTGACGAGCATAATTGATCAAAGTTAGCATTCGACAGTTCTTGGCCTCGATAAACAGTAAATGAATTCGAAGTTGAGTATCCAGTAAACTGTTGCGCATAAAGCTCCACGTTGTGATTGTAGTGATCACGGATAAAAAATCCCATGTTTATGATAAGATCGACCTTCATCATTCTTCATGATCGATTGAGCATTCAGTACAAAAAACACGGGTACGCATACCACCAAATTGGGCGATGCTTGTGGTACTCTTGTTCAAGTTTGTTGACATGTTGAAGTTCTTTCGAATTACCGACGAAAATGTCGCGAGAATATATAATGAATTCATTGATATGACGTTGTTCGAAAGGAATATTTAATAAAATTTCTTTCAGTATTTGGATGCACATAAATGAAGAATCTAATTGGTCGAGGTTTGACTTAGTGCTTCTACTACTGGTAATGATAAAATTGATCAATATCATTTTTGAAACACATTCTTGTGCCGCTTGTTGAAGGATGTTACAGATCAAAACAATATCTGACATGAGTCCTTTTATTTTTGGTTACTCTTTGATCCAACCATAATTCCAAGCATGGTTCTCACCCAAACATATATATCGTATGAATTTGTGGGACGTTATAAAGGATGGAAAAAGTTGTATGCCTGAAGGCACCGAAAACAATCGTAAATATTTTCTCTGCTTAAATGCTGGTTATAAAATCGATAAATTCATTCACATCAGTGAATTGATGTACATTATTCACTTCATCGAGATTGGCATTGAGCCACACCAAGACGAAGTTCTGAACCATACGAGCATAAGGACTTGGCCGTGACCTTATGTTCATATGTTGAGATGGGGTGGTGGCAGCAGCAGCACTAGTTGTCGTTGTCGACTTGTTCTTTTTGTTCATGGTTTTTGTTGTGCTTGATTAATGAAAAAAATAAAATAAAATGACTTGAATTTATATGATATGTTGGAATCGTTTTCTAAATGTTTCTATGGTTTTCATTATTGTTGCCGTTTGAGTTCTTTTCTGTTTTCGTTTCATTTCAGTACTTCATTCTTTTTTTCTTCATCGCTTGTCAACTCTGATGTCACGAGAAAACAAAGGAATGAAGAACTCATTGCAGCATAGTTTTATACAGGATCATATTTTGATTTCTTTTGATGATACCTGGAAGCTTTTTCTTTCCTTCTCCTTATGTTGCTGTAAATGAATTCAGCAATAGAAACAGAATAATGCACATTGCTGTTTGAAAATGCACAGCGAATTCTTTTTTCAGAAGATTCTTCCTACTTAATTGAGAGTTCAATATCAAATGAAGCCGACGAGAATATAGGCAAAACTTTGTTATTGGTGTTAAGAATTGTTTTTCTTGTAATGAAAAGCCAACCAATTTTCAAATAGGATGTTAAATTGAATATAGAAAAAGATGTTTCTATAATTTACAAACTAGATCGATAAATTTAATAGACATTTTATTATATACATCATAGATATACTATTAGGAAACAAACCGAGTCTTGTGCTTGTTGAAAATTAATAGATAATTATTAAATCAAAAACCCATGAACTTATAGTATTCTGTTGAACAATAGCACTTGACTAAGTTTCCGTTCATTTTCATTGACTTTTTAAGTTTCCAATTCATACTGATTCTCTATCACTAAGAGAACTAGAATGTTGATGTAAAAAAAAAAGAACTTGCAGTAGCTATATATCTTAATAGATCGCACGATATACAACAATTTTTCATGAGAATATCTGATCTATTGTCATTATATGTAATATTCTAAGAAGATAAGTTCATCATTTATCTAGTTAAAAAAAATCTCCAAAACTAATGTAACTAAGACAAAAAAGTCTGTTGTTTTGTCAAATCGACAGAAATCATGAACCGGGATACGCACAACAGTGAACATAATTTTATTGAATTATTTTGCATTGAATTTACACTTTGACTGATGATAATATATAAAAAAATTTCAAGTCCACAGGATTGAAAAAAATATGCAAACAATCAACTCTCTTAATCTCTTTTCGCGAACAAAGAACTATAACGTGACTTTAATCTAGTCAATGGCAAACTGACGTATAGTTAACTAAGTCTGTAAGCTCTTCAACAAAACTCAATCACTTTTATCAAGCAGAAAGTTAACTGAATCAATTAAATTCATGTGTAGCCATAATGATTGAAGTTACATTAAAAATATAAGTTTGATGAATATATTTTTTTCTTTCAATCATCGATCTTTGACATAATGAAAATTTCAAAAGACGACAGCAACATTCGATCTAATCATTGCTACTGCCGAAACTTGTTTTTCATTATCTCGAAAAACAATAGATTTTTCACTTCAAGATCATCATTTTTTTGTGAAGCGAATTGCGAACGAACGAAACTTCATTATGGAAGTTTCGAAAAAAACCGTAAAATTAGCTACATAGTTAGAATATTGTTTATGTCTGACTGACGACGATAATCAAACTATCAAACCTAAACATGAGTGTTATAAATTTCAATTAATTATTAAGCAAAGCAATAGCTATCATTCATCAAAATAATTATTGCTTATTCAATTTTCCATTAATTTCGTGGTAGTTACAGATACAAAAGTCTCGCTAATACTTTCAATAATATTTTACCGTAATAAATCAATGAAAAAAAGAAAATTTTATCATACTCGAGCAGAATCTAAACGAATTATAATGATACAAATTAATTCCATCGTTAATATGCTATCCAAGTTGAAATGTCCTGACTTAAGATTATATCTAAGTGCCTGACAGATTCACAGAAGAGTTAATCGTTATTTATTGTTTCATTTGTTTTCATTAGCAAATAGTGAAATTCAATTTATGTTATTTTTATTATATTCATCAGATCTAAATTCTTGATAACTTTTTTTATTTAAGTTTCATCAATGCATCTGTATATAGATCAAATAGACAATGAACTGAACTTGAACGTTTTGCAATAGTCATAGCTGTTTCATTTAATTTATTTTGAATATTTACATTAATAAATGGATGCATAAGAAGAAGTTGAATTATTTGACGATTATTTTTTTGTGATGCAGCTAAATGTAATGGTGTTTGTCCACCATTTGTTTGAGCATTTATATCAATACCATTTTGTAATAATAATGATCCGATTTCATAATTATTCCAAAAAGCTGCACAATGTAATGCATTCCATTTATCATTTGTTAATGCATGAATATCTGCACCGGATTCAAGTAAATATTCACAAATTTTTAAATGATTACCATTTGCTGAACGATGTAATGCTGTATAACCATCAGAATCACGCGCATTAAGAAGTGATGTATCTTGATTAATATATTGTTGAACACGTAGAAGTTCACCTTCTTCAACAGCTGTCAATAAACCTTTAACAGGATCACGACGTATATCGTTTTTTGACCAATGTTCAATATCATTTTCATCTTGTTCCCAATAACTTTGCCATTTTGATGGTTCACCATTTTTCTTTTCAATAATTTCATCAAAAACAATTGTACTTAATTTATTGATATATTCTAATCGTTCATCGTCATTCATACCTAAAAAGATTTTATTTATTTAATTAAACTCATAAATTTATATATATATCGCTTTCTCAGAGTAAAGTAAAGAAAACATGATTATAACAAAAATACGGTTTCAATAACGAAGAGTTTAACGAATCTTACGAGGGAACCACCCGAGGTGTCAAAAAGCTTTTCAGTCGGGGATATGATGGTTAGATAGGGCATAGCTAGGAGTGATATACTCTAAGTTAGTTCGTGCCCAAGTTGCTTCTAGCAGGAGTTATGAAATGTGAAATTTAGGTATAAAAATGAATCAGGGAAGGTTTTCTCCACTATTGTAAGGACAAAACATAGTGTTATTCGGGCCGANTTCTAAACACTTGTACGTTATTTACCATCTATAATTATTCATTTTCATATTTGTTAAATTGTTTAGATCAGAATTAGACGATAATCAAATACGAGAATTATTTCATCAACTAATTCAACGATTAATTTTATATATTTCAATTAATTCAAAACAAATAATTACTAAATTAACTATAGTTGTTAGTTAAATATCAATAGAAAAAAAGAACCTTTATATTAAACTATATAATATTTAACGGGTGGTGCAAAAGTTCTGCATTAATTTTCTTTTCAGTATAGTATAGCATGGCAATGAATCTTCATAGAAACTTGATCTTTTTCTCGTTAGAAAGAGCAAGGTGTCTACTACAAAAATATGTAAAAATATTTGATTCAAAATGTTTACCAAAGACTAAAGAGCCTTAAGAATAAGTTGGACCGAAAAAGTGCCTTTCAACTTAACTCAAAATTAGAGATGAGAAGTGCATTTGTTTAATTTTTTTTGCACTCGGCTTTATATGTTTGGAGGCAAGTTATATGTGAGTCTGACCGATGCAATGTGGACTTTCTAATTATGCAAAAACATTCGAGTTACAAAAGCACAGGTTTCAACGGAAACAGTTTTATTAAAAAGTTAAAAGGTTTTCCGTCTGCAACATCCAATGAAGGTTTTCTCACAATGTCTAACAGAGAAACTGAATTCTGTTTTATATAATGTGCTTTTGTAGAGGACTCAATAAGCCTTAACTGCATATAAAATAGACGGTTTCTGCTAACTTCGATGTTGGAACAAATCTTATTTTTCGAAGTCATTCATTAGTTGTGAAAAATTTGCACTAACAAAAGATGTTAGAAAAATGTTGATTTCGATCTCAACCAGTCACTTGAAAATCTTATTTTTGCGCGTTTACAATGCCCGATCGTAGCGCTACAAAACCCGATAAGGGTGTGGGTGTGGATGTGGGTGTTGGTATGCCTAAAGAAAGACTTGTAATCACACCCACACCCACACGCACACCCACACCCACACTCACACCCACACCCCACCCACACACACCCACACCCACACCCACACACCCATCGATCTACTAGAAAAATGGACATTTATTTTATTTAAATTTTCTCTGTTGTCTAAATGCAGTATCAAGGGATCAAAAATTTTCTCAGTTGTGGCCTACTTAACCTGTTGATGTTAGTTATGATATTAGGTTATGTGATCGTCATTGGACGACTCTAATCACTTTTTAACAGAGAATAAATAGGAGTGATATGATTCGTATTTCAATTTACAGCAAAAAAAAAGATCCATTGAAAAACAAAGTCTTTCAATCATCATCCCATTTATATTTAATCAATATTCGATTTTCATCGTCCATGATCTCATCGATTGAATAACCACATCTGTCGATGATATCGAATTCATCATTTAATCTGCGTAGACTATCTTCACCGATGGATTCAAGAACATCGTACAAATTACGTAATGTTACACAACGATGAAAAAATTCTAAACAATCATCCTCATCAGTCGGCCAACGTTCGTCAACTTCATAAACTTTACTAATGTACATTGGACAGCGATTAGCATTCGATTCCCAACCATCGTTGTGTTTCGATAAATCTGGATATTCATCGTCATCGACATCACATTCCTCTTCTTTCGTTCCACAAAAATAACACCATTTTCCGTGACATCGTCCACAAGTCATATGTGTGCAGTTAGAATCTTTGATTCCAGTGAGCTTGCAGTGAGGGCATTGTCTGAGAGAACCAGTTTCAATGGCTTCTTCAATCAGTGCTTTACAATAACGATATTCGACACAACGAGTTCGGTGTGTTAATTCACCAATATCGTCCTGCACAGCGTTGTAACATATTAAACACGATCGTTTTCCACAATTAGGATGTTGGCAATTGAGAAATTGAATAGGGCATGCATCAGTAGTGTGGATTTCTAGATAAAGACAAAAGGGACCTATACAAAAATCGAAGTATTAAAATCAAATTTTAGTGAATCGATAGTTTCTTTTGCATTACTTACACTGTACTAATTCTTCGTTAGCTTGAAGACATTCTTGTGACCAGTAGAGTGGTAAAACATAGGCAATATATTGTTCATAATAATGTTTATTAATAATTACACTTTCAACAGATAATTTGTTAAAAGTTGTTTTGCATGCTCCACATTGAAGCGGATAGCTGAGTGTCGGCTGAGCAAAAAAGATGTTAATCATTGTGCTGATACAATGCGCACATGTCACTTTGCGACATTTTTCATTGGTGCATGTTAAATAAGTGTCAGTTACAGCAATATTTGATTCGCATATTCCACAGCTTCGCTTGGTTTCTTGCGGTGGTGGTATTTCCATCGTTGTTGTTGATATTCGCACAACAGGCTCTGTGTCTTCATTTTGTGTAGACATTATAATAGCGTAGGTAAAAACCTCTGAAATAAATGTATTAATGAACAATAACAATTGACTTCATCAAGCCAAGATATTAATGAAAGTTTTGAATAAACGATTATGTTAAATATTATCCGAAGGAGTTTTAATTTCATCATTATGGCTTTCTCCTGTCCCAAAGCGTCATCCAATGACACATTATTGTCATTGATAGTGATGAAAGGAAAGTTTTAATGATAAGATTCGACAGATGAATATTTCAGAAGAATGATGCAATTACAACAAACTATTACTTTTGTTTTTCGAGTTTTATTTCTTACACATATGCTATGGTATGTCATTATTGCAGCGTCTCATTCAAGCTAGTGTAAAGAAAATAAAATATTAAAAAGAAACATCTCTTTTACAACAATCAATATCTTGATATTTTGATGAAATTTAACAAAGAATATGATGCTTCTATTTCTATTTCGTAACATTTCTACACATTGACTAATTTTGAAGTATCCAACTATTGCCAAGGAAATAGTGGACTGAGAAACTAAAGACCGCTTCTTAGACTTACCAAAGTTCAATTTTGTAAATTAAGAGAATTTTAAAGGATTTGCTTTTCAAAATCAGAAAAGAACCGAGTACGTTTTTCTTTGAAATTCTAGATTTGTTCTGTGTTTTTCTATCTGATGAGGTCTAACATTTCTCTATTATATGCACCTTTTCCTTTTCGAAATCAAAATGATCATGAGAATACTTTTTAATAAATGAATTTAAATTAAGAAAGGATGATCGTTTTCAAAAGTTTTTTTTATAGTTATTCCATAAGCAATTATTAGAGAATACATGAAAATAAGGTGTGGATATGTTTATAGTGCAAGTTTACACCTAGAGAAGTAGAGATTGTATTTCAAAAACAAAGCCATAGAAGAACGAAGTCGTCGATTATTAGCTTGTTTAATATGATTCTTTCTATTCAATTTTACTGTTTATCTCATTGTTTCAGGTTGTTTTCTTTTTTACGTTCATATACGTAAAACAGTATTGGATCGTAACTAAATTAATAAAAAAAACTGAGACTATGTTCATTCAAAAATATTCGCTTAATATCAGCAACAAGTATAGCCTTGCCTATGTACTTAGTCATTGGCAACATTTCTTAGTGTTTTCTATATTTCATGGAGCATCTGAAATGATGATTTTATGTTGTTTAAAAGAAAAAACAAACAATCGAATGTATCAATCAATACTAGTATATCTCAAAATTGATAGAAACTATTTATCAAATTGTTCAATAATCATAATGAGTTTGTTATTGAAGTGTTACTTGAAATGTTCGAATTTGCATTGGATTGAGTGCGATCATCGTGCCTGTCAGTGGTGATTGCTCTACAAAAGTATCATTTAACATTTTGTATTCAAAAATGTCAAAGAGAACATACTAGATGTATTATTGGACGTTTCACCTTCACTAGTTCTCCAAACAAGGCGATGAAGATCGTTCAACGAAAAATTAGCACCCAGTGTCAATTCAAGCAAATCTTTAATAGTACCTAGACTATTGAAGAGAGATTGCAAATCAAATGTAACTGGTTGCGAGTAGATAGCATCTTCATTTCGTTCAAAAAAGTGTTCAACACGCACAACAATTTTTTTTGCATCCAATTGATCAAATGTCAACAGATGGACATTCACTGGCATCACAGTCGAAAGTGCCGACCATGTTAAACGGTATTTATTTGTATAATTAAGATAAGATAATGGAGGTATTGCATAAGTTGATAATGTGTGCATGTAAATACGTTGAGCAGTAACTCGATGAATCAGAGCACTTGTTGTCGGTGGTTCCAAGATCAAAGAGTGTCGACCACGTACGACCAAACCTTGACCATAAGCAGTTTCATTCAATGATTCAGCGACACCCTGTGAATCATCGTGTAAGATTCGCCGATGTAGCATAATTTCGATCGAACCATCCTTAATACTTGAGCCACCTTCTGATCGATCTAAATACAATTAATTATGGGTAACTCTACAAATGAAAGATTCAGAGAAAAAAAAAGGCTTCCATCGAAACGAATATATGCTATATATTGACTAGTTTGATAAAACAATTTTTTTCTACCTGTAAGAACTGTAAATTGACGTGTACTATCCTTGATCCAAATACGACTAACAACCGGATAATAGTTACCACTAACAGGTTCAGTAACTGTATAATTCCATGTTGGTCGATAATCACGTATACGTTGTAGAACTTCTCTGCCGTTTGCGTCTGTATAGAATGTTGCTGCACTATCAATATCAGTATCATAACGCATGATAACTTCCTTGCCGATGTTATCATTAATTGCAACAGGTCCAATTGTCCACTCGACATCGATAGTAAGCGATCCCGGATGAAGACTCACTTCAAAGCTAGCCCAATCGTTATAGATAATCAATGCTGATTGGATAGTTTCAGTGAGTGTACATATACTGAAATAAAAACAAAAATGATAATATAAAATTCTTTGCTAAAATTTACATGGTTTTTGAATCGTTTGCTGGACTAGGTTCTTGTGACCATGGTCGGAAAATGTAAGCACCGGATGCTTGAGAATCTGGTCCAGAACCATTGCCTGGATAGGCTAAAATACAAGAAAAAAATAATTGTATGTTTAATAAAGTTCTAGTTCATAATTTTTCTTACATGGGTACCAATACAAGCCTTGACTAACTAATGAAATGGCAATCTGCTTATCTTTATTGATAATCTTTTGCATATTGCCTTTATCATCGAATTCAATTCGAAGATACTATAGAATAACAATAATTGGAAACGATACATATGTTTTGAACATCAACGCTAACTTCGTTTTCCAATGTACACAAATCATTGTGTTTTATTTCGATTTTTCGTTGTTCATTCAATTCTTCATTTGCTAAACAAGATTTTTGTGAAAATTCTGCACGTATAATATGATTTAATACGAATACTTTTTATTTCCAAAAAGAAAGTACTAAAGCCAAGTGCAGGCACATCCACTTTGAATATCAATTGATGGTCGGCAATACTCTTTCGACCAGGAATTCTTGTTGTTGTCGATGAAATCGGAAGATACTTGAAAGAAAACAAAGAGCAGATCAAAGACTTTATTAATGTCATTCATTTCTATTACTTCAGCCGTAATAATCTGTCCTGCTGAATCATGAATTGTGTAGTCTTTTGTGACAGGTACACGAGCAAGATGTATTACGGGATGGATGGCCGGATTCCAAAGTGTCAAAGTAAACTGAATATTAATTTTTGATTGGAAAAATCTGTGCATCGGTAATACTCACTCGTTCGACTCCTTCAATTGGCAGACATTCACTTATATTCGTATATTGGCAAAGAAATTGAGGAACACTTGGTGATAGTGTCTGGTTTTTAGGCAACAATTTCGAATAAGCATAATTGATTACATCCTGAGAAAAAAGAATGATTAAACATCGTTCAACTCCCATTGATTCTCGGGACCATATAGCATACCATAGTGACATCGATGCCTGCACTCAATCGTTGTGTATAATCATTAGCAACTTCCTGTTTTTCTGTTCCTGTAATGGCATCATGATGTTGAACAATGCCCATTGCATCGTCTATTATTTTAATCAATAATGGTTTACAGCTGGCAAAAGAAAGTTAGAATGCTTACTTAACGGAAACAATATATGGCGTTGATTGAGATTAGCAAGTGCATTAAGTTGTCGAGCACATTGGAGTATATAATTTGTATAACGTTCGAAACCTTTCAAGGCAGCACGCGAGGTATAATAGCCTGTATGAAATCCATGTGGTGTACGAGTATAAGGAAAGAAGTCATCAGTTTTCGATGTCCACACACGATCGGCCTTATTAAGTGCATAAAAGTAACACGATGGTGTAGAATAGAATACGTTTACATCGCTACCATTTGCTTGCTAGAAACGCATTCAAATTGGATGTTATTAGAGCGTCATGGAACTCGTACCTGATCATTGACATATTTAATCAGTTTGTCCAAATTTTTAAAATAGACATGGGCATTCTCATATTGAAAATCGCTTCCCATAGACATCAGAACATGATTAGTAGTATAGTATTGTGCCTGATATAATGAATAAATAAAGTTTCATTTTGAATAGCTAGAATATCAATATTAAAAACCTCATCATGTGAAGCATTAATAAAAGCTTGAACACGTTCGGGAACATTGTAGTCGTGCAAACGCGGGTCATCCTATAATGAATACGAAGATCGATTTGTATTTTACATTCACGACGAATTTAAACTAACCATAATGGGTGGATCGATACAAGATGAATCAAAACAAAATGAAGCCGGTGGAGAGTAAGGACGAACTGCATAGCTCGTGAATAGCCAACCTTGTTCGTCTAAAAAGGTTCGATATTCAAACCAGCACTTTTCAATCTTATTCTTTTCCCTACTCACCCAAATTATTACTAGCCTTCCAGACGAATTCCATTGTTTTGGTTTTTTGTCGTTGATCAGCATCTTGATAGTCGGCTCGTCGAAACAACAGACTATCGAAACCCATCTACATTTTGGATAATTTGTAATTCTATTTCTTTTTCCAAGGAAAAAACAATAAAAATCTAACCTGAGCAAAAAGTGAAGCAACTTCACGTGAATGACCAAATGTATCGATTTGCCAGCCAATTTTTGGTCTAGCACATTCACCAAATTGATCACGTAAAAATTCAGCACCTAAACTATGTTGATCAATGATTGAACTGTAATGTGTTGCTCCTTCATCATTCATACACCAACCACCAGAAATAAATTCCAGACGACCTAAATTTTTTCTTTCATATTTTATAATTCTCCAAATGACATCTACTAACTAACCATCATTAACTAATTGTCTGACTTTGTTACGAGTCGTATCACTCTGTTGATTCCACCAACGCCAGAAATAGGCAATTTCAACATAGATAAAACGTCGATCAGGATTCTCGTCTAGTGCTTCAATAACGGAATCAAGAATGTACTGGACACCTGAATTTGAAATATAATTACGCGCTAAATAAAAGTGAACATTGGTCAACTAAGAAAAGGAACAAATTTTTACAATTTATCACAAGCTGATACTGTCTAGTATGATCAAATCAGTTTTAGCTTAAAAGCTACTATCTATCAATAGTCAGTTATTTTACATACCACCATAATAATATTGATCAACTGTTTTCAGCCAGCCGACATCATCATGGGTATGTGGAACTATGTGAACATTGAGTTTATCCGGTTTGCCCAGATGGCAATACTAAAAACAATAGAAATATTTACTTTTATTCATATTCTTTGTGATTCATACATCGTAACCACAACCATTGGGCACTTTGTACGGTGCTCCGAAACATGCAGCCATAAACAGAAACAAAATGATGCAATACATAGTGGCATGCATTGCTGCAAAAGCACCACTGAACTAAAACAGAAAATTCAAATATCTGTTTGGTGAATATGCTGCGTACGGATATACAATACAACTATTGTTTTATTTTAAATAAAGAATCCGCAAACGAATGTCAAGAGTATGATAAACTCAGAGATAAAGACATTGCTCTCTCATATGCTTTTTATCAACATACGTTTGTTGTTTATTCAAGGGACATAAACAGGGTAAAGTTGCAATTGCTTGAATACAATATAATCTTTTCTTCAAATTTCTTTATCTACTTTCTCATTTGTTTTTATTTTATCTTTCAGATTCTTTTCGATAAAATATTCAGTTTTGATTTAAAAGAAATAAATTCTCAACGAAAAATTTCATAAAAACTACGTTTTGTTAAACTACAAAAGCAATCTATTTCGTAATGTGATATACATAGATACAAGTTTTTATGAACTAATATTCGCCGTAAATTGGAGAAATAAGTCACAGGCTTAATGGACCATGGATTATAATCAATAGCTAGTTCCGTTGTCTGTGTTGAAAGAACAACAATACGTATGTAAATGCTTTCGATTGTATAATAACTTGAATTTAGGTCACAAACCACATTTATATTAAATAGTTAGATAAATTTACTAACCTGGCATGATGTATATTTTGAGTTCAGTCTTTTTCACTACATCAGTTGTATAACTTCTCTCTTAGGTATTATAAAATGTTTCTTCTGCTTTGAATGACATATTTCATATTCTTGTTGTTGCTTAACTATCGAGCACATTTGTATCGTAGATGTCTGATCGTAAATTTTGCATCGTCAGTCATTTCGTTGTAAGTGGCCTGTCACGTGCAGAACTACATATATAAGTTTGCCTTTCTTGTACTTGATTCCTTTATTCAATCCAGTTAACAACAACTAATCTCAATAGTTCATAAACATTGTAATTAGAATTTTCTCGTAAACCTTTCACAAAATCATTTAATACACTCGTTTATGACCTTTGCACCGACTTGCCACGGTTCTGACATAACAAAAGATATTATAAAAGTAGTCATTCGTAATTCAAGTTCAAACTGATTGACGCATCAAGTGATTAGATTTTTCTAATTGCGTGTATTAAGGAAGATCATTTTGTCTTGAATTAATTTTTATAAAAGTATCTCTTCCTGTTTTTGGCTGTTTTTGTTGTGGTTTATTTAATTTTTTATTATTTATTAAATAAGTTGTATGAAATAAGTTTTTATGATTTTATTTTATTAAATATTAAGTATATTTATATTTATTAAGGTTAAAATTAAGACATTTCGGAGATAACTCTCTCGTTCATCAGTTGCTGTTACTTGTAATGTTGTTGTTTTTATTTACTTCTTTGCCTATTCCGTTTGGGTATGAGGGTATCGGCGTTAAATGAAGGACGCCTACTCATATCCACACCCATACCCACAGCCCAAAAGCTTCCTTTTATTGCTTCTACTGAGACTTCACTAATTTGATATAAATTGTTCAATTAATCTGTTTTAAAATATTTTAGAGCATATTGATTTATCGCAGAACTTTTACAAATTAAATTATTGATTTTTCTATAATTTCATCGATGAAAATAGTGATGATTTTATTTTAATTGATATCAAACGGAAAATAAGTGAAATTTTTTACAAAAGAAAAAGCTTACAGATTCTAATTAGACTTAAAGACTATATATTTTTTTGGATTAATTTTTTATCTGAGATCTTGTTGAATCTATTTTATTTTAAATATTAATCTGATGTAACTAAACAGATAATTTCTAAATATGATTTAATAAGTATCTCTTATACTTTGAATAGAATATATTTAGATCAATACTAATACATACCCTAGATCATGTACTGAGTTAAGGGTGCCACAAAAAGTGCCATGTTACTAGTATGTCACAAAAAATTGTGGGTACCAAAGCATATCCACCCAAATAGTTCTTTTCTCTTTGATCATCAACGAATGAGAAAACATTGGATATTAATATCTTGAAGATGCTAAATAGAAAATTGAATTTGATCTGATCAATTCTAGTAGGCAAATATCGTATCATTGAAATCGAGAAAAAAATCAAAATGCATAGAGAGATATAGAAAATGCCCTCTCAACACACATATCACTTAGACCATATTATCTGTTCTACTGTTATCATAGTTGTTGTGTAGTAACGACACTCTCTTATAGCGCTTCCAATTGCAGCAAATCAGTTTACGTAGATTCTACTTTTCAGACGTAATTATTTTTGTATTTGATGCATTCAAAGCGGACAACCTTTTTTTCTATTTCATATTGCTTCGTAAGTAAAAAACCGTAGAATTGCTTTTTCACTTTGCTTTATCTCTTGTTTGCACAAGATTACCCTTTCTCTCAACATGCGTTTTTGTATGAAGCAACAAAACAAAAATCTCATCGAACTGCAAGTAAGAGATTCGTATATAGATAAAATCGAATCTGTTGAAAGATCCGTATGTTCTCTTATGGAGATTGAGCATTTACGCAAGCCGAAAATTAGGTTATGATTAATTTTTCAAACTTTATCCTCAATGGCAGGTGTTCAAGGGATATAATTTCAGTTTCTACTATTATGTGTTAATGGACCACTTTATGGTTAATATTAAGTTCAAGTTTTTTCTACTGAACAGTCAATTGACACAATTTTAGTCTGAATGATTGTGGTAGGCAAATATAATTGAAATTAAGAGTTTTCTTTATTTCCCTACATCATTAGCATGAAATTGTCTAACTCATGTGAGAGCGAACCTCCTTGGTAACGATTGGATCATGCAAAATAACAACATAATATTCACCTGAGCTAATCATCAAATACGAGTGTGACAATCTGCTCAGTATTAATAATAAATAAAAGAATATTTGAAAACTAAATTTCATATCTCTTCGTCTAGTCACTGAGAACTTTTTCATCTTTAATCAAAGAAAATAGAATGAAAATATAAACTAGATAACATTGGAAAGATTTAAAAGAATTTTAACGTTCCCCATGGGCTTATTTTGTCATTATGGTTGAATTGTTTTAAAACAATAGACAGAATTTTCGAATGTTTCGTCGTGAAAACTACTTTGGTGGATGTGTAGATCTACTCTGCACATCAAAAATAGAAATGAGTACGCCTATTGAATTATATTGTTCCACTACTTGTCTAAAAAGACAGCTAAATCTTAATTTATACTCATCCTAAATTCTTATGTGTAATCAAATTGATTCGAGTAGGATCAGTATTGAGTTTTTGATGAAAGTATGATCATTATTTAGTTTCGCTTAGCACCTTTAGGACGGGAATTACTTTTGAGGAAAGTGATGAGATGTTTCTGACGTTTCACGTAACATATTTATTTATATCTGTTTTGGAAAATTGTTTTGAAATATTTTCGAGCATAATAATCTTTGAAATAATCAGAAATGCAAAGTTCAACGTTACATTTAATAAACTCGTACCTGGAGTCACTCCTCTTAGATCTTCTTGTTATGTTTGGGCAAAATATGAATCTCCTTTGAGCATTTTGTTTTATCACTGTTGAAGATTTCGATGATGGAAAATGACAACCAGATATTCTAGTAGGATTTTCTTTATTACTAGGCTGATCTCTGGGTGGTTTTTGCTTCCTTCTATGTTCCAATAATTTCGCGAATCAGCTGTAATCGGAACTCATGAAATTCCATAGTTTGACCAGTCTTTTGCTCATGTAGGATGTATGAATTCAGCACAAATATATTCAACAGATGAAAGAAAAGTTTCTTACATAATTTGATTACCTTTCGAACACGCTCCACATAACTATTGTTCTTATCCGATCTTCCAATAAAACTTCTCTTTTCATTATACTTCATAACAGGGATTGGTTTTTGAATTGATTCTTTCATTGTTTGATCTGTTTTTCCGATACTCACCATTTTTAGCTCATAGATGTTTGAAAGGATAGTAACTTTCCGTTTGTCAAATCATTTTATTGCAAGTAAAATATAAATATGTCAATAATTGATTTTATCTTTTTCTAATTTTTTGATAAAAGTTGGCGTTCTAACTCTATATTGTTGTAGTGTATCACAGGCATCAGTTGACTTTTCATGTAGATATTCAAAAAATGATAGAATTATGTACTAACTATCAATGAATAGATTAGGCCCTTTCTGAAGATATGGCTGCATAAGTGTTATTCCAGTTGTTCCTAAAATTTCAAACTTTTCCTTTTTGAGAATCAGTGTATGACGCCATATCTGAACTAGGAAATCTAATATAAATTCAGTACTACAATCACATAAAATGAACATTTTTGTATTTGTAAGAGTATTTCGTAATATAATTGAACTCCTTTATGTAAGTGATCGAAACAACCATATGCTTGAGCATCAGAGAGCTAAGAACAACATAGAATCTACCAGAATGAGAAGGAAAATGGTGAACGCATAGAAGGACTATTCATAAACGTAATACGCTTAAATATACGTGATACAATGTTAAAAATGATAGTGTTATGAATATCATAAACCATTGCTCCTGCCATGCTAAGTCCACTCCAATGTTCTCTTTCTTCATGTTATTATAAACTGACATCATAATTATTTTTGTCAACCTGTTTATGTATAATCTGAAATATTCTTTTTTACCACGGCGACGACGCACCTCTCATTTCCATAGTTATTTCCGCTATTTGTTATTGTTATTGAGTTAATGTTCAATACAGCAGTAGCCACAAAGATTTTGAAACATAGAACAGGATGATGATTTTTACATATATAGAAAATTAATAGAAAGAATTGAGAGCAATACTAGTACATGATCAACGTTCTCTAACAGATCAGAAACATATCATAGAAGACACTAATTAATGAATTACAAGTTGATACAGTTATCACGTATATATACGTGTCCCGTTCCGAAGGTGTTTATGGAATTGTATACACGATATAAAAGTTATAACTTATCAGATAAAGATTACGGCAGCAAGAAACGATTTGTTGTAATACTATTACTTGAATCTTTAAACATGCATGTTTATCGAGGTCTTTTAACATCGTGCCATTATCACCACTAACTCACAATAATACCAGATTACAGTTGTGAAATGAGAATAAATAACTCATTTGAATGAAATTAATGTTTAGTTCTACTCCATACTTTTTTATTTCAGTGCCATCAAGAGCAAGTATAGTTGATATTCATGCGAATGCAAAATGGTCACAGAATGCCATCACTGTTGCTGGAGGAAATGGACAAGGCAGCGGAACCAACCAACTTTTTTGGTCGTATGGTTTCTACATCGACGATGATCAAACGATTTATGTCGCTGATTGGGGAAATAACCGTATTGTGCAATGGAAATCTGGTGCGATGAATGGAAAAGTAGTTGCTGGTGGAAATGAAGTTCATCAATTATATAATCCAGTAGATGTGATTATCGATAAAGAAAGCGATAGTTTCATCATCAGTGATAGATGGAACTACAGAATAGTTCGATGGCCTCGTCGAAATGGTACGAGTGGAGACACAATGATTTCGAATATCTCTTGTGCCGGTTTGGCAATGGACGAAAATGGTTCTCTGTATGTCGTTGATAGTGAAAAACATGAAGTGAGACGATATAAAACTGGTGACAATAATGGAATAGTGATTGCGGGTGGTAATGAAAAAGGAAATCGTCTTGATCAACTCTCTGCACCCCGCTACGTATTTGTCCATCGAGATTGTTCAATTTATGTGTCTGATTTTGACAATCATCGTGTAATGAAATGGAAAGAAGGTACAACACAAGGCATTGTTGTAGCCGGTGGTCAAGGACCAGGAAATAGTCTCATGCAATTGCATGGTCCTCAAGGAGTTGTTGTCGATCAATTGGATACTGTCTATGTGGCTGACAGGAGAAATAAGCAAGTCATGCGTTGGCCAAAAGGAGCCACACAGAGAAGCGTGATTGTTAGTGAAAACGATCAAAGAACACAGTCAGATCAATTCTATTATCCTACAGGTTTATCATTCGATTGCTATGGTAATCTATGTTGCCGATTCTTGGAATAATCGAATACTAAAATATAATATCGAATAAACTCAATACAAAAACAGTTTTTCTTTTGTTGTTTTTCACTTTTAAATCAATCACGACTGAATGTAAAATGTATTGAACACTATTCTATTCTCGCACACATAGGAAGACTTATATCATCCTTCGTTCATAATGACGACGTTGGGTGTGGGTGCGGGTATTGTCTTTATCTTTTGACACCCACATCCTCAGTGTTTTCAACTTTGAAAAAAGTTAAAACCCTTAAAACTTACACGCAGTTTTCTTTTTTCCATTGCCCAAATAAGAAAGCTCGTCGGTGTGACTTTTTCATTAAATTCAGTATTTCACTAATAGACTTATGCACTATAAAACAATGAAATATCACGTCAAATCTTTTTCTCAAAAACCTAAATACTAAAAAAGATTCCGTAATAACCTAAGAAGTCCTGGGACTGACACTGACTGACCGAAAAAGCATCTTCAAAGGTTTCATTATTTTCCTACGAAACCTAAACGGGTTTAAAATTCGTCTTAAAACTCAGTACTTTTCTACATTTCGTAACATTCCGAAAGCCTTCTCGAGCTTCTTAACATTCTAAGAAAACTCTACAATTAAGATTACTTATTATATTAATTGAATCAAATTTCATGTATTTTCCTATTCATACATAATTAGAGGGTGTGGGGTGGGGTTGTGAGGGGGGGGGGTGTATAAGTTACCACGATAACCTAATAGATTAGATTATTACGTAGGTGACGTTAGCACAAGATTCGAGTAAATCCCGCCAAGATTCGTCCAGGAACATGTTCCAAGCAGTGCTTCCAATGGAAATTTAAAGCAAAATGTACTGTACACTCTGTATTTTATTAGCAAAGTGTATTTTAAACTTTGTTTTTTTCAGCAAAATGTATCAAAGTGTACGAAAGCCAAATTTTCACAACCTGAAAAACAAAATATAATGTTCATCATTTTTTCCTTTCATAAGATAAATATTTTGATCGCTAGCGAACAAATAAACGTTATCTTTAATTAATTTAAAATTATATGCGGCTTTTAAGGTTCAAAAATCAAAGAAATCAAAGTGTAAACTATTTTAGCAAAGTGTACATTGTACACTTTGTTTTTCTGGGCTAGTGTACAACAGAGTGTAAATCAAAAGTAGCAGATGTTCCGTACATTTTGTTTCTGCTTGGTACACTTGCCATTGGAAACACTGGTTCCAAGCGTTCCATTCATGTTCCAAGTATAACTCGATGAGCTCTATCGAATGGTGTATCAGATTTTTCATAGCTCAAACCAGGTTCCAAATAATTGAAAAATACCAGATTTTCACCGTAGGAAACTTTGACTCCCTATAGTAAAACTCACCAAAATTCGTCCAGGAACATGTTCCAGATGTTCCATTTATGTTCCAAATACAACCTAATGAGTTGTATAGAATTATGATTTCAGATTCTCGAAAGCTGAAACCACGTCGGGAAAATCGAAAAGTACCTCTATATCAGTATCGAAGACTTGGACTGAGCATCGTGAAATCTGCCAAGATTCTTCGAGCAACATGTTGGAGATGTTCCGTTTATGTTGTGGATAGAGCTCACCGCTCTCTATGCAATAGGGTGCTCAACTTTTCGATATCTGCAACCGTGTGTCCAAAACTCCCAAATATGGGCCGCATCATACATGAGTTTGTCGCTGATACAGTAAAATTAGCCGAGATTTATCCAAGAAGAGGTTGCCAGATGTCCCGTTTGTGTTTCAAGTAAAGTTCGGTAGGTTCCATTCAGTGGTATATTGAGATTTTCGAAACCGCAAACCATATTCCAGACAATCGAAAAATAGTGGCATACCAGCTTAGAAATCGTGAATTCACGATAGTATAGTCTCCCAGGGTTCGTCCAGGAACACGTCCCATATATTCCAATTGTGTTCCAAAGACGACCCGATCTGCTGTAACGAGTAGAATAGCTAGATTTTCGATAGCTGAAACCATGTCTGTAAAATTCTCAAAAGATGAGGCCCATCGTATATGACGTTCTTACTGACATAGTAAAACTGGCCAAGAGTCGTTGAGGAACACGTTCCAACCGTTCCATTTGTCTCTTAGGTACAACTTGATATGCTCTATCGAATCGTTTATTCATGTTTTCGATAGGCTGAACTGCTTTACTGAAGTCTTTTTTATTGTGGTAGCGAGACAGATATGTCAATGTATTGTTTGGTTGCAGTGAGAGAGTCGCTTTGCAATGTATTCTAGTTTTGTCTCTTCTAGTATATGCAGTAGATCTTCGATTCGTGACTAGTCGTGCTTCTATGGAAGTAGAAGTCATATGGAGTGCAACTGTTTTTAACTTTTGTTCTGGTTACACTTAATAAACTCAAAGAGTCATATCATTTCATTAATCCAGTTAAGTTGAACAAATTAAAAAGAATCCCTATCAATCAACTTAGCAGATATATGTACATACGCCCATAAATCATCCGTCAAACCGTTTTTTGATGGAGTTAAACTTATCCCACTAACAAACGTTCTGACGATGGACCCTAATCAGGTGCCCAACTCCGATTCAGTTCATTCATACATCATTCGATAGAGTATAGTGAGGTGGTCAAAAGCTAAAAATATTATCGGCCACCAACCCTTTCTCGAGGCGTTATAGTCATTTTACTAGAATTTGAGCCTATGATATGGCATCTACCAAAAACTCAAACGAAGGTATTTTGAGCTGAAGTTTTGTCCACAGATAAGCCTACTTGTAACCAGAATGTCCTGAAAAATCCAGGTCAAAAGAATGTTCTCTTCATGAGTTGTTGAGTTTTCACAAAACTTGACGTTCTCCAATCTTTTCGCAGAATACGAGTGATTTTGAAAATTGAATACTTCATGAAAGGAACATTCTTTCGACCTGAATTTTTCAGGACATTCTAGTTACAAGTAGGCCTATCTGTGGACAAAACTTCAGCTCAAAATACCTTGGTTTGAGTTTTTGGTTGATACCATATCATAGGCTCAAATTCCAGTAAAATGACTATAACGCCTCGAGAAAGGGTTGCTGGCCGATAATATTATTAGCTTTTGACCAACTCACTATACTCTATCGAATGATATATGAATGAACTGAAGCGGAGTTGGGCACCTGGATAGGGTCCATCGTCAGAACGTTTGTTAGTGGGATAAGTTTAACTCCATCAAAAAACGGTTTGATGGATGATTTATGGACGTATGTACATGTTTGCTAAATTGATTGATAGGGATTCTTTTTAATTTGTTCAACTTAACTGGATTAATGAAATGATGTGACTCTTTGAGTTTATTAAGTGTAACCAGAACAAAAGTTAAAAAACAGTTGCGCTCCATATGACTTCTACTTCCATAGAAGCACGACTAGTCACGAATCGAAGATCTACTGCATATACTAGAAGAGACAAAACTAGAATACATTGCAAAGCGACTCTCTCACTGCAACAAAACAATACATTGACATATCTGTCTCGCTACCACAATAAAAAAGACTTCAGTAAGGCAGTTCAGCCTATCGAAAACATGAATAAACGATTCGATAGAGCATATCATGTTGTACCTGAGAGACAAATGGAACAGTTGGAACGTGTTCCTCGACGACTCTTGGCCAGTTTTACTATGTCAGTAAGAACGTCATATACGATGGGCCTCGTCTTGTGAGAATTTTACAGACATGGTTTCAGCTATCGAAAATCTAGCTATTCTACTCGTTACAGCGGATCGGGCCGTCTTGGGAACACAATTGGAATATATGGGACGTGTTCCTGGACGAACACTGGGAGGCTACACTATCGTGAATTCACGATTTCTAAGCTGGTATGGCACTATTTTTCGATTGTCTGGAATATGGTTTGCGGTTTCGAAAATCTCAATATACCACTGAATGGAACCTATCGAACTTTACTTGAAACACAAACGGGACATCTGGAAACCTCTTGTTGGATAAATCTCGGCTAATTTTACTGTATCAGCGACAAACTCATATATGATGCGGCCCACATTTGGGAGTTTTGGACACACGGTTGCAGATATCGAAAAGTTGAACACACTATTGCATAGAGCGCCGTGAGCTCTATTCACAACATAAACGGAACATCTTCAACATGTTGCTGGAAGAATCTTGCAGATATCACGATGCTCAGTCCAAGTCTTCGATACTGATACACTGTAAAAAAAAAAGATCTTTTTACCGAACCCTCGAGAAAGGTTCCGTAGATTTGAAAAAGCTTGCAAATGCATTCAAATGCTCAAAAAACGATTTTTCAGTTCTACGAAACCTTTAAAGGTTCTCCCCTGGACACACGGGAAGAACTTTTTTCCTGCGAAACCTTTTTAAGTTCCGTACAGCAAAAAAAGGTTTTGTAAAAAAAATACGAAATCTTCAAAGTTTCGTATTAAATTATAACGGCTTTTTACTAAACACTAATGGTTTCGCACTAAACCAGTATAATTTAATACGAAACTTTGAAGGTTTCGTATCTTTTTTACAAAACCTTTTTTTGCTGTACGGAACTTAAAAAAGGTTTCGCAGGAAAAAGGTTCTTCCCGTGTGTCCAGGGGAAGAACCTTTGCAGGTTTCGTAGAACTGAAAAATCTTTTTTTGAGCATTTGAATGCATTTGCAAGCTTTTTCAAATCTACGGAAACTTTTTCGAGGGTTCGGTAAAAAATCTTTTTTTTTTCAGTGTATAGAGGTACTTTTCGATTTTCCCGACGTGGTTTTAGCTTTCGAGAATCTGAAATCATCATTCTATACAACTCATTAGGTTGTATTTGGAACATAAATGGAACATCTGGAACATGTTCCTGTTCGAATCTTCGCGAGTTTTACTATAGGGAGTCAAAGTTTCCTATGGTGAAATTCTGGTATTTTTCAATTATTTGGAACCTGATTTGAGCTATGAAAACTCTGAACACACCATTCGATAGCGCTCATCGAGTTCTACTTGGAACATGTTCCTGGCTGGATCGTGGCGGGTTTTACTATATAAAATCTAGGATTTTTCTAGTGATGCACTAGTATTTTTTAATTTTCTCAGACACAGTTCGAGCTATTGAAAATCTGAACACATCATTGGATAGAGCTCATCGAGTTGTATTTGGAACATACATGGAACATCTGTAACATGTCACAGGGCGAATCTTGGCACGTTTTACTATATGGATGGAAAATTGCCTATGGTGAAAATCTAGTATTTTCCGAATATCTCGGACTCGGTTTGAGCTATCGAGAATCTGAATACACCATTCGATAGAGCTCATCGAGTTGTATTTGGAAGATGAATGGAATGCTTGGAACATTTTCCTGGACGAATCTTGGCGGATTTTACTCGAATCTTGTGCTAACTTCACCTACGTAGTTTTATTTTAGTTTTGTTTTATTTTAATGATACTTATCGTATTTTTTATTTTATTGTTTTTTGCTTTATTTTATTTTATTTTAGATTTTAGTGCGGGATGAAATTAATCAATAGTGAATATAAGTTTTTTATTCTTTTTTATCTTTATTTTATTGTTTGGTGTTGTATTTGATCTTTTTTAGTTTAGGTTTTATTACAGCATGAAGTGAATCCACAGTGAGTAAAAAATTTTTTAAATTTTATTGTCTCTTCTTTTAGTTTTATTTGACTAAATTTAATTTTTATCTTATTGTTTTTTGTTTTATTTTATATTATATTGTTTTAGACTTTATTACTACATGAATTCAGTCAATGGTGAGTATAAATTTTTCATTTTTCTTATTTTTATTTTCATTTTATTGTTTTTTATTTTATCTTATATATTTTTATTTTATGACATTGTTTTAATTCATTTTATTGCGTTTTATTTTTATTTTAATAAATTTTATCTTTATTAAATTTGATTTGCATTTTATTTTATTTTTATTAAAATATGAAATCGGCAGGATTCCATCGGTTTCTGAGTGTATCCGACATTTTCGGACTATCGGATCTGACTGTCGGAAATCGTCGGATCCGACATCCGACAACTTCCGATCGGATTACCGTAACAAGGGTTCCGGCAACTTCCGAAAGGATCCTGTCGGAAGTTGTCGGATTCTTCGTCCTGGGTCATTATTTTTCCTGCTAATAATGTTAGAAATAAGTGCGAATTAGTTCTAGTAAACAATTTGGAGAGTAAACTTTTATCATCGATGTCACAAAGTAACACCTACAGTTGTTCGCCGTATTACATCACATAAAAATAAAGAAAACGCTTTATTCTTCTTTCTTTAACTAAAGAATATCAATTCAGAGTAAAAATTAATTCAATACGATTCGTGCGCATGCAATCTGGTATAAGAAAGTCACATATGAAAATAAAGCAAAAAACAAAAAACCAACAGAACAGAATTAGCGTAGAACTGGATGCATGCCGAGTTGGCTCCTAAAACAAACCCAAAGGATCAACGTTAATACAACTTTCACAACACAACTTACCTTGACACATGAATTTCTGCACACGAAAATTACCGCCATCTGACACGTACAAGTTGCCATGACGATCAAATGATAAATCAAATCCTCCATTAAATTGATTTGACTCATTACCAGCACCATTTCCACCAGCAATAACAATGCCTGTGGTTGCTCCTTTTGGCCATCGCATTACACGATTGTTAAGTCTGTCCGATACATAGACAGTATCCATAGCATCAACGAAAACTCCCGTTGGAGAATTAAGTTGGTTCAAATTATCACCTTGACCATTACCTCCTGCCACAACAGTGCCTTCTTTTGCACCCAGTTCCCATTTAGTGACACAATGATTGGATCGATCAACAACATAGAGTGTTCGATTCTCATCCAGGAAAAGACCCATTGGATTGTTCAATTGATTGGAACCAGCACCTTGACCATTGCCACCAGCAACTACTGCTTCTATACCTGCCTGCCATTTCACAACGCGAAATTGAGCCCAATCAACCACATACAATGCACCTTCGTTGTCCAATGCTATTCCACGACATGAAGTGTTCATCAGAATAGTCTCTCCGCTGGAAGCACCTTTCTTCCAGCGCTGTACCCGCCTATTTTGCCCATCGCAAATGGTCAATGTTTCGTTGGCGTCAACTCGAATGCCCACAGGACCGCCCAACTGATCGCTTGCATTTCCTCTGCCGTTTCCTCCTGCTACTACTTGACCACTCGAAGCTCGCTCTTCCCATTTGACTACTCTATCGAACCACCAGTCAGTAATGAATATCGAACCATCACGATAGTTAACATGCAAATAATTGGGATTTACTTTATTGAGTTCTGAACCATTACCATGGTTTCCAGCTACAGTAACAGCGTCCGATGTCCATGTGGCGCTCGCACATACTCCATCATTCGATTGCGCAAGTGAGAAAGGCAAAGCTGAAAGCAAAACTACAGCACTTGTCATCAGCAAATCAATAGCATCCAAACAAAAAATTATTTTCTTTTTCGGTCAGTTCTTCAAAAATAAATACGAATCATATTGGAAGAACTAATGAAACAGACTCTTGATACTTTTTATTGTTTCTTTGGCGTTTGTACGTCAATAGGAAGTGAACATACAATCACATAGAATAATTAAAGTAGTTTTCTGTATATTGAGACAATCTATCAAGGAGAGATTTTCCATTCAATCTCTGAATATGCCCAACGGAAATTTCTAGGCCCAGGGGTTCAATTTCGTATTAACATTCATTGTACTTTTTATAGCTATAATCCAAATGAGTCAGATTATGCAATACTAAGACTAACTGTAAGGATTTTAGGACTTATTTAAAATGGTATGAAACCATAAATTTATTGCGATAATTGGAGCTGAAGTAAGACGAATTTCTAGTGGAAAAAGAATCCCGTTTAAAAAATCAAACTGCAGCTATTTTTGTGTTGAATAACGTATCTCGGGGCAAACTGCGATTGCATTTACAGTTACAGATAAGTGTTCTTTTCTTTCATTGAGCTATAACTCAATTCCTATAAAATAGTGAGTTCTAAGATAAAAATTGGTCAATACTGAGTGTTCACATTGCATGAAACTTTTCAAAGAATAACTTGGAAAAAACCACACAATAGTTCATCAATTTCAAGCTTGTCAAGTTTGTTCTTATGATCAGCATAAAAGCCTCCTACTAACAACTTCTGTATTTGCTCTTAGAATGGTGCAAAATTTGTGTTGCAATGTAACGTACCTGATAAGCTAGAAAAGAAAAAGATGTGTTAGTAAAATGTTTTTCAGTATAAATGGACGTATTCCAAAAAGCTCTTACCTAACTAACAATACGATTAAAGAAGTTGTCCTCATTGCTTGCAAATCGTGTTAATAGATGACGAGCTTCAGTTATACTTAGCAAAAATGCTGCGTTGTATTTGTTCTCTACTTGATTTCTCTTATCATGCCAGACGAAAGCAAATATTTGTGTTTGATTCATGAATGAGTAGTAAGTATTTAGCTTCGAAAAGATACCAGACGAATTCATCAAGCAGCTTCTAAAGGTGTTCTTGAAATAGTTAGTCTTTCATTGAAGCGATTAATCAGTAGTATATGGATGTTGAAGAATTGTAGGTAGGCAACTCAATCTGAAATCTATATATATTTATGCACAAATTCAAAGTGCGAAGAATATTTGTATGCAACAGAGCACGATATTTAAATGAAACATTTGACTGAAGTGTTATAATTCTAGTTCAAAAATAAAATTTCTCAATGTGCGGACTTTATGCCTGTTGGTGTTATTTTTCATGAGAAATTGGATTTGCTATAGATGCTTGTATTTCTCTCAATTGAACGCGAATCAGTAAGGACCTGGAAACATCATTTGAATTTGACACAAAAAGTATCCAGCTTTATATAAGCGAACTTTTTTTTTCTGCTCTTTACGAATGTCAGATACAAGTAGGACTAATTATGAACAGCTTTTGCTGACTCTATACAATATTCTTTGACACACTCACGAATAATCTCTGATCAATCTGAGCTCTCAAAATACATACTGATAAAAGCGAAGCCATTTAACTGATCTTATCTTTTGTTGATTTTCACCAACGCGGAATAGATAAAGATATAACTTGTCATATCATGAAGCGACTCTCAAATTATTATGGTTCTATGTTACTTTTCTCCATCGTCATAGAGTGAATGAGAACGAATCCGTGTTTTGTTTTTTCCTTTCAAATGCACGCTGTAAAAGCACTTATCAATTTTATGATATCATGCAAAAGAGGAAATACTGAGTAGAGAACATGACCATATTTTCAGGGTGTTTAAGATGAATAACATGAAAGTTTCATTTTATATTCTCGTATGTTGATAAGCGTTTTTGTTATTTGATCTGTCTTTCAGAGAACGGTGCTGATTCACACTTGCCGTGGCTTACTAGGCAGAAACGAATAGGAAAAATTGTCAGAGCATCACATACGTAATAGATTCATCAGATAATAATGTCACTATTCCAAGTGATGCGAATAGTTTCTTCGATGATAGTGTTTTTCACGCTCTCAAATCCATCAATGCATGCTCAGCGAATCTGTTCGGAATTTGATTCTCGAAATAACAATCCTTGTTCATCGAATAATGCCTGTACTTGTCTGCATGTTTTTGATGGAAACAATCGGCAGAAGAGTGGAGTATGTGCACTGCGACAGAAGAACTGCTTTGAATTGACCCCATGTAACGAGAATTTCGCTTGTGTTCAATCAAACACAATCTGTGTGAAAAATCTTCAATGTCATTCTCGACCCATGTGCTATCCTCTATCAATGACTACTTCAGATGTTTGTCCACCACGGACGATCCCTTGTAAACAGTCTATTTCTAAAAATGACCTAAAACATCCCTAAGATTGCTTTTAGACGATGGAATTTGTAAAACTGCAACATGGGCATCCGTCGGTAAGACCATTGCAGGTGGGAACGGTCCAGGCTCTGCACTCAATCAACTGAACAATCCCTTTGGACTTTTTGTTGATCCCAATGATGGCGATGCTCTTGTTATTGTTGATAATGGTAATGGACGCATAGTGAAATGGGAACAAGGTGCATCGAGTGGTCAAATAATAGCTGGTGGTAATGGAGTTGGTAATCGAAGTGATCAGCTTGCGTTGCCTCGGTATGTCGCAGTCGATCACGAAGGGACATTGTTTATTACTGAGTACACTAATAAACGAGTGAATCGATGGAAGAGAGGAGCTCACAGTGGAGAGATAATCATTTCGAATATTTATGTCAACGGTATCGCTCTTGGACCCATACTAGGAGAAAATCAGTACTTATTTGTGGGTGATTGGTTCGAAGCACGTGTTCTCAAGTTTAATAAGAATGGAACAGGTAATGGACAAGTAGTGATCGGAATCAAAGGTCCAGGTACTTCTCTGGAACAACTTCTTACTCGTAAGTGTCTTCATTCATGACCTAATTATATTTGATGCTGCTTTCCCTCTTTAATTTACAGCATATCAGATGCATGTCGATCAGCAACAATCTATCTTTCTACCTGAATATTTGAACAATCGAGTGACAAAATGGATTGCTAACAATAGTATTTGGACGACGAGTGCCATTATCGTTGCTGGTGGAAACGGTAACGGTAGCGAATTGAATCAACTAGATGGTACTCTTGCTGTCACTGTCGATCAGTCAGGTACAGTTTATGTAGCTGATTATGGCAATCATCGAATTACACGTTGGCTGAAAGGAGCTCAAAGTGGTACAATTATTGCCGGTGGTAATGGTCAAGGTAATCTCAATACACAACTCAATCATCCATATGATTTGGCTTTTGATCGAAATGGAAATTTGTACGTGAGTGATTTCTCAAATCATCGAATTCAAATGTTTGCTATCGACAAAAGCTCATGTACCAGTGGTGAGTTGTGTTTATCGTTATAAGTATTTAGCTGAACACTTTCTCGTTACTTTTTAGGTACAGTTTCACGGTCAGTCATAGTCAATCGATTTATGGCATTCGTCTTATCTCCGTCAACTTCGATACTCCACTTTATCATAGTAATACTGCGAGTCAAGTAATTTTCGTTGAATAAGAATTTTTAGAAAATGATATGAGTCTGCTGACAAGAAGAAATATTCGGAATGTTCAAATTGTTGGACCATTTTTTTGTTCTTGATATTTCACTTAATAAAATTATCCTATATGTGCAAACGGCCGTATTAAATAGTCGCGGGTGTGAGTGGGTGGGTGTTAGAGCCTCACATTTAACTACGAAACCTTATTTCGACTCAGACAGAGTCGAAGTCGAAGTCGGAGTAAATTTATTTTTTCGGAGTCGGAGCGGGAGTCAATGTAAATCATAAAACTCCGAAAACAGAATTTCAATCTTTTTTACGCATCATTTATTTTTGACAATAGACATTTCAAGTAAACCAAAAATGTCAATATAATAGTCAAATAACATGAAATAGAATACTAGAGAAAAAACAAAAGAAAACATCAACATTAGATTAATTTTCACAAGTACTTATTGCCAAAAAAAACTAAATTTGTTCTCGTGAAAAGAGCTTAGTAGTCATTGCAAGTATCTTTGATAGACAAAAATTTCAGAGTCAATCACTTTTAATTTTTCAGCCTCATTTTCAACATGTCTGTCTATTCGTTCATAATACTCTTATAATCAAATTTAATTTGTGGTAGTACACTGACCTTAAATAAAATAATATCACCGTAAACGTAAGCTGTCGCTTATTTACGCGAAAACAAATTTCGGAGTCAGAGTTGGAGTCGCACTCAGAGTCTTTAGAAATGTTTGGAATCGGAGTTGAAGTTAGAAAAACGTGACTCCGTAGGATTCTAGTGGGTGTAGATGTGGATGTGGGGTGTGAGTATCGGTGCGGATGTGGGTGTGGGGTGTGGATATCGGTGTGGATGTGGATCTGGGGTATGGAGTATCGCTGTGGATGTGGGTGTGGGTGTGGGGTGTGAATATCGCTGCGGATGTGGGTGTGGGATGTAGGATGTGGATATCGGTGCGGATTGGGTCTGGGTGTTGAAGAATCGAGTATAACAACGCACGTCCACATCCACCCATACCCATACCCACACCAACAGCAACACCCTGCCTACCATTATAAACATGATGATAATAAGAAATCTCGAAGTAACATTGAAGTATGTCAATATTTGTAAGTAATTTGTTGAGTGTCGTTTGTCCTAAACGCCCACTCAAAAGCGCATAATCTTTTAGTTTCATAAAATTATTCATTCTGTTATCATTTAAATGATTACTTTCTTTTTTTTTTAGCTACGTTTTCTCTTTATAGATTAGTAATCACATTGGCAACCTGAAGAAACAAGAAGGGTGGTGTGAGTGTGAGTGGGCGGGATATTGCTGCTCGTGTTCCTTTGTGGGTGTGGGTGTGGGGTGGATATTGCTGTTCGTGTTCCTTTGTGGGTGTGGCGGTAGTTTTCTGTGCAGCTATGAGTGTGAGTCTTGTGTTCATTGATACTGCATCTACAATCGCACCCACATGCCTACCCTCACGTCGTACGGATATGAGCCGTACGCAAGTTAGGGCGTGCAGGTTTCGTTCTCCTCAAATTTCGTATACCCGCTTGAAGAATTTAATTTCATGATATGTTTATCAAAAAACGTTTCTACGACTAAATCAGTCAATCTAGTAAAATGTGACTATTCTTGTAAAATCTCTTTGCTTGGAAAATTCCAATTTCTATTTCAAAGAAATCATAAAAGGAGTGGAGAAAGAAATTTAATTTTCTTTATCTCATGAAGTCTTTTTTCGTGATATTGACAGAGGATATCACGTCAAGTATTATGATTTCTTTCCGAAAAAAACGAAGTGTCACCAAGATCATATCTTCATACATGACTCAGTGCAAAAAAAGACGTATATAATATGCTGAAGTGTACTGCATCTCATTGCACAATATAGAACTAAGTAACGGCAAATGCTATCGACCAAAATGAGTTCATTAGTTTTACTTACAAGCATCTTCTTATGTTTGGAGGCTGTGCAGTTTCGTGGTAGAAGTGGCTCTGGGCCAGTTCCTCTTCCCTATGACCCAAACGAGTTTTTCACACGTCAAGTGGAAAGTACGGCTAAGCATGGTTTGCCTAAATGCTTTGATTGTCAAAATATTGCTGTGGTTGGAGCAGGTACGTAGTGGAATATTTCAACAATACATCAACATTCAGAGAAAACTCAAATCTAAGTTAGACATAAAGTCTTCGCATTTAAATTATTATTGAAAGCGTGTCTATTTCCATTTTCAAAACTAATCTACGGTAGTAAAAACAATATTGTCTCATACGAAAACCATGTACTGTTCCGATATTTGTTACCTCTCACACTACTTTATATTGTGCCACTGATTATTCTTTTATTCAATCTTGTCCTATGAGTCTGTTGTATCTTATCTGTAAAAGACATCATGCCATCGTTAAAAGTCTTTTTTTGAAAGAAAGCAAAACTTCTTTGTAACCATAGATTAGCTAAACAATTTGAGATTTTATTTAATTAGAAACCCATATTTTATTATGAGTTGAGAAACGATGAATGTGTATTATTTGTTAGTAAGAACAAAATCCATGAGAAACATTTTACTGATCAACGTTCGTTCTTTTATTAGGTGTATCTGGTCTAATTAATGCTATAGAATTATCAACGGCTGGTCATCATGTGACCGTGTACGAAGCCAGCGATCATCTGGGTGGTCGCATTCTAACACATCGTATCCCAGATAAAGGCTATATAACAGAGTTGGGAGCCATGCGTCTACCCTTGAAACAGCATCCTCTCACGAATATCTATGTCAAAGAACGGTACAAGCTCAAAGTGACACCTTTTGTTGGCTATGATTCCAATGCTCTCTTTTACATCAATGGTCATAGGCGCACATTCAATGAAAGAATTGTACCTGAACAAAACGGATTCAACGTGTACGAGAGAGAGAAAAACAAGGTAAGATTACTTGAATGGATCTTTTTTTCAGCTTTAAGAACATCCACCGCCTCATACCTCCCACACCTATTCCTATCACAGCGATCAAAAATCGTTTCTGAAACATTATCAATAATTATTTGTCAGTCTTTCCATGTTCTCAACTATTGTTAAGAGAATTTCAATGAGCTCGAAGATAATTTTTTCTCAATCCAATCTTCATAGCACAGGTCTATTGAAACTAGTCTTAACATCGATGAATTATGCTTCTATGCTAGATGGGCAAACGAAAGTAGTGCAGATGCGTTGCATTTTTAGAATTTGATCCGAAAAAATGATAATGAACGAGTTAATGTTTGATAATATATTTCAGACTGTCAGCGATTTATGGAATGATGCGATGAAATCAGTAACATACACGAGTTACGATGATCTCAAAGTCAAGTATGACAAATATAGTATTGAAGGATACTTTCTTGAACATGAAAATATGTCTCGTGGTGCCATTGATTTTATTTCGCTTATGTACAATGTTGATATGCAAACAAGTCTAATTGAAATGGTTCGAAGTACCGTTATTTTGACTTTAAATCCGGAGTATTCACAAATTGATGGGGGTTTCAGTTTATTGATTGATGAGTTTGAACGTAATTGTAAAAATGTGCCTGATAATCGATGTAACATCTATACAAATACAAGAGTGAAAGAAGTTCATTACATTGAAAATCCGAATAACTCTTCCATTGATCCTTGGGTTCGTCTGGTGATAGGTGAAAATTCTACAGCAATACGCGTTGACTCTGTGATTGTTTCGACAACGGCAAGAGCAGCTAGTTTAATTGAATTTGAACCTAGAACCTATTTTGTCGACAAATATCGTGCCTTGCGTCAATTGCATTACGATTGCGCAACGAAAATAGCTCATTCATTCAGTCGTCCATTTTGGCGCGATGAAAACATTCAAGGTGGCTACTCGATTACTGACTTACCTATAAGGTTTGTTTTTTACAATAATTTTAACACTACTGCCAATTCAGTAAAAGATGGAGCCTTTATTCTAACATCATATGTCTGGGCAACAGATGCTCTGTTGTGGTCTGCATTAAGCAAAGACCAAACCTGTGAGAAATCTCTTCAAGATCTCACACAGCTTCACAATCGCTCTGACATACGATCGTTGGTTGTTAGTTGTGAAGTCAAAAATTGGTGCACAGATCCATACGCTCATGGCGCCTATGCTCTCTTCACTCCGAATCAAGAAACAAATCTACATGATGAACTGGGAAAAACGATCAAGAACATTGTGCATTTCTCTGGAGAACATATCAGTTATGTCCACCGATGGATTGAAGGATCCATTCAGTCATCGATGCGCGTTCTCATGTTTTATCAAGTGAGTGTCATTCATAGATACCTTCTAACAAAATATTTCGATGAGCACTGTCCACTTTTGCTTGATACTGTCATCCCACGTATCGATTATGTCAACTAAGGAGTTGAGAAGGAAATCTTCCAAACTCACCTCCATCGATTAGCCTAATATTATGTCAATAATGAAGAATTAGTGAAAGTATGAAAAGCTTAGAAAAATATGATTTCTGAAAAGTTCTATCTAGAGTCGTCCCCATTTCGAATGAAATTTCCCAATATTAGGGATGAATCTTTCCCTGATTTTTTCCTTCAGAGAAAACGTACTTGGGATGCCTAGAAGCATCTGTTTCGGTCAAGTCTTCGAGTGAGACTTGATGAATTTCGATTGCTCTATCCGATGCTATTGTCGCTCTTAACGGAATACGGCTACAAGATATTAGAAACGGCTAAAAATTTTGGATTTTAGCGTATTTCAACCAAATCCGACACTTTGTAATTCTATTTCATCACAGGTAGCGTTAATATCAGATACCCCCGCCTCTCAGTTTAGAAATCCTCCGGAGCTTCTAAATTGTTCACCGTCAAAAATTTTCGGACGGGGGCTTCTATTAAGTCCTAAAATTTTTCAATAGTTTTAGATGGAAAATTCTGTGTATTTATAGAAAATAACTTTGAAAATAATAATAATGATTTTACAGCAGCCTATAATATTGTTGTTTAAATTTGATAGAAAGAAACAGAAATTTCTTTTTTTCAAATTGTTCTTATTATCTTATTTCATGTCGACGTTTCGAAATGTAAGTTTTCCTTGCCGAGATATAAGATGAGATTGTTACAAAAATAGAAAATTTTACATAGAACAAAATAAGAACAAAGAGAAGAAAGACAGACATTGACTTATCTCTTTTCATATTTTATAGAGGTATTTATAATTTATTTCTATTCGTTATGGTGTTGTACGCACTACACAACGAGGAATTAATCAAAGCTGAATTAAGCAACGTGATTGATGCATTAAGAGTTAAATCATCTTCTCGAGATGACTTAAATATTAATGCACCAGTCACGTTGCTTAATTCAAATTAAGTTCGTGTAGTGTGTACAAGGCCTTTTTTCTTACTTTGTTCTATGTAAAGTTTTCTATTTTTCTAACAATCTTATTCTATATCTCGGTAATAAGCACTTATGTGTCGAAACATCGATATGAAATAAAATGAAACAAAAAATTTGAAAAAAAGAAGTTTTTGTTTCTTGCTATCAAATTTAAACAATAATGTTATATAGTCCTGTTAAATCATTATTGTTATTAGATGGAAAAAATTTCAAAGGATTTCAGGAATTTTCAGGGTTTTTTTCGAGCTGTTCACGCGAGGATGTGGGTATTGAAGAATCGAATATAGAAACACGCCCACATCTTGCATCCCACATCTACATTAACCACCACCCACATCCCTGATAATTTCAATTGGTTGGTTGCTGAAAACTTCTAGATACTCTTGATAAATTCGATTGTTTTTTTTTTCATATTAAACATCTCTCCTTCAGACTCTGACGACGAACCAAAAATTCACTGAGCCTTTATTTTTTTCTGAAAAACAAATCGAATAAACCAATGAAATCTGTAGGATAGCGATTAGATTTGAGTAAATGCATGATAGTGTCGAATTTATTGCTCTGTTGGTTTCGAGAGTTATTCCAATGAAACTTGTCATCCGTTGTTGTAGGAAGAAGAATTTGATGTTGCCATTATTGACGGTGGGGCACTCGGTCTGGCTACGGCGTTAAATCTAGCTAAGAAAGTGAAGGACAAACGCATTGTTGTTCTTCAGAGAGCGGATGATATCAAACCATTAGAATTGGCGCCATTTCATTTAGTGAACGAGAAATATTACTTGAGCAAATTGGGTCAACTCGTCCTACCGATGTGGCGAGAATTGGAGAAAGAAGGAAACATGCCATCTAACTCCTTGTTAAACACTCTAAATGGCTTCCTCTACATGGGTCAATCAGTCTCTGATATGGCTGAATTCTGTCGCAATTTATCTATTGCTAACTGCACTCAATTTTCATCGACACAAATGACGAATGAACACTCTTTTATCACTATTAACCAGCCTGGCTTACATCTGAGCCAATCTGGTTTTATCAATGTAACCTTGTTAAACACTGCTTTGAGAATATTGGTAGCACAAACATCCAATATTTTAATTCGTGATAAAGAAACATTTCTTGGTGCACGAAAAATGCCTGACAGATCACGTATGCATATAACAACTGATCGTGGTTCACTTACTGCTGACAAAATTATCTTTCTTCCCGGCGCTTTCACCAAGACCATGATGAGTACACTGGGATTGAATCTCAGCATTAATTTATATGAACTGCCATCAGCTGTTAATTTTCGTCGATCAAAATCATCTTCGAATTTAACAGTGTCGACTTGGAGTTACGTATCAGCTGATAGCGATCACTACGCTGGTTTTCCACAGGATCATTCGAATTATTTACGTATTGAACCCCGAATAAATCCAGCAACCATGCAGACAGTCAACTCTCCTCTTGACCGAACAAACAAATCCGATCAGCAGATACTCGACAAGATGCTCACTTGGGTAGGTCAACATTTATCTCAAACAGTCGATTTGATCAATCCCATAATGCCAACTGATACTACGTTCGATTCGATGTTGTCCGATAGAGGCTTTATTCTCGACTACATCCCTGGCTTCGAACAAAAGCTCGTGCTGGGAACTGATAGCTGGTCAAGTATCCAGTATATTCCCGCATTTGCTGAGATCCTAGCTCGACTTGTTCTCACCAATGGATCTTCAACCTGGTCCGATGACTATGCATCATTCATGACAGAATTTTCAGTTCACGTCAATGGGCGCATCATTCTGCCGGAACCATCAGTTACCCAACCACCAAACGGAGTGGCAAATACTAAGGATAAAACTGTTCTCATTTTTTCTTTCCTTATATCCGTATATTTGTTGCTGCCTATTTGTATCTGATAGAGAAACTCACTTGTTTTGCTACTATTAAACGAATACAGTGCACCTCAAAAGTCTCATACCACTTTTTTTTTGTTTTCATTCGTGTATTAAAACTACAATACACTAATTTTAAGTGATTATATGCCTGAATAGCACATCTCAAGTACTATCTATATACACTTGTTTCATATGAAAAACCCTTGAATATTAAAAACATTGAAGACAAACAAATTACAGTACTAAGAAAAAATGACTGAAAACAAGACAAAATGATATTGGTGTTATAGAACACTTCCACAGTTAATCAATCACAAAAAATGACAAAGTATTCAGAAAACTTTTCATTTCATCATATTTTGTAGAACTTTTTTGCTAATCATTTTAGTTACAAAAATATTTTGGATTTCATTGAGAAATGGCAATATTATAGTCAAAATATTAAACACTGGGAAATACCGGGTGTTTCAAAATGATTGTAACATAGTTTGTTTTATGAATATCTCTGTAAAGACAACTGATAAAATCTTCTTTTTTGCAACAGATGCTCCATGAAAAGCTTTGTAAAATCTGTATAAATAATTCTCATGGCAAAACTTACAAGTCTTTCAAACGTTTTTATTATCATTTTGTCCTTTTTTTATGTAGATTTTGTCTTAGTACTGAAGTTTGTTTGTCTTGATTGTATTTAAAATTCAAGGGGTTTTTCGTATGAAATAAGTGTATATAGATAGTACTTGAGATGATTCTTGTTCTTGCTATTGCTGTTCAAGATGCTCGAACCACTCTATAAATTTTAGTTGTGCTGCATGTTCACGTTGTTTCAAGTTTTCCGATTGTTTAAATAGTGCATCTTGTTGTTTACATTTTTCTTCTTCATTCATTAATTCAACATGAACGTTTTGTCTGAAATGTTCAATATAATTTTGTTCAAATTCTTTGATGACTAGAAATCGATTTAAATTTACTTGTTCCCATAGTTCGTCTACTAATTCATATGAGAATTCTTCTTTCTTTTTTTTTTCTTGTCGTCGTAACAATTGGTTTTTTTATATTCTGCATCTCGTTATTCATATGACTGTTTTAGTTGATTTCCCCATTTTGTGTTGCTTGATTCATCGTTCTTTCAAAGTCTATGGGCATTTTGATTTCAAACTGAATTTTGAAAAAATCCACCTTTTTGATCAAAAGCCGTGGGTTTATTGGGTCCAAAAAAAGCACCTATTCTCTCAGAATATAATGCACTGAACATCTCGTCCTCATACAGATGAAGCAATGAAATACAATCACAATAGTCAAGGTAACCATGACATTTTAAATATGCTTGCTATCCATATCACGACGCAACACTCAGAAATGTTGATCATATCATATAAGGTTCCTACCCTCCTTTTCTTTTCGAGGGTGTAGATGTTTAGAATGTTCATGATAATATTTCTAAAGAACTGCGTCTTATTTAAAAAAAATGGGGTATATACTATAGATATCATCATAATAATTCTAAAGAAACGCAGGATCTGCGCCCAGAAAAAAGGAAGGCAGAATCCGTGTATAATATAATCAGCATTTATGAGTGTCGCATCGTGATATTGATAGAAAGCACGTTAAGATGTGATGGTTGCTCTGACTATTGTAAACGTGTTTTATTTCCTCATCTATGTGATAGGATGATGTTTGGTGAATTATATTTTGAAGGACTTGGTCCATTTTTTGGAGTCGCTAAAGCCATGATTTTTCTTCAAAATTCAGTTTTAAATAAAAAAAAAGTCTATGGATTCATAAACGAATACATTCACCGAAATATTTTCAAGAAGAGTAGAACATTATTTAGAAAGAAAGCAACAATCTCAGGTAATTGAGGGTAGTATGAGTGAAAGTGAAGAAAGTAACACCACCCTTCGAAAGGACAGCAATGTTACAAATGATGCGCCACTGATCGAAAATATTTTAAATTTTTCAGCTTCCGATTTCATTAATTTTTGATATTATTTAGTATCGTTTTTCCTTTCATTTACATTTATTTATTCTGTTGATTGCTTTTTGATTCGATTTATTAATGGTGAAACAAACATGTGAAAATAAATATGTACAAAAGAATTTATTTTGCATTTCTAAATTTACACAAGAATGGAATATTTAAAAAATTTTTGTAAAGATTAATACGTAATCAAAATTTCGTAATACAAATGTTTCTTTTTCTTTTAATAAGTTAGAAATTTTTCAAATGTATATATTGAATTAATTACAAGAAAACAACAACATTAAGTATAAATGAAATGAGAACATACAGTAATAATTATCAGAAAACAAAAGAGAAACAATGAGCAAAACTTTTGTTTCAGACAATAATTAAGAAGGAAATCACGATAAGAATTCAAAACACAAAAGAACATATTTTCATATATTTAAAAACCCACCGGCACACAAAAGAAACATGACAACGGACGGTTGTTGCCTTTATAGAATATGCATGTATGAACCTAGATTTATCATCTGACAAGCAAAGAACAAAACATTTCATAGGCACTATATATTTTGCTTTTCTATTTATAGTATAATACATCCTTCACAGCACCCAGTTGTTGTTGAATTCGGACTAGCAGTGTCTGATCGATGGGATGACATAGCATTTTGTGTATGATCGGCTGCTCGATCTTGATTATTGTCATGCTTATGTTTTCGTTTTTGATCACCATCAGTTGGTTCAGGTAAATTTTCACGTGGAACTAGATGCATCACAGTTGTTTTGCCTTGTTGGAGACGTAAAGCTCCTAATGTGACATTTCCATGTAAAAATCTTCCTTGATATATTAATCTTAATACTTCATAACGATCAACTCGTTGTTCATTTCCCCAATCTAATTGAGAAGAAAAAGTTAGCAAAAAAGAAAAAAAGTAATCTTTGGTAACCTTCAGGCCAATTTTGAAAAACATATTTAGCTACATCAGATGCTGTTGTCGTTGGTCGAAATTGAAATTCAGCTGTTTTACCACTGACAAGAATTAATTTGAGATTAATCTTTAAAAAAGAAACAATAACATAAATTCAACAAAAAATTCTGTGTTTTTTCTTTGCTTACCGTATCGGACGGTGAGGATTTTGATCCCATTGATAAAAGAAAAAGATCATCACGTCTGATAAAACATCATTTTGAATGACAATGCTGCAAATAAAAATAAACAATAAACATCTCGATAATTCAATACACTTGTCTATGTCGCTACTATCGATGTGATTGAAAAAATAATATTTAAATATATATTTTTATAATATGAAAATCATTTTGCTTTTATTCAATAAAAAATATAAATCTATTTTTAATGGAATTTAATAATTGATGAAATACATTGACCAATCAAAAACAGCAAGAAAAACATAGCTTCTATTGAATAAGAGTTTTCTTCGTTTTATTATTTGTTTGATTATGAAATTAACACAAAAAACACTATTTCAATGTTTCGATAAATCTCAAAGACAATTACCGATAATCATAAATGATAAAGATGAAGGTATAGTTAAACAAAATACTATTTTAGGATGATAACAAGTCAAAGTTAGTTCAGTAGAACTTCTTGTCAAGAAGCTCCTGAATTAATTTTGAAAACTTCATTGTCTATTTTCTCAAATGATTTTTCAAATTAGAAAAGTATCTGTTGAGTTCATAGAATTTTGAATAAAGTAGAATAACTCATTTCGACAAAATTGAATGTAGAATTTCATTAATATACCAGTTACACTTTGAAAAACTATTAAATTTAGAACAGAACAATCTTGTAGGGAAAACCAAACACTGATACACAGAGAGGTATGACATGAGCTTTGTGAATGTTTTTTTTTAACAGGAAGACTCTTATTCAAAGATTGATTATGTTTTTCCTAGCATATCTATGACAATAAAAATGAATTCAATGGAATGTCATTCTAATTTTAAAAGGTTGTAAGTACAAAAGGCAATAGTTTTAAGAGAGATAAAAACTATAGAAATATGCTTTTCTGAGGCAGTCAGGTTTGCATTATCGAAATCATGTTAAAAACAGAAATTCATTTAAATTTGACATTATTTGCATCAATATAGAAAATGAATTTTCTATTAGATATAATTGAATGTGAACCTGAAAAAAAATCATGTCATGATAAACAAGAAACTCATCTTCTACAATCTGATTTTCTTTTACCTGTTCATATACGTCAAGAAGAAAAGTCTTCAGAGAACAATTATATTCCTTTGCTTAATCAATGGAAATTAACTGATTCAAATGATGATTTGTCATTGAATGACTTTCAAAATTTTTATCGTATTTGTCCAACAATTAACAATAATGAAACTTATTCACCAAAGCTTCAGGTATATTAATTAAATTTTATATATTGTGTAAGATAATTTCTTTTATATACTTAAGTTTCTTGATATTCCATCTATTGAACGTCAAATGGAATTATTTCAACAATATACAAATGATGATTTAAATTTTGATGTTCAATCAACAATTGACTGGCAAACAATGTTTCAATGTTTACAAGATTATCGAAAAAAAGCAATAGAACAACGTAAATAATGTCGATTTATTTTTTGGTAATTTAAAAACAAAATCTTCATCTATAGATCAATACGAACAATTGCCTTGGACAGAAATTTATCGTCCACGAAATTCAAAAACTTATCTTGGTAATCATACAAAACAAATTCGACGTTTAAATGAATGGTTTTTATATTGGACAAAAAAATTACGTAATGAACCGTCGAAAAAAATGACACGAAAAGGACGAAAACGAGCCAGAGATTATGATGATAATTCCGATGAAGATTTTATCAGTGATTCAAGTAAGTCTAACAAAAAAAAGTTATTCTATCCATATTCAATTATGATCCAATTAAATAATGGAATAATCTATTCGACTAGAGTCTAGACTAACTAGTAATAGATAATCATAATATCTGAGTACATCGAACCAGCATATTTCCTTCCTTTTTGTTTTGTTCTATGTGTACAAATAATTTGATATTATCATTTTAGATGTAGTATATCATAATCGTTGTCAATTCAAACAGGAATATCCACAAATAATTTTTATTCATGGTTGTGGAACAACATCACTTGTACATGCACTTGCGGAAGAACATAATTTTAAAGTATGCATATAAGAAAATGTATCAATGCCTTTTTAAGGTTGATTAGAAACAAATCCCAAAATCATATTTTATCAGTGAAAGTTCAATCGCTAGGAAATATTCATTTCATATAGAGAGGCTATGCATGACGATATAACGCATTGCCATTAGTAGAGCATGACGATTCCCATGAAGCTGAAACCGAAACGCTGAAATCATGAGATGGATACAAAAATTCCTAAATTTATTTAGAGAAATCTTCATTTTTTCGCTTTTGAGATTAAAGATCTCAGTGTATATTTATACGTCTTCAATCTGAAGCATTCAATAATGAAAATTTCTAAAAATAGATTTCACATTTTCGTATCTATCTGATGAGTTAGCCGTTTTGGTTCCACGTGTTATTTTGGGAATCGAACTAAAATTTTCGAATAATTCTTGAGATTGCCAAACTCTACTCATTATTCACTGATAAGCAGATAATGATAATGAGCTTTTATATTCGCAGAATGATACTCACTTTTTTGTTCATCAAGTCATGTAAAAAAAGATTTCTATATTATGAAATACATGTTTGATGATAACATCGTTCAATATGCTTTCCATGACTAGCCTAACGGGTTCTACTGGTCAACTCTTCCGTATTGAGACTTTTCTTTAGGCTAAACCTATATCACTTTTTAGTTAAAACCAATGAACTTGTTATTTTGAGTTAGTATCATTTTTCTGAGTTATCAATTTTACACTAAAAAATTACATTCAGTTTTTGAAGATCTTTTTAGTTTGTACGAGCATACATTTTTTAAAGATATACGTAATTATGAAAGTCAGGAGAGAATTCTCAAGTTACACACAGATTGTATGTTAGTGATCAATAGAAGCACAAACATTTTTTTTTTTGAACATCTTACGTATTTCTTCTACATTTACTGTCACACACCTTGTTTTCTTTATTTTTGTCTAACGAGGAAAGGTATTCAAATGATAAATCACTTTTAAGTTAAGATTATATTCAATCGATAGAACCTAGTGAGTAGGTAAACGTTTACTGCTGAAGTATCAAATTTTCATCTTACCCACATCATGGTTCCAACAAGAGTAGCTTGTAGAAAAAAATGTCACAATTTTTTGACAAAGTCTCGCGAGATATGACTCTTTCAAAATATCCATATTTTTTACAATTATTATGGGAAAATGCCTATGTTTTGAAAAATTAATATCTCGGAAAGACTGTCAAAAGATTCTGCAATTTTTTCTACAAGTTAGTCTAATCCAAACTATTATGAGTCAGATGTAAAAGTGTGATCTTATTTTAAAACTAGAACCCTGTAGGAAAAGTCTTCTAAAAATTTTATATCTCAGCAACTTGGAGACTTTCCCTCGTAAGGTACATTATGAATCTTTCTTTAATACTTAATCTAAAGATTTTGTTTCTCTAAGTATTACAAAACAATATTGATGGCGATTCTTATTTTTAGGTAACAGAAATCAATGGAACTCAATCTCGTGCACGTACATCATTACTTAAACAATTAGAACAAGTCACTAGTCATCATTATCTATCATTGAAACGTTGTTCATCAGATACCATAATATCAAAAGGTAGAAAAATGATTATTTAATAATTCTATTATCTTAAACTTTGTTTTTTCTCTCTCTATTATTAGAAGATAAATCAAAAGAAAAGATTTTCTTACCTGTAAAGAAAAAGGCGAAACATGAACGTGGTACAATAATGTCATTTTTTAATAATAAAAAAAATGATCATAAAGATGAACGTAAAGAAAATAAATCTCGTAGTCGATCGAAATCAATAAAAAAATCAAAACCTATAACAACAAGACAAAACAAAATACAAGAACAATCTATTGCAACTGATAATTATTCAGTATCATCTGTTCATGTTGAAAAAACATCTTTAATACTCTTTGATGAGGTTAAATATATTTTTATGAAGAAGTAAAACATTTTATAAGTTGCATCTTTCTTTAGATTGAAACATTAACAACAGATGATAATTTTTGGTCATGTTTAAAAAAAATTCTTGAAACAGCTAAAAAACCAATTATACTTACATCAAATAGTAGAAGTGATCCTGAAGATGCTATGATTAACTTATCTAAACTAGGAAATTATGAAATGATTCATCTCGAACCAAATGATCCTGTAAATAGGTTTTATTAAAATCTTTTGTTTGCTGTATTTTTTTGTGATTTTTTTAATAGAAATATATTTATTGCTTTCTTCGATTAATACTGCTGGTTGAAATGCTTGAAATACCTTTATTTGATGAATTAATATCACTTTGTCAATTATGTTCATATGATTTACGTCGAATTTTATTAACACTTCAATTTCTTGCTCAATCATCAACAATTTCTACATCGTCAATAAATAAAACTTTGATAAATAACAATAAACCAAAATTACAATCTTCACGTATATTTGATGCAATGTATTATTCTTATCTTTGTGAACAATGGAATGAATCAATACTTAAAACACATTTTGATAATCTTACTATAAAATATACAACGGAATATGAAAAATCTCATTGTTTATTAGCAAATCAAAGTAAAAATGATTCTAAACGGTAAATGAAGTTTTGCATGAAAGAAAAAAAAAATGTAATATCTTGTTTTTTTTTTTTATTAAATTTTAGAATCGAATTGTATGATACATTTAAAATTTTTATGCAAGAACAAGAGGTTGATAATATCACTAATCGTTCGGCATTTTATCTTGATTATCGACCATATATAAGACAAATCTGTCAAAATGAACAAATTCGTGCTACTGAATCGAACTCTAGACGACGGTATACTTTAAAGAATTATTTTCCGCAGTCATGATCATAAGTTTGCATCTTCCCTGCAATTAATACTAGCTGATACTCTGAATAGAAGACCCCAACCTGAAGCAGAATTATTGCGTTTCCCATACGCATTAATTAACTGTAAGAGCCGATGTGTCATTACTTAGTCAACGTGCTATCGGACGAATGATCCGAGACAAACAGTCATAGGCGACTCGTTCACAGTTATTTCAGGGTTGGTGGTAGCGAAATTTAAACACAGTAACCTGCCGATTCATGCCTGATGACTGTCTCAAATATAAACCATTGAGATAGTGATTGAGTTTTAAATTTTCGAACGAGTAAACAAGAATTTCAAAAAACCCGTGATCATGCACTGAATAAATTGTGAGATGTAGGCTAGTTCTACGTAGATCATTTCTTTTACCACTAATTCGGCTGCCCGTTTTTTTTTTCGGAATGTTTGCAATTTAATTATAAATTCTATATCAAATGAAGAGTTTATGGATGAATATCAAAGCCTTGCAGAGTCAAACTTATGGACTCGGAAAATTTTTTCTCTAGAATATGGGCAAAGTCAGCGAAAATGGAACATGATCATCTTCCCTTTGACTTTGATTCTTTACAAGCAGTATTTTATTGAGCAAACTCTTTTCCCATGATTATATCAAAAAATATTGGCTATTTAAGATTACATCTAATTAAATTTAATGAAAATGCAATTAACGAATAGCTTCTTAACTTTAAGATGGCAAAGTCTTAAAATTTCAGAAGAGATTTCACGACATAGACTATATCTATAGTGAAATTATCACCACGAACCAGCTCCAAATAATTGGTTGTGTAAAACTAGTTTTATAGAAATCTGCTCTTGTCCTAGAACGAAATTTTTTATTTTGCTATCATCTCAAGATCCTCAAGGAATTTTATCATTTCGAATTGGTTTTTCGACTTCTCATTCAGTTAAAAGAGGATTTTTCATTTCAATATTTGTACTCATTCAAGTTGCTAAGAACGAACAAAAGTCAAGATTTTGAAAAACTTAAGCATATTCAAGAGAAACTTTGCATAGATATTTTGTAACGTGAAGAATCCTCTATAAAAAGTACACTATTTAGTTTTCAAAAATACTATTTGAACTCGAAAGATTTGTAAATAGAAATGCACTCAGTGAAAATCGGTGTCACATAGTCATTGTTGTTTTTCCTAAAGTAGCTCAACATACATGTGCTACATAAAAAAAATAGCTAAAAGCAATGTCGGAGCCCAAAGATATAAGCATTTTTATTTTGTCGAGCTAATAAAATTGCCTATATATACTTTTTTTGTGCTATTTGTTAAATGAGAATGTTTCTCTAATGGGTTTGTTTTTCTTAAACTTTAAGACGGAAAAAAGATCATGAATATATAATTAAAAGGAACATGAAGTTCTGTTTCTCTCCAGAGATTTCTAAGTGAATGAAAACCGACCGAACATGTTGAACAATGACATTTTATACATACGTTATATGAATATTTTTCTTTAGTCTTCGACATTGTCTTGGTTTTCGTGGTTGTTCATTACAATGGTCCGACTTTGCAGTTCTATCGGGTGGTCTTGATTAAATTTATTTTTTCGACGATTATTATTAATGTGTGCATTTTCTTCTTTAATCAGATATATTTTTTTTTTCTGTCTTGTAAATAATAACAGTGTCAGATAGATTGTTTGGTTCTATTTATAAAAAAAAGGAGTTCTCAAATGTGAACAATGATTATTAAATTTCTCTTTTTTTTTGTAGATTATCTATATATAATCATGGCATTTTTTCCGGGTAAGTTTCTCATTTTTTGTTATGAAAGAAGACGTATAAATGTTCATGTCATCTCAGGAGCAACAAAAGATCAGATGCGTGCTGATCAACTACTAAAACGACGTCAACAAGAACATGAACAAATGGAAATGAAAAAGAAAAAAATTGAAGAAGAAAATCGTATGCAAGCTATTGAAGAAAAATTTAAAGCACATTATGACGCTGTTGAACAAATGCTTAAAACTGATACAGTTGGTTTAGTTTCATTAGATGAAATGAAAAAAAAACAAGAAGACATGATTCGTGCACGTGAACAACAATTAGCTAGAGAAAAAGAAGCTAAACTTAGTGAATCAATGAAAAATAAACTAAATAATCGAAAAGATACGGGTGCACATCAACGACCAAATAAATTATCCTTTGCTGATGAATGGGAAGAAGAAGAAGAAGAAGAAGAAGAAGAAGATAATGATGATGAAGATAATGAACCAATCACAAAAAATCAACCCTTCGAAATCGAAAAGGTACACCATAGAAAACTTGAAAAGTGTTAATTGTCATGTAACCCAGATAGCGATGCAACGCTGCCACCGGCAGTATGATACACCTGTGGACGGTGTGTCGTCGCCAATGCATCCCTAAACCTAAGATATCTACGATAGATTTTAACAATAAATTCCTAATCCCAATTTTAAGAATGGAAATATCGTTGCCAAATTCAAATGACAACACTTTCAAAATTTTACATTGTATGAAAATAGATTTCTCTATCAAAAATAGTATTCAATCATTAAGTGTTTAGCAGAATCGAATAGAGAAGCCTTAGAATTAATTAGTGGTTTTTCAAGAGCAGCCTCCCTCCCTTTCCAATCGAAGATTTCTTGATTTTTGTTTTTCTGATTAATATACACTTTGAATTATTCTGTTTCTTGAAAATATATTAAGACTTAATATATAACTATAACAGGCGAAAAACCGGAAAACACGAAAGAAAAGCATCAGAAATTACACATTATTTCGCTGGATTTGAAAAATAAGTTTTTTTTGACTCACAGAAATGGATAATCTTTTCTAACTGTAGCGTTTTTCGTATATCTTGGCAAAAACTACCGGCACACCCTAATCACTTTCTAGTATATGTAAAAAAAAGGTTTCAGCTTGATTGAATCTGCTGTGGTTAAAAAAGGCGGGGGGGGGGGGGGG